TCCTTGTGCTATGACTTATGGTCCCCTGAAGGGTGTTATTTGGGTTAACAGGTATGTTCATGATAGTTTATAGGTTTTAAGCAGGTGCCTGTCATTTGATTTGATGTCAGTGTGAACACTGTAAATCTCTGCCTATAGTTATGTCGTGCTAGTCGGTGATTTCCTGAGCCATCTGTTTTGCTTGACTTTGCTTTTCTCCCTGCCTTCTTCCAAGCAGACTTCTAAACAGAGTCTTTAAAAATCATTAAGAACTTGTACTCACCACACTGAATTCTTAGAGAATGGCTGCAAGCTCTGTACTCACTCTTTTGTTAGTTTTAGGTCTGTCTGTCTTGTCTGTCTGTCTATGTTTCTCTGTCTCTCCTTGAGAGTTATTGTAAATTTATTTTATTTCAGTTGTATAAAAGGGTTTCATTGTGCTGTTTCCATATACATACAATGGACCTCTATCAAATGTATCTCCTTATACCGCCCCACCCCCATCTCCACTCCCTTCTTCTTACCACAATTACAATAGGCTTCATTGTTGTATTTTCATACTTGTGTATGAAGAACTTAGACCATATTCACCCACCCTACACTTTCTCCCTTCACCTTCCCTTACTGGGCTGGTACCCATTCCCAAACAGAAGCTGTTTCAAATTCCTGGCATTCGTGTTTCAGGATTCATTGTGCCTCCAAGTCTTCTCAGTCAGAAGCAACTGCACTTCCTTTCTCTTACCATTGACTTAAATCACAGACATTTATACAAGGATCACACAGTCTTCATTTGATTACAGCACAATTTTATAGTGCAGATGAACCTAATTTTATCATTCTATTATTTTGCCATTTTATCATTTTACCATTCTTTGAAAATATTTTTTTTCCGAATATATATATATGGACATTGGTGAAAAACCAAACCAAACAAAAAACCAGCTAAGTGCTGGTGGCTCAAGCCTGTAATCCTAGCTACTCAGGAGGATGAGATCTGAGGATCATGGTTCAGAGTCAGCCCAGGCAGGAAAGTCTGTGAGACTCTTATTTTCAATAAACCACCAGAAAACTGGAAGTGGCACTGTGGCTCAAGTGGTAGAGCGCTAGCCTTGAGCTGAAAAGCTGAGGGACAGTACTCAGGCCCAGAGTTTAAGCCCCATGACTGACAAAACAAAACAAAATAAAACTAAAAAACAACAAAAAAAAACAAATCCCCCCAAACCCTTAGCTAATAGAAGAAATCCAGAGACTTTTAACTTTCATTTAACCTCTAATAGGAAAAGTATGATATTTTCATACATGCACACAAACATATTGACTATAGTCACCCACTCTACACCTTCTCCCTTTTCCTACTCCCATTTATTTGTTGTAAACTATTTCTTAAAATGTATTTTCATGTCAACATGCTGTAGTTAACTAGGACATTGTGTATAGTGCTCACTGATGTATTCTATGGATTAAAAAATATGCAAAATTTCAAGAACCAAAAAGAATGATACATTTCTATCACTGTTGATATTTGGGAATCATAAGTTAAAGATTCTTGCTTTAAAAATATTGAGTAATATTAAAGTCTTTTTTCTCTTTTTTTCTCTTGATGTTTGGTTGTGCCTTTGTGTTTTTGAGATAAGGTTTTGCTATGTAGCCTAGGCTACTTCTGCATGGCTGAGTGATGAGATTACAGATTAATGAAGTTTTAAGTTAACCAATTGAGAGAGAGAGAGAGAGGCACTATATTTAAGTGTCATTATAAGATCAAGTATTGGACATCCGTTTTTGAGCTACTCATATGAATTGATAGAGATCCTCAGATCCCCTTTAGAAAAAAGATAGAGCGTATGTTGGTTGGAAACAGAATGTTCTAGAAGCATTCAAAAATTATCTTTTCACTCTGTTTTACACTGAGAGTAGTAACATATTCACGGTGGGTTTGAGTAAGTCCCAAGATAGTACTGTGCCTGGTATTTGTGCAGTTTGAGCTGGACACAGCTAGTCACGGAATCCTGTCTTCTCTGATGGCCAGTGGCCTTGATACAGCTTTCCTTCCCATCTGCTTCGCCTCAGGCCAGGTCTGCACTTGGCCTCCTCCTCATGCCTAACACTGAGAGGACAAAGGAGGCCCTGATTAGTCTTCAGGAGGAAAATCCAGGTCCTTCTTCTACCTCACATGTTCACTGACAGTGAGAACAGTTCCTCTTTCCCCAAACTCACTCTCTACATGGTGTTTTCGCCTTATTCAATACTTGAGAGAGTTTTGTCTTTTCTACTGCTAATACCACTGCTGCTGAAAACCACGACAAGGGACCAGGAATAATTCCTTTGTTTTCTATGTGAGCAAATATAATGACTTATTATACAAGGCAGGATTTTGCGTTGATTCATGGTCCCTCGTCAGTGTATGAGCATGGGTATGTGGCCTATCTACAGAGTTTGACAGTTTCTCCAGAGACTCACTCATCCTATGGTTCACCTGTGTGTGCTCCTCAGGTCACCAGTAGATTTATATTCATTATTTACGATTCAATTATTGTATGCTTGTTTCATCCCATGCTACTGGAATTCTCAGCCATGGCTGTCAGGTACCCTATGTCCTGACAGGCCTGTAGGCACATGCATTTGTGTGGCAGGATGATCTAGGAAATTACAAATACAGTGTCAGGAGATTACACATGTCAATTCCGATTTTCAGCTTCTTTTGGAAACCTGGAAGTTCTGCCAACAGTGAGCCTCAATTCCCACATGGCCTGGCTTGGCTGGAGCTGTGTGCCGGCTGCCACCTTCGCTCTGCCATCTCCAGCCGGCAGCGTGGCTGCCTCTCCACGCCCCCTCCAGTCTGCCATCCCACGGGGGTGTGGACAGGCCTTGCTCACCTCACCCTCCCTCTTCTTTCTGTGGGTTATGATGACAGTTTATTTCTTTGCTCTGATGCTCTTTGTGCATGTTTCAATTGATACACACACACACTGTTTGTGTGTGTATCAATACTGGGACTTGAACTCAAGCCATAGTACTCTTAGCCTTTTCACTCAACATTGGTGCTCCACCACTTGAGCCACAATGCCACTTATGGCTTTTTGGTGGGTAATTGGAGATAAGAGTCTCACTGACCTTTTTATTTTTCCCACACTGGCTTTGAACTTCCATCCCCAGATCTCAGTCTCCTGAGTAGCTAGGATTACAGGCATGAGCCACTTGCTCTAACACTTTTAAACCCAGCAGCAGTCATATCTAAACAGTCGGAATGAATGTTGGCTCTTCTTGTTAAAGTGGTGGGGTTAGATCTGGGTTTAGGAGCATGTAAAGACATAATGGTGGAAAGGGAAGGAGAATTGGGGGGAATCAAAGCGGGTCACAGGAGAGGAGCGGCACATGTCAACGGGGCTGTATCACATTGCCTTTACATTTTTTTGGAAGTTAAATGGGACTCAAGCCTTATCTGCCTCCCAGGTTCAAGATTGTCCATTTATACCATTTTGTGTTTACTGGAAAACTGAAAACTCTCTGTTGTGAATGGGACCTGAACTTGACATTTCTGCAGGGCCACACACAAAGGAGGTATTCACCAAATATTTGTCCAGTTCAGTTAGTAAAACGTAATTCTCTCTGTCAGAACAGTCTGTGCAGCTAAGTCTTTGTAATGAGTAAAAGAAAAATCTAAATAAGAGGTTAACCATTTAGATGAATCCATTTTAATTTTTATTAAAAGATGACTTCTGACATTTGTAGAGTCTTTTCCCAGAGTGACTATTTACAGCCTGAACCACAAAAACACCCGACGTGCTTTAAAGCACTGGGCTAGGAAAATCACATGCTTGAATTTATTTACATGTGGAATATGTCTGGTTGCTCTTCTTTGGGGGAGTTGTTAAATGCATCCTGCCCCCATCCAGTGATTAAATACTTCCTTCCCTATGTGTCATAATTGCACGTCTCTGGGATGTAGCTTCCATCGGATGCAAATCTACATATTATGCTAATCAGTAAAGATAATCTGTGTGTCCCAACACCAACAATTTGATAGGAGATTGTAATACTTCTATTACATTTCACAGGACATTTTTACACGTTGTATTATTTGATCTTTCCAGTACCTTGTAGCTGAAGAGGTGATGTCACTGAGTGGGATTTACTAGGCAGGCAGGTTAGGTAGGTAGTTAGGGTCAAGCTGAGCTTAAAACTGAGGCTCCCTGATTTTCTGACTTGCAATCACATTGTTGGGAAAAGGCCCAGCTCTTGTGAATGCGGTGGAAAGTTGTGTGTGTGTGTGTGTGTGTGTGTGTGTGTGTGTGTGTGTGTGTGTGTGTATGTGTGCACGTGCACACACACATGTGTACCTGTGTAATTGATGAAATTTACCAGGTGGGGACAAAGAGTTTAGGAATTATAGCAGTTTTCTCAATCTACATACTGGACCAGGACTGAACTTGGACACAGAGCCAAAAAACGTTTTAATTGTTAAATAAGTGACTAGAAATACACACTTGGCATTACATTGAGGATGGCTTGCTCCCAAAATGGAAATGCTGAGCTATGTCACCCTGTTGTAGTAGAGTAAGGAGTGCAGTCTTAGCTGGCCTCTGAGAATACATATCATAGTCAAGTCATAGAACTAGTATAGCCACAGCTTTGAAAAAATTCAATTTTCCTGGGTACCAGTGGGTCATGACTGTAACTCTAGGTATTCAAGAGGCTGAGATCTAAAGGATCATGGTTTGAAGCTAGCCTGGGCAATAAAGTCTTCATCTAAAAAAGGAAAATTAGCCAAAAAAAAGGGCAAATCCGGATATGTGACTTGTGGTAGAGAACCAGCTGAATGAGCTGAAGGTCCCGAGTCCAAATCCCATCACCAGCAAAAAAAGGAACTTATTTATATCTTTCTGCTTAAAAGATTGATTATTCTTCAGAATTCTCTGCTTCTGTACTGCCCCCATCCACATTTTAATGGAAAACATGAAACTACTGACTCTATGTAGGCATAGATGGAAATTTTTGTCATTTCTCTCTCTTTTTAATTGCAGAGTGGAAAACCACCCATCAATGATATGTTTACAGACCTCAAAGATGGAAGGAAGTTGCTGGATCTTCTAGAAGGTCTCATAGGAGTGTCATTGGTGAGAGGCGTCATCTGTTACTTGAAGACCGACTGTGGGCATTTGAGGTGTAAAGGCTGATACAGCCTGGATGGAGCAGTATTTAGGCTTTCTTGATGCTTCTGTTTTTACTAAAGATAAAATTGCCTTAAATGCTTATTGCCTGACCAGGTTTTAATTTTTTTAAAAAAGGAATAGATTTTTAAAGCATAGTGTTACACATTTCTTGATTGTTATTATAAAGGTGATGTACAGAGGAGTTATAGTTACATAAGTCAGGTAGAGAGTACATTTCTGTTTGGACAATGTCACTTCTACCCTCACTCTCCCAGATTTTCTCTCCTGTCCCCACCCACAAGTTGCGTAGTTCATTTTCAACATAGTGTCCAGTGAGTACCACTGCTGCATTTGTTCACCCTTTTGTCCCACCATTTCTCTGCACATCCTCTTATTCTCCCAAAGACAGATAAATGGACGAGACAAAAAGAAAAGAAACCAAAAACACCAACAGAGAAAGAACCTCTTGTTTCTATTTCTTGGAGTGCATTTCAATAGATATTATTTTATGTGATCAGATGCACATAGGCATTGCGCCTTTGTGTTCCTCCCTAAGATTATCCTTCTTTGGTCTCACTGTGTGTGAATGCTCAAATTCCTGTATAATTTATCATGTCCTGTTGTATTTTAGATCTAGCTTTCGTGCGTGAGAGAAAACATGGGTCCTTTGTCCCTCTGAGCTGGGCTTACCTCACTTAACATGATTTGTTCTAGATAGATCAGCATAGTGTTTTAAATGGTAGAGAGGACTGTGGTAGGCAATTTCTTTAAACTGCTTCTTAAAGAGTTGTTAAATCTATGGCATCTACTTTTCTTCAAGATTCCAGTATTGGTGTTTGCTTCTTCATCAAATACATCTTTCTTGCTTTACAGTACTCTGTCCTCCCAGGGTGTGGCTGGTGGGTAAGGAGGGTGTGGCTGGTGGGCACACACATTTCCACCAGAGGCAGGATGAGGTCTAGGAAGAGTGATGTGCTTGTTGAAGCCTGGGGTCCTGCTCTCTCCCCTTTGCCCTCCAGGCCCCTGCTGGTCGAGCTGACTCAGCAGGTCAGTGACATTTCCGCGTCAGTCAGTGGGGTAAATTGAAAGCTGACTAGATCACTGTAACTCCAGTGGGGATGTCTTCCTCTGATCGGACTCTGGAAATGTGGCCTGGAGCCTGCGACAGTGCCTGGGGAGCCCCTGGTTCTGTGTCCACCCCTGGGCAGGCATAAAAGAACACAGGTTTCCTGATCCTTCAATATCCTGGCCAGTTTAGATTAGAAACAGCTTTGTCCTACAGCATGTAGGTAAATTGCTGTACTCATGAGTACAGTTAGATGATACCAGTTGGGGATCTGGCATTCTGTGAGCACTGGCATCCAGGCTGGTGTTCTGAGCGCCTTTAAGCACTGACCTATTTGTTGTTCTGTGGGCATTTCTAGGTCTGTGTTTGTCAGGCATTAGGTGGGATGCTGGGCTTATTTGTTTTTGTGCTTTTATTTTCCAGCCAAAAGAACGTGGCTCCACAAGAGTGCACGCCTTAAATAACGTGAACAGAGTGCTCCAGGTTCTGCATCAGAACAGTGTAAGCTTCCGAAGTGAGCCCGAGGCCCGGCCACCCTCAGTGCCCGCTGTGTGCACTGGCTGCCCTTGGTTCTTAAAGATGCTTTTCTTCGAAGTCCAAACCTCTTCTCTGAATGAACAGTCATGTGCCTTTCTGCTGGCTTTATTGATACATTGTATAAATATACTATCTCTCTCTTATGTAATTTTATTCTTGTGCTGTATTGGCGCTTGAACTCAGGGCCAGGACAGTACCCCTGAGCATTGTTTTTGCTCAAAGGGACTGTTGGACCACTTGATACACAGCTTCACTTCGAGCATTTTGGTGGTTAATTGGAAGATTAAGAGTCTCACAGACTTTCCTGCCCAGGCTGGCTTCATATTGAGAGCCTCAGATCTCAGCCTCCTGAGTAGCTAGGATTACAGGTGTGAGCCACCAGTGATGCATGGCTAAATAATATATTTTTGATATTTCTGTTTATCTGATCCCCCTAAAATGAAATCTGTCTTACTACTCATTTAAATAGTTTTGCAAAGGTCCCAAATCAAAAACCTGGAATTCTTGGCAGAACTTATCCTAAAAGTCATTTTTATTTACTTTTTTATTTTGCTAGGTGGAATTAGTGAATATAGGAGGCACGGACATCGTGGACGGAAACCATAAGCTGACTTTGGGCTTACTGTGGAGCATTATTTTGCACTGGCAGGTGGGAAAATCTCCAATCGCTTCTTGATAGTGTGTTCTTCATGTATTCACTTACTAGGGGGATCATCATCACAAAGTCCAACAAATGGATAAGCTTGATCCACAGAAACCCATTGTCTGTCGGTGGAAGAGCCTGGGCCCAGGTGTCAGCAGGGTTGCGGCTGCTCTAGGAGCTGCCGGCCGGAGCATGTCCCTGCCTCTCCACCAGCTGCTGCTGCTGCTTGTTGAACACTCAGGGATCGGATGGCTTGTGATGGTGTCCCGTGTCTTCACACAGCGTTGTCCCTGTGTGTGTGCCCTTGAACCTGTCCTAAGGACAGTGTGTTTAGCCTCCCTCAGTGACGTGTCCAAAGGCACCATTGTCAGATAAGGCTCTGTTCTGAGATCCTGGGGCTACGTCAGTGCATGTGGATTGGGATGAGCACAGCTCAGCTCATAAGGGTTTGAAGTGGAAAGGGCTGAGCTGCTCTGGGTTCCTAGCATGGGGAAAATGATCTCCATTTTTCTTATAGTCAATTAGTAAAACTGACCTACTTTTTGTTTTTGTGGGCCAGTCCTGGGGCTTGACCAGGGTGTTGTCCCTGAGCTTGTTTTGCTCAAGGTTAGTGCTCTACCACTTGAACCTCAGCTCCACTTGGGGCTTTTTTAGTAGTTAGAGATAAAGAGTCTCATGGACTTTCCTGCCCTGGCTGGCTTCAAATTGTATCCTCAGATCTCAGCCTCCTGAGTGACTAGGATTACAGGCATGAGCTACCAATATCTGACAAAACTGATCTAATTTTACTTACACACACACACACACACACACACACACACACACACACACACACACACACACACACACACACACTTTCTCTCTCTCTTTCTCTTAAAGTTTACAAGAAGAGTTCAATGAGTTCCCAAATGTCCTTCTTCAGATTCCTTACATGGGAAAGCACCTATGTTTCCTTTTGCTCATTCTTTCTTTCTGTCTAAATATTTTTATATCCTCTCTTTACTTTAAGGTGCCATAATACACTCCCTGAAACATAACATTGTAAAAAGCTAGACCTTGTTGACTTACCTGCCATATAACAGTAATGTGAAATGCATATTAATATTTGTGATTATTTTACTATAATGATCATATGCCAAAAATCATCAATAATAATTAATCAGGAAAATAACTGAATAAATATAATCTACATGTGTCATAGAGATTTTTTCTTTTGCCTACTGATACTGATACTGGGCCTTGAACTCTGAGCCTTTTGCTTTTGTTCTTTTTCAGTTTGTGCTTTATTTATTTATTGTAGCAACACGTCTAATTTCAGTTTTTTTTTTATTTAGGAATTAAGTATTGTCATTACACAAAGGGGTTACAGTTTCGTAAGTCAGGCAATGAGTACATTTCTCCTTGGACAGTCTCAACTCTCTTTTCACTCTCTCCCAGTTTTTCCTTCCGGTCCCTGGTCCCTGCTTACACTGTCAACATATTGTCTACTGGGTAACAATGCTAGTTGTTTTGCTGGTATTCAGAGATAAGAGTCTCGGGGATTAGTCTGCTCAGGCTGGTTTTGAACTTTAGATATCAGAGTAGTTAGGATTACAGCACAGACCACTAGTGCCCAGCTTCATGGACATGTTGTCCACTACCCTAATAATACCCTTCATAAAAGAAAAAGAAAATTCAAGCTCACAGGCTATATTCATTTGTCACATCTCTTTGGTTGTCTTTAATCTGGTACAGTTTACCATATGGGCACTTTTGAAGACTTAGCCACTTGCTTTGCAGAATATCCCTCCGTGTGAATTGGCTATTGTCTCTTTTGGGTTGGCCTTAAACTGTACTCCTCCTGATCTCCACTTCAGAGTAGTTGGTATTACAGGCATGAGTTACTGTGCCTGGCCCTCCTTCCACATTTTTTTTAAAACCAACGTTCTATTTGTAGCATAGAACTTCCCTTTCTCTCTTTTTTCTTTCCTTCCCTTCTACCCTTTCTTCTCCCCTCCACTCATTCATATTTATTAGTGAGTGTCTCATGACCTTTTATAATAGGTTTATTATCTTCTCCTTGTAATTATTCATCTTGATATTGTTCTTGGATGTGGCTTGTAGGTCTGTCTACATTATTCTTATAGCTACCTTAAAATGTATAGATTAGTTTAGAATAACAGGAAATAACAAGTCCTTGGATATAAGTATTTATTTATTTTTTTGGGTCTGGTTGTGGGGCCTGAACTCTGGGCCTGGGCACTGTCCCTCAGCTCTTCAGCTCAAAGCTAGCGCTCTACCACTTGAGCCACAGCGCCACTTCCAGCTTTTTTTCTTTTTGCTTATGTGGTGCTGAGGAATCGAACCCAGGGCCTCATGTATGCAAGGCAAGCGCTCTACCACTGATCCACCTTCCCAGCCCCTTCCTTGGATATAATTATACTTGTATCTATACTACTAAAATATAATAATATAATGTAACGATAAAATACTATAAGGAACTTTATTTCATCTTTTCATTTTTGGTTGTCAGCCAAGAGTACTTCCTTCCATTCCCATTCTGTAGAAAATAGAGGTTGGGTTTTCTTCATAGGGGAAGATGCTCATGTGTGAAGAGTGTTCAAGCAGTGTGTCTCATGGTTGGATTGCCAGGGGTTGGGGAGGGAGAGGGTTACAGTACAGTGGTGTCTCTTGACTAGGTGAAAGATGTCATGAAGGACATCATGTCAGACCTGCAGCAGACCAACAGCGAGAAAATCCTGCTGAGCTGGGTGCGGCAGACAACCAGGCCCTATAGCCAAGTCAACGTCCTCAACTTCACCACCAGCTGGACCGATGGGCTCGCCTTCAATGCTGTGCTCCACCAACATAAGTGAGACTTTCCTCAGGGCAAAGGGGAGAGGATGCAGGGCTGTGCCAATACCCATCTCCTTCCTGCCCTTCCTCTGCTCCTCTTCCTCAAAGTCCCTACCCGTCACCTCCGTGCTCTTCTCTGCACTCTTTTGCCAAAACGTGAAAGACAGACATATAGAGGCCAACGACCACCAAATATTTCTTTACAATTTAAATGCCACAGTGCGATGTCCACAATTTCTCCCACATATTTATAAGTTAAGCTGTAAAATATTTCGCATAGTTCAGTCCCACTCATTCTTCAGCCTTAATTAGCAATGAGTACAAAGGATTGTGTCAACTTTTATTCCTATAGCAAAAGCAAAGCTCTGTAAAGCAAAGCTCTATATTCATTACTGAAAATAGACACATGATCTTCTTAGGAAGCTTAGAAACAGACTCTGGTTTGTATATAAAAAAACCAAAGGTCCAAAAATATTCAGTTTACTGAAATACTTTCTAAGAAGAAACTAAACTCCGAAGCTATATTAAGACTATTCAGCACAATAAATAAGTACAGTAATACCACCTAGACTGAACCATATGGAATTGCCACTACTTAATTGTTCTTTTGGTTTCTTTTGGTTTGGTATTATTGGACAGAGGTTTTTTTTTTAATATATCCCAAGTTGGGATATATTAAGTTAGTTTCCTGACTTTTGGGATTACAGGTGTCTACTACCACGCCTAGTCATATTTGACTGTCTGTGATATTTAAAACAGTAGTTTCAGATAGTTCATCCTGACTGAATAATGAGTTAAAGAATAGCTCCATTATATAAGAAAATCTGATAAACAACTGAGTTGATGGTGCAGATTAACAGATGGTCTTAGATAATTGGTTATCTCTATGTAAGAAGTGAAGTTGATCTTTTCCACATCATACCCAAAAAAATAAATGCTTGGGTCTTGTGTTCTTCTAGAGGGAGGCCAACATTAATAGAGAACTGAGTACATAGATTGTATATAGAACTGGTAGCTAGCAGAAGGCAAAAGGGACCCTTACATATATGGGTGGCTACAGTGTCCTGAGTGGTGGAGCAATGGGTAATTAAGTTAGGGAGGAAATGGTACCATCAGGACTAAGGGAGGCACTCAGTCCCAGAAGGTGGGTAAGTCTCAGATGCAAGAACACAGCGCAGAGAAAATGACCAACTTCCAGTGAAAGCCATCATAATATGTAAGGGGTAGGATGAAAAGAAATTAAGATGGAAATAAAACTCTATGTCATAGTACTTTGCAGGGGGATAATTAAAGAGAAACCCTCCTGGGACCTTTGTTTTAGCATTATCTTCTAATTAGAGCTGGATTTTTTTTTTTAATTCTGTTAGTCTTGGTCTTTTTTTTTTTTTGCAGGGCAGAGAAAGGGAGAAAACCAGACTGGCCTTGAATTTGCGATCCTCCTGCCTCAGCTCCTGATTTGCTGGGGTCACATCTCCAGTCCACTGATCTTTAATTGGAGATTTTATTCTGTTCATATTGATTGGGATAATTGATGTGTTTATTTAGGTTCATTTTTACTACTTAGTGTATGCTAAGAGTTGGAGTATTTCCCTTAGTCTTCCTGTATTTTTTTCCTTTCTTTTTTTTGTTTGAATAGAGTCTCCCTATCTTTTTTATTTTACTGTTTTGGGAAATATAGTCAGAGGTTTTAGTGCCTACCCCAGAAATCTGAGTCAGCGTGTTTAATATAAGAATCTTACAATGTGGTACCTCAATTGCTTTTCAAATAATATATGTTTGACCAACTTTTGGAATATAAAAATATTTCACTTAAGGAAAAACCTCACAAAAGAATCCCAACTTGGAATCTATTAGATGGTATCAATTCCTACCTTGGTTCTAGCACATTCTTTCTTCATTAACTTTTCTTTGCCTATTGATTTCAGACCTGATCTCTTCAGCTGGGACAGAGTTGTCCAAATGTCCCCTATTGAGAGACTTGAACATGCTTTCAGCCAAGCCCAGATGTATTTGGGAATTGAAAAGCTGTTAGATCCTGAAGGTATTGTTCACCCTTTCCTTGGGAACTTGATTTTTGCATTGCTGTTTCAAATTCATGAAGGCAATATTGCTTTTCTCTTCTAGAATGCATTATAGGAATTGACTTTTTCCCTTTTGACATGTAGGTGTAAGCTGTTTGTTGCAAACAATGTTTGAGTGCTTTTGTATTTAGCCATCTGTAGGATCTTTTAGACAGAAATTCAGTTACTTCATTGTATAATCATATGTATCAATTGAGATTTGTGTTTTAGAACAATACTTTATTAGCAAGCAGTTCAGGGTTTGGTTTAGAATTATGTATATTACGTATGACTTGTGTTATAAGGTTGAGTTCTAGACTTACTTTTGTACTGTAAATAAGGTCTATTCATTGATTAAAGTTATTAAAAATTTTTTTTGCACTGGATTTTGAACTCAAGGCCCCATACTTGCTAGGTAGATGCTCTCTCGCTTGTACCTGCATGTCCAGCCCTTGTTTTTTTGCTGGTTGTTTTTGAGATAGGGTCTTTCAGACATTTCAGACAGGGCTGACCTGGAGCCTCTGTCCTACTACTTTCAGCCTCTTGCGTTGTCTAAGATTACAGGCATGAGTGGCTTGTGCTTGGTTTGTACCATTATTTTATGCTATAATATTTCTACTTCGTCTTTGAGATTTTGTTTTTCTTGGAAGACTAGGGATCAAACCCAGAGCTTCATGCATGCTAGGCCATGCTATCACTGAGGAAACTTTTTCAGAAGGTTTTTTGTTGTTGTTTTGTTTGAGATTGTGTCTCATTAGTTACCTCAAGCGGTCCTCAAATAATAATCCTGCCTCAGCCTCCCAAGTGTTGGGATTATAAATATGTTCTGCTATGTTTGGCTTAGGTAAGACTTATTTTTGTATGTGCCAGTCCTGGGGCTTAAACAAAGGGCTTTGGCACTGTCCTTGAGCTCTTTTATACTCAACCAGTGCTCTAGCTCTTGAGCCACAGCTCCACTTCTGGCTTTTTGGTAGTATATTGGAGATAAGTCTTATAGACTTTTTTTTTTACCTCAAACTGCAACCTCAGATCTCAGCCTCCTGAGTAGTTGGGAATACAGGTATGAGATACTGGATCCTGGTTAGCTCAGGTAAGCTTTTTAAGGAATGGATACTGAATGAAAAAAGTAAACAGTCTTCTCCAACTTTTCTCATAATATATGATGTGACACAGCAATTTACTGTAACATGGTATTACAGAGATTCATTAGGTATTGTTTATGGTTAAGAAGGAGACCTATATTATAACCTAATATTGAAGTGTTCACATATTTTGGACATTTAATTTAAGTTGCTTCTTACTTTCTTCCATTTTTAGATATTGCTGTGCAGCTTCCTGACAAGAAATCGATAATCATGTATTTAACGTCATTGTTTGAGGTGCTACCTCAGCAAATCAGCATAGATGCCATCCGTGAGGTTGAGACTCTCCCAAGGAAGTACAAGAGAGAGTGTGAGGAGGAAGACATTCATATACAGGTACTGGCGCCTTTATGTGACAGTGTTTGACACCTGCCACATTTCTTTTCTCACAGGGACCAGAGCACAATATTTCCATGGGGTGTGTGTGGGGGGAGGGGGGGGAGGAGGTGGCGTATCTTGAGTTTTCCATGCATATGACTTTTAGATGCTATTTTTCAGTTAGCCTGCTGTATGTCAATAGAAAGTAGGTCACATGTATGTCAATAGAAAGTCGTAACTAACGTTATTCAGAAGGAAATACATTACTTCACATACCTGGGGTGGATTTAGGGTCTTGGGCTATTAACCATGCTTTTGCATGACCTGAATCAGGCCACCACTCTTCTCTCATACCCTGGCTGCCATCTTTGATACCCTTGTCAGGTGCTCAAGGTGATTTTGCTCCTGTCTTAGGTTTCCTCTTTTTTTTTTTTGTCTTTTGGGCCACTAATAAGTATTTTTCCCATTTTTCCCAGGCCTAGTGGCTTACACCTGTAATCCTAGCTATCCTAAATGTAAAGAAGGATTTGTTATCCTTGCAGTGGGGTTCTGGGGAAAAGGAGTCAGAGTGAAAGGGTCTGTTGATAGACTTGAGCAGTTAAGACATGTGAACATGTCTTTTATGGTTGTCTGTTCACTTATATGCACGTGAAAAGTTCTCTTTACAACTTGTAGGGTGAGAGTTGGATGTGGAGAGAGTAGGCAGGTTTTAAAGGAGCTTTGCTCTGATCAGGAAGGGAAGAGCAAGAGACACAGTAGGTGTGGTTTGTGCATGGAAGTATACAAATAAAAACTCAGCTGCTTGAAAAGAGTCTGAGAGAGGTCTATTCCGTGAGCATTCCATGAGAAAGCAAGAAAGGAAAAGAGGAAGAAAGGAAGGAAGAGAGAGAGAGAGAAAAAGAAGAGAAAGGGACAGAGATAAAGGAGTAAAAGAAAAGGGAAAGAGAGGAAAACCAAACTGAGGAAGTAATTGACCTAGGGACCGTTTTCTCAAAAAAGAACATGTACTAAAACCAAAGCACTAAGTACCTCAGGTTGTATATGTGGCTAAACACACAGGGTGGTAAGCAAGGGGTTACAAACGAACTCTCTGTGGAGAGCACTGGTAGTGTCATTCTTTAAAAAGACTAAGTCAAAGCCCAACAAAATAAAGACCAGCGAATGGATACTGCGAAGAGATGTAGGTGATGCCAAGGGTAGAAAAATGAAGGGGATGGGGGAGGATGCAAGCAATAATTCATTGTATACACCACAGAATTGAGAACTATAAGGGAAGGGATGGATCGAAGGGGGGTGAATGTGTTGAAGGCTGACACAGCTCGAGATGCATTGTACACATGAACTTCTTTGTTAAATGGCAGTAAAATCAATACATAAAACCTCAAATTAAGGTAAGTAAGGGAAGGGGTGGGTTGGGAAGGGGTGGATGAGAATGTGGAAAGGGGTGACATCGATTAAGATGCACTGTATTCATACATTGCTTTATTGAATGGCATCTCCTTTGTACAGGTCCTTAAAGATAATAAAAAAATATTAAAAAGAATGCAATGGCAAAATGCATGTCAGATTCAGTGAGACCATTTTAAGCAGGGGTCAAAGCAGAGTGCTGGTCTCTCTTTCTTTCTGTAAATTACATCCATTGTTCAAGATCCAACACATTTCCGCTCCTCTGTGAAATCCTCTCGCTGCTTTCACCCTGGGTACTTTCAGATGACAGTCCTTGGTGACAGCCCAGGATTCCTAACTTGGCAGAGAGTTGTGTCTTTTTGTTCAGCAATTCATTTGTGTTCCTTCTCTCTCCAGCTCTGTCAGAATCTCTGAGGCTGAAATGATGTTGCTGTCTGCGTGCATGGGATAAACACTCCCAATTCTTTCCCTGTATCTCTTGTCCTGAGAACATGAGGTGGTGGTACACACCGTGTGTTCTTGATCTGCACCTTGCATCTTGGTGACAGTTGGTTCTGTTTTTATAGGACACACCGCTGGTGGGGGAGCACTCCACCAGTCCCCTAGCCGAGACCCCCCGCACGGTCACTGAGGTGGACACGGATCTGGACAGCTATCAGATAGCCCTGGAAGAAGTGCTCACCTGGCTGTTGTCTGCTGAGGACACTTTCCAGGAGCAGGATGACATTTCCGACGATGTAGAAGAGGTCAAAGACCAGTTTGCCACCCATGAAGTAAATATCTGTTGTGGATGAGCGAGATCTAGCAGCCCTGATCTGTGAGCTGTAGGCTCCTTGCCTTCAGCAAGGGTTTCCACTTGCATTTTTGGTTGTTGTTGTTTTGAACTCTATCTGCCAAAAGGTCATGAAGTATTTTAGTTGTGATGTTCAAAGAAGGCTTTGTTAGGAAATTGTTGTTGGTGATTCAGTGCATCACAGTCAGATTTCAGATGTTAATCCTCTGGTAACGTGGGTATTTTATAGAAGCACTGACAGAAATCAGTGCTCAGCTGTGCCCATTTGTCAAGTGTATTACCATAGGGAGGAAGCAGAATGACTAATGAAAATAGCAAATCTTTTTTTGATCTTGAGTGTTTTCCAGGAAGTGATTATTTTCATTTTTTTATATGTTATTAAGCAAATGTCATACCCAGGGTTCCCATATAATTTTATGTAATGAGTGTTGCTTGCTATTTTGAAGATTGTGTTATATTGCAGGGTAGTGATTTTGAATATGTGGAGAATAGCTATGCAGTTCTTTGTGTGGTAGAAGTGGTACTGGGGATTGAACTCAGGGCTTTGCGCTTACTAGGTGGGTACTCTTGTCACTCCAAACACACCACCAGCTACTTGTTGCGTTGGCTGTTGTCAAGGTAGGGTCTTGCTTTTTGCCCGATCCAGACTGGGATGTGGTCTTCCTGTTTTTGCTTCCCCATTTTTTTTTTTTTTTGTTAGGTATGACAGATGCATGCCACCATGCCCAGCCATTGGCTGAGATAGAGTCTCCTTAACTTTCTTTTGCCTGGGCTGTCCTTGAACCAGAATCCCAGATCTCCATCTCCCAAGTAACTAGGATTCTAGGCTTGTGCCACTGTGCCTGGCTTGGTTAAGTTTTCGTATAGGTAGGAAAGTTCTTGACACATCTTAAATACTATTTTGGATCCAAAAGAATAATAATATCCCATAAGCAGTTCCTCTTACATGAATATGGTATTTTTCTTTATTATATTTGTTCCTAATTTCACGTTCATGATCTCTTAGTAGCAGCAGCAGCACTTTTAGGAAACAAATATTATACATTTTAAGAAGCAAGTATGATAGCCTCGTTCTCCTTGATGTATTTTTCTGTTGACTTACACCGGTGCTTATTTCTTACAAACATTGCATCCAAGAGTACTTGATTGTTCCTCTACTAGGCTACTTTCTTCGAGGCATTGGTATTTCGGTTGCGCACTAGTAATATCTTGAGGTTAGCAGTCCATTCACCAGTCAACATGATGTACTTGCTAGATGTCTTTTTTTTTTTTCCTTCTAAAATTGACTTACAGCAGTTACCTAGGGGCAATTTCATCATTACGTCTGCACACTTGTTAGGCTTTTATGATGGAGCTGACCGCACACCAGAGCAGCGTGGGCAGCGTCCTGCAGGCTGGAAATCAGCTGATCACACAAGGCACTCTGTCGGATGAAGAAGAGTTTGAGATTCAGGAACAGATGACCTTGCTGAATGCTCGATGGGAGGCGCTCAGGGTGGAGAGCATGGAGCGGCAGTCCCGGTGAGTGGCACCCGCGTAGAACTAGCCTGGTGACATTCTCTGTTCTGTGTGTCACAGTGCTGGAATTCGACACCATCTTCATCTCCTCTGTGATATGTCTGCCAAGTTAAAAGGTCAGAGTTGTGAAATGGAAGTGGGTGCAAAGGGGAGAGGCATTTCACACGGACAGGAACCTGTGCAATCTGGCAGTTGGATTAACGTTGGCAAAGCGAACTGAATATGAGGATGGGATCATGTAATGTGGACCTGTTATCCAGTGTTTTTCTGTGGTCCATTTGATTTCATGCGTTGTGTGTGATACAGTCCGTTACTGTTTGCACTTATTTAATAAGCAGGAATTCCTGATTGAACAAACAAGGCATCAGAGATGAATGCAGGTCGCTGTTACATTCTGTGATTGCATTGTATGGACTGAAAGATTTTGTTTTCCTGGGTCCTGTACTTACAGACTACATGCTATTTAAGTAGTCTCTCAGGGCTGTGTTCCTTGTTCTGTCTCTCTGATACCTGGGCAAGGGAACCAGAGGTGGGAACATTGCTCTGTCCCTTGCTTGCTTCCCTTGCCAGGCTACACGACGTGTTGATGGATCTGCAAAAGAAGCAGCTGCAGCAGCTCTCGGCCTGGTTAACCCTCACCGAAGATCGCATCCAGAAGATGGAAAGCCGTCCCCTTGAGGATGACTTACCATCCCTGCAAAAGCTGCTTGAAGAGCACAAAGTAAATCTACCTTCTGTTTCTTCCCTACCTTCTCTGATGTGAAAGAGCAGCCATTAGCATCCTCAGGGCCCATGGCTTCTATCAGTGTGGAGTTGTCCTAGCATGGAGTTCATGTGGGTATTTCACTTTTCTGAGCCAGGGATGACAGCACAGGTACAGAAAACCACTTTATGTAGGTGTGCACGGTTTTCTGGTGAACGTGCATAGCTTGCATTAGGTTGGACTTGCCAGTCGTTGAGAAAAAAACCTAGATGTTGGTCCCAGGTATGGGTTGAGAAGGTAATCCTGAGATGAACCTATTCCATTTTTTTTTTTTTTAAAAGCAAATCCTTTGTTCCTTTTCTGACGGAAAAGAAGGGTACCAGGCTTTGGGTGAGGTGGGATTTGAAGGATATTTTAATTGGCTCACAAACATTTTATAGATTTCATAGCTATGATAAGCAAAAGCAGTGTAAAATAACTTCTATAGATTAAAGACTTTATTGATCAATGAAACATCTATATCATGGATTAATAAAGCATTAGGGCTACATTAAACATTATTCAATAGGCATTTGACACCACTGTTGATAGTGCTTAAACAAATTACCTCTCCGCGGGTGTCTGATGACTGTACTTTCCCTACCGAAGAGGGAAGGAAAGGCCTCCATATGTCTTTAATTGCTTTCTTGAGTAGCTAATTAAAATAGCTTCTGCATAGCAGATAGACTTCTAGTGTCTGTTTCTTTATACTGGACCAGCTACATCTCTGGTTCAGTATATTTGGAGTTTCTTACTCACTAATTCTCTCTCTATTTTTTTTGTCTTAATTCCTAGTATAGACCCCCCCCCCCCTTGCTCTTTTATGATTTGGTGGGGGAAGGGCAGAATACAAATGATGATAAACCATTTGTGATCTGTTATCAGCTTTGAATTTTCATACTGCTTGGGTTCATACCAAGATGTAAAGATGTATAACAGGCTTGCCCCATTACTAGAACACTTAGGATAATGATTGGAAATTTAAATATGGTGCCTCATTAGCTGCCCTTAATGACTATTGACAGTGGAGTGGATTTTAAAAAGGTAAATGTGTTAGGGTAGACATAACACCTTTAACTTATTTTTTTTCTCTATAGAGTTTGCAAAATGACCTTGAGGCTGAGCAGGTAAAGGTAAATTCCCTGACTCACATGGTGGTCATAGTTGATGAAAACAGTGGCGAGAGTGCTACGGCTATTCTGGAAGACCAGCTGCAGGTAAGAACCTGTGTTCCAAGGGCCGCTGAGGGCAGCAGGCTTTATGATCAGCCCCGTTGTTTACCCAGGATAGAAGGAAAACCTACTGTGCTATTCAGCTTTCCATTATCATAACCAAATACCAGACACAGGCTACGTTATAAGGAAGAGAGTCTTGTTTAGCTGAGTTTTGGAGGCCTATTTAGTTCAGTATGGAATGGGCGCTGGTTGAGGCTCCTCCTTGGCTGCATTCCATCATTGCGGGAGCACACATACGTCTACCTGTATAGTGTCTCCCTACAAAGACTGTGTTCAGTCAGGGTGGCACCACTCTAACGACTTAATCTACTCTAGACCTGTGCAGATAGCCTGCCCCTACACACCATAATCACATTAAGTTTCTACCTTCTTTATAAACTCCTACATGATTTGGAAGACAAACCATCACACCTGCCCTTGACTGTACTTCCCATGTGGAGTTGCGCAGCATGTGGGGTTTAGGAGTACCCAGGTAGGGCTCCCCTACTTCAGCTCTTGCGGTGAGTGGACGGGGCTGGTTGGACAGCTTCCTGGATGTAGTATTAATTGGATTCGTTTGGTAGATTCACACATGGATTTCCATAGTTTTGGGAGGCATAATAAATTGCTCTTCCTCCTCCTCCCCTTCTTCCTTCTTCCTTCCTTCCTTCTTCCCTTCCTCTTCCTCCCCTTCCTTCATCCACAAAGCAATAGTATTTCTATTTTTCTTTTTTTTCTTGTCTTTCAAATATGGCCTCACATTTTTGCCTGGGCTAACCTGGACCTGATTCTCCTATTATGTCTCTTACATAGCTCGAGTGACGATTGCATCATTGTGTCCAGCTGATTTGTTGAGATCAGGTTTCATTAACTTTTTGCCGTGATTGTCCTCTTCACTTTTTCATAGGTAGCTGGGATTACGGGTAGGGGTACCATCTACATAAAGAGATGTATTGGTATTTCATTTAATAGTGCTTGGATTACCTATTAGGACATTGCCAATTCTTTAATAATGTAACTTCACCATATGCAATTCCTTTTTATTTGTAATATTTAAAGTTGGCCTATGGCTCTGAGACTTCCCTGAAGTCGTAGTGTGTAAGTGTAACAGTGATATGCGACGTAGCTACTCATATCTTGAATATTTGGTAGTGAGGAAACAAGTTGAAAGGTAAAGGGATCTCCTAAGATGACAGTGAGTTATGCTAAGATGTGGCTGGAGACTTGCCTTCTGGCTTTGTATTCTCTCCATTGTATGTTCTGAAAAGCTTATGCCATATCAAAACAGTACAATTAACTAACTCGTGTTCACAAGTAAGAAAGTGGAAGTACATTTTATCATTTGTTAAGCATTTATAAAATCAAAATGCAATTTTTATTTTGGGAGGATTATGAGTTTTAAAAGTTAAATAGATTTCTTTGTCCAGTATGTGGGATGTGCTCTGGATCATCCTGTAAAGTAAACCGAGCAAATCATTAAGCATTTTATTGTTTTATAGTAATCAAACACATTCTCACACTGAAGACATAGATTGTAAGGTTGGACATTTTTCCTAATTAGGTTACTACGAACAAAAGCATTCTCGGTATGTATTGTGTTTTTGTTTTAACTTGTCTTTGCAGTTCTGGGGTTTGAGCTCAGGGTCTTGGATCTACTACACAGGCACTCTACTACTTTACGGGTCCCTTTTTGCAGTGGCTGTTTTTGAGATAGTGTCTTGTTTTATGCCGGGCCAGCCTGGATGACTATCTTCCATTCGTGCTTTCCTTTGTCATGGGGTGACAGGTGCAGCCACTATTGCACCCAGACCTTGTGCTTCCCCATAGCTTGGGTGACTGAGGCAGGTCACGCCACCCAGCCGTGGACTGAGATGGCGTGATGCAAGCTTGTATGCCTGGGCTGGCCTCCAACTATGATCTGCTGGCTGTGGGTCATACTTCCCAAGTAGCTAAGATTGTAGGCTTGGATAACCACAGCTGACTACTTGCTTTATTCTGAAAGATAATTATAACAAGAATAATTTGAAGTACAAATGAATTAGAGACTTTTGCTGTATTTCACAGTGTATATAAAAATGTGACATTCTTGTATAAGAATAGAGAAACGGGAGGTGCGTGGTAGAGCGCCTTTCTCCCAATAGGTGTAAGTGCCAGTTGTGTTGCTCGGTAGCTCAGAAAAGTGAAATGATTTAATGAGTTAATTCTGTGGAAATTAGGTATTCTCATCTGTATATTTATTAAATTAGCCTGCATAATTTTTAAAGTCAACTTTTATAAAGCTTTTGTATACATTGCTTCTTTTAAATAAAGAGCCGTGGACTTGTGAGCTACTCCCTCTTTGGGCTGTGCTGACAAAGGCTGGTTTCCTCCTTGCCTAGAAACTCGGAGAGCGCTGGACAGCTGTGTGCCGTTGGACTGAAGAACGCTGGAACAGGTTACAAGAAATCAATATATTGTGGCAGGAATTATTGGAAGAACAGGTATGAAACCCTGTTATCCTCAGGGACAAAGATAGAATGAAAAATAGCTCATCTTTTATTATAACATTAGAATGAGGTTGTCTTCTTTGAGAGGAAAATATATAATAATTATTATTATTAATATTATTAATTGTGCGTGCGTGCATGTGTGTGTGTCACTATTAAGGCTTGAACTTAGGGCTGAGGCTCTGTTCCTTAACTTTTTTACTGGTATTCTAACACTTGAGCTACAGCTCTACTCCCAGTGTTTTGGTGGTTATTTGGGGCTTTGAGTCTCATAGACTTTCCTTCCTGGCTTGGATTTAAAACAAGGTCCTCAGAACTCAGCCTTTTAACTAGCTAGGATTACAGCTGTGAGCCACTGGTGCCCAGATGTTTATTATTTTAAAAATCAGATTTCTATCTATTTTTCAATCAGTTGTGCAGCTTATTCATAAAGATCATGTCATATAACTCCTTGTTAGTAATATTTAATTTGATCAGTGTTCATTATTCAAAGTCTTAGTGCATGGACATGCTATGATCTCAACTTATTAAACATTGTAAAGTGATTCTAATTGAATTTATATTGGGCAGTGTACTTGAATTTGTACCAATAAGACTCCCAGCCTATGATTTGTGCTCAATCAATAATTAGTGAGCAAATCTACTCCCTACATTTTAAACCTTAAAGTACAAGAATTTTTCTTCACTTTTCACTAGGATAAATATGGAAATGAATGAGCAACTATTTTTTGGCCTTGCCTTTCATAAAACCCTCAGTTGGTATGTTTTTTCCAGAAGAGATCAGCATAGGAAATGAAGCAAAAAAGCAGAGCTGTAACTCTTGCTTTTCAGTTGGAGTGGGTGACCCTCGGGCCACACTCTACCCTGGTAGAAAACCAGCCATGGAAACAGAATGCAAAGAAATGTAACCTTTCTTCCTGAAGGCCAGACAGTCATGGTCTTGTAAATCAGTAGGTTTCTATCCCTACCTTTCGGCGTCGCTTCGATTCTTTTAAGAACACTTCAGTTCTGTCCATAACGAGCAGCCGTATTCTCTTCTTGAGATAGAGAAACCAGGGCTAAGATGTTTTGTGGTTTACTAAACACAGTGGTGAATTATATGTCTCCAGGGTTAGGTTGGAAAGTTTGTCCAAATAAATTATCAATCACTACATTCCCCTCATCTTCTTTAAATTGCATAATGAACTGGTTGTGTGTTCTGAAATATTTATGTTGTACTTTACCAATATTTACATCTACTTGGAACTCTTCAGTCAAATCAGAGAGTCACATAGAAGAGTTAAGAGTTCGGTCTCCCATGACCATGGGAGACATTGTTTGCCAGGGAACACCAGAATAATGTTATAATTTAAAAAATACTATAAAACTAGAGTGGCTAGTATCTTGGATATTTGTGTCACTTGAAGTTTTATATTAACCTCACTTTCTACTAGCATAGGGCATTGCAGTTATATTTGTGTGCATACGTGTGTGCATGCATGTGTGTGTATGTGTGTGTGTTTGTGCACTCATGTGTATATTCTCTGCACCTTCTATTCTATTTGATGGTTAAGCATGTGCATGTCGATATGTCTGATATGAGACTGAGGAGAGCATCTGTATTTGTCTCCATTTTTTTTTCCCATTGAAATATAGAGGTGAGAAGTAGTTGTTCAGTAAATGAATGAGATCGTTGAGAAAGAATGATTCCAGTTGCCAATACAGAACCAAGATTGCTCCCTCCCCTAGTTTGGTAGAAAAGGCTTTCTGTAGAACATGCTCCATTTTGGGAAGAATTACCCCAATGCAGCCACAGTTGCTTTCCACTTCTCTTCAAAGTTATCTCTATATTATTTAATGTCTTCTCCCTGAGGAACAGTAAGTTTTGAACAATGAGTTTTAAATATTGTTATTAATGGCTTCAGACCATTGCAAACCTTCTCCTTTCATCCTGTGACTTAGAACTTTGACCATTAGTGTTGTTTTCTGCACAGAGCCATGGAAAGACCTTGGGTTAGGGAGGAGAGTCCTCGATCTAATTTGGTCACCCATTAGCCAGTGGATCTCCAACATTCAACCTCACTTCTATCTCCCCAGTCTCTAAAAAGAGAGACTGGAACAATGCGATCTCTGAGCTTCCCTCTACTTCTAGATTTGTGATAGGATTCTTTTGGAGAGACTTGGATTGTGGGCATAGCATTTTCCATCCATCTGCCTTTCTGAGATTTAGGTTTAGTTACTGCATCAGTCTGTTTTTCTGTGGTTCTAATAGAAATACCCACAGCTGGGTAAGTGTGCTGAAAAGCAGCTTAAATACCTTATTGTTTGGGAGACTAAAACTCGGCACTGCATGGCCTGGGTTGTCTGTCAGATCATGACAGCTGGCATTTATGGTTGAAGTACCCACAAGATAGAGTGATCACGTGATGAAGCCAGGTAGCCGGGAGGGTACAGCCTGGCTCTTGTACTAACGTCCTCTCTGAGGACACAGCGGGGCTTCATTAACTCCTTGTGCAAGCAGCATCCGCAGTGATCTCCATGACACTCTATGGCTTACACAGTTTCGTGCTGTTTACTTTTTCTTGGTGTGCTTGTTTATTTTAAGTAGCTGTACAAAGGGGTTTCAGTTTAACACGTCTGTGTGCGAATATGATGCTTCGATCCGTGTCACCTTTATCATCATTTCCCCCATCGCTCCCCACCCCAGCCATCCCCTAAGTTACCTCAGTCCATTAGCACATATACATACTGAGTGTAAGGCCTACATTTGGCCACCCTTCTTCCCTCTGTTTATCTGCTTCCCCTGACCATACATGTTTCAAGCTTCCTGGTATTCACTTTGTGAAGCTGTTTGTTAGCTGTTCTGAGCAGGTACATCAGTGGAATTATCCTCCTTCAAGCATACCATACTTCAGTCAATTTTTGTGTGTGTATAGATGCATATGACCTTATACATGTTCATGATTTAGATCTAACAAATCACCATTCTGAGGGCCAAAACCTAAACTTGGGCACACTGAAACTCTCTTGCAATCATCTTGGTATGGGGGGTAATGGCAGATAGATCTGTTAAGGATAATGGTTTTAAAAACATTTTTTTCTGAGTAGTTTGCAAGATCTTACTTAGAGGCTTGACGTCTTTCTTATCCCTGAGCAAAAGGAAAAATGTGAAATAAAGATTTGGGAACTTGAGTTGGATTCTCAGATGAGTTAGATACATTTCCCACTTTTGTCATTACTTACAGTGCTTGTTAAAAGCTTGGCTCATTGAAAAAGAAGAAGCTTTGAATAAAATCCAGACGAGCAACTTCAAAGACCAAAAGGAACTCAGTGTCAGTGTTCGGCGTCTGGCTGTAAGTGTTGGCCTGGTCAGCGTGTGTGTTGTAAACCTGCGTGATATCTTAGTCCTTTGGGTTGAAGGGTAGTACTTCATGATTGCAGGTTATGGCTATTTTACCCAGTGCTAGGGAGCCACACACAATGAGCAAAACCAGGAGTCTTCTGTTTCAGCCCCAGGAACAGCCAAGCATGCAAACTTTTCTATACAATGTGTGTGTGGACATTTCTTGACTGGGGAACAGGAAGATAGGAGCTTATGGAAAGAGAGAGAGTCATTTAATAAATATCTGAAATATTAGATTTTGAAGGAAGACATGGAAATGAAGCGCCAGACATTGGATCAGCTGAGCGAGATCGGCCAGGATGTGGGTCAATTACTTGCAAATCCCACAGCATCTAAGAAGATGAACAGCGACTCGGAAGAACTGACTCAGAGATGGGATTCTTTGGTCCAGAGACTAGAAGATTCCTCCAACCAGGTACCTTTCTGAAACAGTATATTGTCTAGTAAAAATGTACACATTCCGGTTTGCGTTAGTTCTTACAAAAGAAAAGAGGAGTAGATACAATAAGCTATTAGTTCCTTATACCTGATATGATAAATGATTGACACATGGAAACGTCCTCAGTTTTCTGAAGCTCTTACTAGATCTTCCAGAAGCTTATTCATAGCAGTAGTTTAATCTGTAGGGACTGATGACATTTAGGCAGCTGTACAATAAATATTCTTAAATTTTTAAATCTTAAGTAATCATATTGCTCTTGATACTTTACTGTATCGGTTGAGTGTAGTGGCTCATGCCTGTAATACTAGCTCCTTGGGAGGCTGAGATTGGGAAGATCATAATGCCCATCCAGCCTGGGCAAGATGTTTGTGAGACCTCCATCTCAGTTAAAGCTGGATATGCTGGACTGTACCTGTCATTCTTCCTGCACAGGAAGCATAAAGCAGAGGCAAGATATGAGACCCTTTTCAAAACAGAAAGCAAGCAAAAATGACTAGACATGGGATATGGTTCAAATGGCAGAGCTTCTGCCTAGCAAGCACAAGATCGTAAGTTCAAACTCTAGTACGCCCCCATAAAAGAAGACTTAGTGACTGAGATGACATTTTGGTGAATGCTTACAGCAGCATTACTCACAATGATCAAATGGAAGAATGAGTAAATCAAATGTGGCATATCCATATAATGCAATATTAGTTGGTAATAAAACAGAATGAGATGCTGACACCTGGTAGAGCACGGAACTTGAATAAACCATGAAAACATTACTCTGGGCTAATGAAGCCAGTCATGTGATTGATTGAATGTAGGACCAGTCTATCTACATAAGGTATCCCAAATAGGCAAATCCTAGGAGACAGAAAATAGAGTTGGGGGAACAAGAAATGGATTTGGCTATTAAGGGGCATGAAACTTCTTTGGGGGAATGACAAAACTTTTGGGGGTGACAAAATTTGGGGGGGGAGATGTTGGAGTTAGAATGAGAGCGTGTTTACACAGTGACTACTTGCACACTGAGAACCCTAGAATTACACTTGTGCAAAAGGAAGCTGGTATGTGCTGTGTAGCCCCTTTAAAGCTCTTTCTGCCTTTTTTTTTTTTTTTTTTTTTTTGGTTTTTAAAATTATTTTTTGGTTGGTTGTGGGCTTGAACTCAGGGCTTGGGCACTGTTCCTGAGCCTTTTTGTGCTCAAGGCTCTATCAGTTGAGCCGTAGTGGCACTTCTGGCTTTTTCTGTGTATGTGGTACTGAAGAATCAAACCCAGGACTTCATGCATGCTAGGCAAGCATTCTACCACAAAGCCACATTCCCAGCCTAAAGCTCTTTCTGTAGAGTTTAAACGTTTTGCTCACTTTTTTGTTTCAGGTGACTCAGGCTGTGGCCAGGCTGGGGATGGCACAGATTCCTCAGAAGGATCTTCTGGAGACCGTTCGCCTAAGAGAACAAGTCACCACGAAAAAGTCTAAGCAGGAGCTGCCCCCACCTCCTCCCCCAAAGAAGAGACAGATCCACGTGGATGTGGAGGCTAAGAAAAAGTGAGAGCAGCAGTGTTTCCAAACCCTCACTGCACAGTAGCGCATTCTTTTCTCCTGCGCGGTTACTTTGTATTGCTTATGAGTGAAACTCCCAAAAGCTGATGTTTGCTTCTGATTCACCTTGATACCTTGTTGAGCTCAGTGTCTGGGTTATAATAAGGCTTGATAATTACATCTTGAACAAAAGATGCCATTCAACTTAGGAATGCTTGTGCTTTGGTTTTCCTGTTACTATCTAACCAAGTCTGCAAGGGATTCTTAAAGAAGTTAAAAAAAGTCATATGATTATTTTATTCATTTATTTATTAATAGGATCGTATTGTTACTCTATTTATATTCTTACTTGTAATGATAGGATCTTACTGAGTTGGCTATATTTCTGGGTGGCCATTTTGGGGCTGTCATTGGAAACACATGAAGGCTGGGTGTTTGCATTGTTCTTTCTGGAGCTAAGTAAAATCACAGGAGGAAAGAAATGACAGAAGGTAATATCTGAATCCTCACTCAGGTTTGATACAGTGAGTGCAGAGCTGTTGAACTGGATTTTGAAATTCAAGACTGCCATTCAGACCACAGAGATAAAAGAGTATAAGAAGATGCAAGACACTTCAGAATTGAAAAAGAAGTTGAAGGTAACACTTACAACCAAAGTATTCTAGCGAATAAAATACTTCATCAGGTCAAGCTTCCTGAGATGGTGTCCAAAAGCTTCCTGTGAAATAAACGTAGCGGTAGGCAAATACATTCAGAACATTGTAGAATACTGAATTCTTTCAGTCTAGCTTCATTAGATACTTGTGTAGAGAAAATTGACCCCTCCCTTTGTGTTTTTTTTTTGTCGGTCGTGGTGCTTGAACTCTGGGCCTGGGCGCTGTCCCTCAGCTCTTCAGCTCAAGGCGAGTGCTCTACCACTTGAGCTACAGCGCCACTTCCGGTTTTCTGGTGGTTTATTGGAGATAGGAGTCTCACGGTCTCTCCTGCCCGGGCTAGCTTTGAACCTCGATCCTCAGATCTCAGCCTCCTGAGTAGCTAGGATTACAGGCGTGAGCCACCAACGCCCGGCTTGACCCCTCCCTTTCAACCATTGATGTTATACAGTAGGAAACACTTGCTAACATGACCTGGTTATAATATAAATTTTTAAAAATTCATTTATCCATCAATCCATCCAATCAATTCATTCATTCATGCATTCATTCATTCATTCATTCATTTTGTGCCAGGACTGGGGCTTGAGTTCAGGGTGTCACACTCTGTCCAAGGATGGTGTTCTACCACTTCAGCCACACCTCCACTTCCCATTACTCTTAAAACCTCATTTAGACGTACCTTAATCCGGGAACTAGTAATTTATAGCTCTGTGTTATTCCAGAGATTTTTGCCTTCTGAATACAACAGTTTGAAACAGTTAATGTTTCAAATCTCAAAATTTATTCAAACTATGTTTCTTTGGGGGGTGAAAAAGACACACAGTTTTAAAAAACTAAGTATCTTCAGCCCCATTGTACCCTTGGGCTCTGCACCTGCAGAATCAACAATCTCAGATGAGAAACATTGGGTAAAAATTTTCCAGAAAGTTCTAAAAAACAGAACTTGAATTTGCCACATCCCAAATGCGACACTGAATCCATGAAAGGGTTGTGATATGTCACTAGCTTCTTCAGTTTCCTCTTGCACATAGCCTCCATCCTTCAGCCTTCCTCATTTGAATATTGTTCACCTGTGTCTTGGTCATGTATCTGTGGTTTTAGAGCTAGGTTGAGAGATCTGTACTGAACATGGGCAGACTTCATTCCTTGTCAGATTTCCCTGAGGAAATATAGTATGGGAATGATTTAGACAACATTGCTGTTATTTGACCTCAAACTTGATTTTGAGTCTCTAGGAAGATATGTGTAGATTGTAGGATAAATAATATACTACTTCATAGTAGGACCTTAAATTTCTCCAGATTTTTAGGTATCTTTAATAGAACCAATGTCCCAGACAAATACTGAGAGAGGAATGAATTAAAATTAAGGTCCACTCTTCAAATATAAAGAGCAAGTTACTTTGGGTCAGGTCCCAAGGTGTATTGATACTATTTAACAAAAGGTACGAAATGGGCTGTGGTTGAAGTTTCCATTGGATCCTGGACTTACAGTGCTAGTCACAAATAAGACTGAGGCTTAAGAGATAATATCTCTTGAACTCTAGCATACCATGTCCAGTTCTTTTGACTCAAACCACTGTTTTTATGGTGTGAAATACTCAGGCTCTGTTTGCAAATAGGTATCATACAATACACTGATTTCAATTATTTCCTCTTTATAGAAACTCATAATTATAGTATACAATTTTGTGTGTGTGCATGTGTGCACATGCATGTGCACTTGTGCATATATGCACATGCATGAGCCATTACTGAGGCTTGAACTGAAGACCTGATGCTATATCTTATGCTCATGGCTAGCACTCTAGAGCTCTTTGGCCACAGCTCTACTTCCAGTTTTGATGGTTAATTGGAGATAAGAGCTCATGCACTTTCCTGGCTTTGAACCAGAATCCTCAGATCTCGGCTTCCCGAGTAGCTAGGTTTATAGGTGTGAGAGACCAGCACTTGGCTACTATACACCTTTCTACTGTAAAAGAAACGAAGTTTTGTGAGGCTGGGAATTAGACCCAGGGCCTTGGGCACGCTAGGCAAGCACACAATCACAAAGCCACAGGCCTACCAAAAAACTAAAGTTTTACAGTTTCTATCACCGTGTTTCATTGTACTTTTTAGGTTTATTTGTCTGTGGAGTACTGAGATGTCTCTTGGAATTGCAGCGTTTTTAAAAATTTTTTTATTGTAATATTCTTGTAGGTAAATCTGAAATACCTAAAGGCCATATGAGAGGGACACTGAACATAAACATTTAAAATAGCACAATTGAGAAGAAAGTTTGCAGTGTTCTTATATCGGGCCTTTATTTCCAGGGACTAGAAAAGGAGCAGACAGAAAGAAGCCCCCGCCTGGATGAGCTAGACCAAACTGGACAAATTCTTCTGGAGCAAATGGGCAAAGGTGAGACCCTTTATTCTTTTTTTTTTTCCCCCTAGAATTTGTAGTGTTGACACTTGCAGTTTGACATATCAGACATGTAGCCCTGCAGCTATTGTTTTGCTAGAAAAGTGCTTTTCAAAAAGTTACTTTTAGACATCAGAATCTTTTTTTTTTTTTTTCCATCCCTGGGGCTTGAACTCAGGACCTGGGCACTGTCCCTGAGCTTCTTTTGCAATCTATCACTTGAGCCACAGCACCACTTCCGGCTTTTTCTGTGTATGTGGTACTGAGGAATCAAACCCAGGGCTTCATGCATGCAAGGCAAGCACTCTACCACTTAGCCACATTCCCAGCCTATAGGCATTGGAATCTTTTAGAGAGCAAAAATCTTATATTGAAGCGGAGGAACGAAACAACAGCAGGCTGTGTCTGTGGCTCATGCCTGGTATCCTAACTACTCAGAGAACTGAGATCTGAAGGACTGAAGTTTGAAGCTGTCTTTGACCAGAAAAGTCCCCATCTCCAAAATAACCAGCACAAAGCTGGGCTGACAGCATGGCTCAAGTGGTAAAACACCAGTAAACCCCAGTACTGACAAGAACAAAACAAAGCAAAAATTATATAACAGTAATTTTAACTTTTGATTTCTAATAGTTGAGCTTTCCATAAAAGGCAGTTTTCCTTTTAAAAGATGAAAAGTGTGATTTTTATCATTATTTAGTATCACTGTAGCCAGCAGTGTCTTTAGCTTAGAGAAGGCAAGATTTTAACTTTTAAAATGAGTCTGAAGAGCTAGGTGCTGGTGGGTCATACCTGTAATCTTAGCTAGTTAGGAGGCTGAGATCCGAGGACTGCAGTTCCAAGCCAGCCCAAGCAGAAAGTCTGTGAGACTCTTATCTCTAATTAACCACCCCGAAGCCAGTTGTGGAGGTGTGGCTCATGTGAGTGAGCGGAAAAGGCTAAGCAAGATCAAAAGGACCTAAGTTCAAGCTCCAATATTGGCACACACAAAAAAGAATTGGTCTGAAGGAACCAAAAGAATAGTTGAAAAGACATTATCTAATAATTAAATGAACAAACGAACTAATGAATTGAAGGCTATTCACCTGCTCCTATAGAATGAGGACTTCTTACCAGCTTCCTAGATTTGTAGATTTTATTTACTAGCTTAATTTCCTTCTTTGCTTAACATAAATGACCCTGACAGAGAAATGTAATGATTGAATCTACACTGCCTGTGTCCACCTAGAATTGAAATGACCCTGCAGGAGTCCAGCCCCAGATAGTTGGTTAAGAAAATGGTCAATTGTTTTCTCTGTGACCCCCATTAATAGAGGTGATTGAACATGGATGTGTTTGAATGTCCTGCCTAGGTCTGTTTTCCTTTGCCTGCCTTGCTGTGAGGGGCCCATGAACGTGAGCTGCTGACCTGAGCCATATATTCAAATCATGTGTGACGTCTACATTTCTAATGTTTAGTGAACGCACACTGTGGCAAATTTTTCATGTTGTATTGTCTTGTAGATCACAAGCAACTTTTTGTTTTCCCTGCCCTCCCCCCACCTTTTTTTTTTTAGTTTGAGCTTATTACCCTGGGTTTTGGTCATGGTTGTTTACAAAGCAGAATTGTTTTCTTACCCTCTTACTCAAATGAAGAAAATGCTAAGCCTGTTCTTATAACAAGCGTTTTCTCCAAATAGGAAGATTCCATTGCTACTGAAAGAATTTGATGGTATTTTTACTAAGAGAAAAATTATGAAGAGATCTATTCCCATATAAAAAGATCTGTCACCTTATCGTTTCTAGGAATGAGAAATTATGAGACTATTCAAATGTGTGAGACAAATGCAATTATGTAATTCCTATAATTAAAATACGTTGTTTTTGCCACTCCTGAGATTGTGGTTACTGGTTTGAATGATTTGGTATTTGTTTGGCTTTGTTCATTGTGCATTGTGCCTCGTAGGCCTGCTAATTTTTCTTGGGCCTGGCTTCTGCTGTAACATTCCTATAGGCCTACGGTTGCAAAAGTGATTCTTGTCATTTCCTTACCTATTTACATGACTGTGGTTTTGTCATCTCGGACTTAAGCTATCTGCCACTTTGACTGCCGGATGTTTTTATTCTTACGAAAGCAGACATAGGGCTGGGAAGGTGGCTCAGTGGTAGAGCGTTTGCTTTGCATGCCTGACGCCCTGGGTTCGATTCCTCAGCACCACATAAGCAGAAAAAGCCAGAAGTGGCGCTATGGCTCAAGTGGTAGAGCACTAGCCTTGAGCTGAAGAGCTGAGGGACAGCGCCCAGGCCCAGAGTTCAGGCTCCCACAACCGGCAAAAAAAACAAACAAACAAAAAAAAAAAAAAAAGAAAGCAGACATAACCTTTTGATGTATGAATCCCAGACAAACGGAGGCAGTTGTGTTCATTGTTGGCTTAGAGTATAAGATTGCAGAGTGGAAAGGTGGCAAGATTGGAAATGTGTTAGTCTATAGAAGAGGAATGATACATGCTCTACTGATATGCCTTTCTCTGTGTGTGTGTGTGTGTGTGTGTGTGTGTGTGTGTGTGTGTGTGTGTGTGTGTGTGTGTGTATGCTTGTACTGAGGCTGCAATTCAGAGCTTCAAGCTCTCTCTTAGCTTGCATGCTCAAGGCTGGTGCTCTTCTATTGAGGCACACCTCTAGTTCAGCTATTTACTGGTTAGTTAAAGATGGAATGTCTTGGACATTTCTTCCCTGGGTGGCTTTGAACTGCCATCTTCCAGGTCTAAGTCTCCCGAGTAGCTAGGATTGCTGGTATGAGCCACTAGCTGCTAGCTTAATATGCCTTTGGTGATAACCATGGCCATGCCATTCCTTAATCATAGTTTCAAACCTTGCCCCACTTAGGTCAAGAAATAAACACAGGCAATGGTTTTGTAAGTGTATCAATACAGTATTTTTGTTGTTGTTGTTAAAAGGGAATTAATGGAGTGATCAGTATATGACATTGGTGTGTGTGTGCAAGTGCGTGCATACGCACATGCATTACTGTGGGTTTAAACTCAGAGTCTTGTGCTCTCCAGCCCTGTTTTTCACTGGTTATATTTGGGATAGGGTCTTGCTTCCTAGGTTCTTCTGGTACCGTATTCCTTCCAATCTTAGCCTCCTGTGAATCTTAGGATGATGGGCACATACCTCTGGATCCACCTACGGATTGACTGAGGGCCTGGTAGAGTTTCCTGCTTGGGCTATCCTTGAACTCTGATCCTCCTCCTCTTAGCCTCCCAAGTATTTAAGATTACAGGCATGAACCACCAGTGCCTGGGTTGCATTGTCTCTTTTTTATTTTTTATTTTTTGCTTATGTTAGAGCATTTAGAAGACATTCAAAACAAGTATGGTGATACCATATGAAGTATCTGCTTATTTTATGTTATGTTTTGTCTGTGTAGAAGGCCTTTCTACTGAAGAGATAAAAAGCATCCTGGAGAAGGTTTCCTCAGGGTGGAAGCACACGTCTCAGCGTCTGGATGATCTTGCTAGGAAGATTCGCCTTCAGGAGGATATCAACACTTACTTCCAGCAGCTCGACGAGCTTGAGAAGGTCCTCAAGATGAAGGAGGAGTGGTTACAGCTCACTTTCTCTTCTGCATCTCCCCACCAGTCCTTGCCACTTTTGAAGGATTCCTACCAGGTAAACAGACAACCACCTGGATGGTGCAAGTGCTCTGAACCGAGTCTTGGGTACATACAGAGAGGGCACTTCTTATATCATGACCTGTAAGTCAATTCTGACTCGCATCTGGTAGAGAGGCTCATCTTTGCGGAGTTACGTGACTGAATTTTCTCTTCCCCAGAGGGAATTGACAGACCTCCTTAGCCTCCACCCCAAGATGGAAACAGCACGTGCAAGCTGCTCAGCTCTGATGTCTCAGCCTTCTGTCCCGGATTTTGTCCAGCAGGCCTTCGATGGCTTCTTAAGGCACTACCAAGCTGTGCAGAAGGAGATGGAGGATTGTCACCAGCAGCTAGAGCGTGGTGAGTCCATCCTGTTGGTTTTCTTTCTCAATGATTCTAGCATATCTTCTCTCAGTTTACCTAAGTCTAAAAATCACCCTAATATTTAGAGCCTTCGTGGACATGTGTTTTGTGCCTGCTACACCAGGCCTATGTTTTTCTGAGCGGTGTTTCATTGTGCCTGCCTACTTCAGGGTCTTATAGTCTAAGTAGCTCCTGGCTTTGCACTGTCAAATTACGAGCTGCTTTCACAAGCTTTGAGCTTGTGTCAATAGGATCTAACAATTGTTTTTATTATTTTTATTATTGTAAAGGTAATATGGTACCCAGGGTAAAGAACACAGGTAAAGAGTACAATATGAGCAGTGTCACCCCGTTCTTGCTCTCTCTGTTTTTCTCTCCTGTTCCAACCCACAAGTTGTATAGTTCATTTTCCACACCGTGTCTAGTGAGTATCACTGTTGCATTTGTTCACCTTTTATTTCAACCATTTCTGTGTTCCCCCTTACCCTCCCAAAGACAGATAAAAGAACAGAAAGACAAAAAGAAAAGAATACAAAAACAGCAACAGAGAAGGAAAAAACCTCTTGTTTCTATTTCCTGGAGTTCATTTCAATAAGTATTAGTTTATATGATTGGGCTCACATTGTGTGTATGTGTTCCTCCCTTAAGAATAGCCTCCTTTGGTCTCACTCTGTGTGAATGACGAGATATCTAGTGTGTTTACTTGTAGATTTATTTGTTCTTGTTGTTTGTTGTTGCTTTTTATTTGTGGTGCTGGGAATGAAACTCAGGGCCTCATGTCTTCAAGGCAAGTACTATATCTCTGAACTGCAGTTCTTAAGGAAAAAAAATAATGAGAAACAGTTGTTATTTCTGCTTTTGGTTATTTCTGGCATAACAAGAGAATGCTCCTTATGTCTTTTATCTTGGAAAGGTTAATTGAAGTTTTAGCAGTATCATCCCCTTTAAAAATAAAAAAGGGAAAGAAAAGGAATTATGTTACTCTTCCAGACTCTGAAAAGGTTAAATGAGTGCTTACTTTTGGAATACATCTGGTTTTGTAAAGTTAACTCTTAAAGGTATGAGAAACTCAGTCCTTAGGTTACATTATTATTATTATTATTTTCTCTTTAGTCACTGTTGCAGGTGGAGCTTGTGCTGTAGTCTGTATTATTAGCGGCAGGTTATCCTTCATTGCTGTGCTGTGGTTCATAGATTATGTGATGTAAGGATATTAAGAAATGTCTGTGTGGGGCTGGGGCTGTGGCCTGTAGTAGAGTGCTTGCCTTGCATGCATGAGGCCCTGGGTTCGATTCCTCAGCACCACATAAGCAGAAAAAGCCGGAAGTGGCTCAAGTAGTAGATTGCTACCCTTAAGCAAAAAGAAGCTCAGGGACAGTGCCCAGGCCCTGAGTTTAAGCCCCAGGACTGGCTTAAAAAAAAAAAAAAGAGTGTCTGTGTGCCTGGTAGACAAATGTGCCATGTGGCTTTTCAACTTACTGCTTTAGTGTTTGAACAGGGTCAGCATGGGGGAATGGAGGCTGATGGTTGTTTTCACCTCTTGTCCTTCAAATACAACTCGCTTCCTTTCTGCACATGTGCTTGGAAGTGTGTGATTTTTACACTGGAGGCAGAAATAGACACTGCTGTCGCTGCTGCTGTCGTTGCCTCTCAGGTGATGTGTGGGACAGACACGCTGCACGGCTCCCTTGCAGACGCTACCACTGTGGCTGGGGTGGTCCGCCTGGACTGCAGGGCTGGGGAGGGGGGGGGGGGCGGGGAGGGGGTGGATGAAGGTATCTTGCTTTTCCTTTATTCTTTGTGCGGCAATGGGGGAAGAGGAGGTTATGTGGCACAAAAGGAACATTGTTGCTCTGGCTTCAGAGAGACATGTCATTGTGATACAATGAAGAAGAATGATAGTGAGTTAGTTAATATTTCAAACATCAACATCCGCAGGAATGAAGTCACCGTCTGTCTCAGAGATGCCAGAGGAATGACCTATTTAATTAACTAACAGAGATTCTTTTTCATCTTAATCAGGGTGGGTTTTTTTCCCCTAACTTACTATGTATTGGGATTCAGTTATTAAATGCAGAAGATTAATAGTAGTCCCGATAATATTAAGATCCTGACATTATTTTCTCAAGTTATCATTTGTTAAATAAACAGACCTGAAGAGCCAACCTGGACATGCGTATTTGGAAACATTGGAAACGCTGAAGGACATGCTGGATGACTTAGAAAACAAAGCCCAGACACCGCTGACTGACCTTAATGATCTTACAAAGCTGGAGGAGGCCCTCCAAGGAAAAAAGGTAATCTCTCTGCTAGAGGTCTGGGCCATCCTGCCATTTCAGATTTATTTACTTGTTTGTTTTTTAATTTATTTATTGAGTGCTGGTCCTGGGGTTTGAACTCAGAGTCTGGGTGCTGTGCCTGAGCTGCTGCATTTGCTCACCCTTTGTCCCTCCATTTCTGTGCCTGAGCCACAATGCCACTTCCCGCTTTTTATGAGTAGTTTATTGGAGATAGACTTTCCAGCCTGGGCTGCCTTGGAACCTCGATCCTCAGATCTCAGCTTCCTAAGTGGCTAGAACCACAAGCACTTGGCCATTTCAGATTTATTTATTTATCTAAAAATGTCTATTTTTATTGTTTTATTATAAAGGTGATGTTTAAAGGGATTATAGCTATATACATCAGATAAAGAGTACATTTGTTTTTGGACAATGTCCCCACTTCCCTCATTCTCTTCCAGTTTTTCCCTCCTGTCCCCTATCTACAAATCATGTAGTTCATTTTCAATGGAGTGTCTACTGAGTACCACTGCTACTTTTGTTCACCCTTTGTCCCTCCATTTCTGTGTCCCCCACTTACTTTCACAAAGACAGATAAATGAACAGGGAAGACAAAAAGAAAAGAAAAGAAAAACAGCAACAAAGAAACAATCCCTTTTTCCTGGAGTTCACTTTGATAAATATTATTTTATATATGATTGTTGATCATATGATAATATTTTTCAGTGATTTTTTTTTAATGAGGGACGCCATTTGTGGTTCAGAATTTGTGTTCCTTTTCTTTTGGAACTGGGTTATTTAATCTAGAGACTTAAGCCTGCTGGGCAAGTGCTCTACCATTTGAGCTTGGATCCCAGCCCTTTTGTTTGTATTTTGTTTCTGAAATACTAATTTTGCCCAGGCTCACTTCAAACTTTTGTTCATCTTGCCTCTGCTTCTTCAGTGTCTGGGATTATAGGCCCATGCCTCCACACCTGTCTCTGTATTGGTTACTTATAATTTGAAGGTTGATTTCTGTAATGTAGGATCTTAGTTAAAGGAATAGTTACTAAGTTTTAATAGAAGTACATATTTATGTAGGATCTTAGTTAAAGGAATAGTTACTAAGTTTTAATAGAAATACATATTTATGTAGGATCTTAGTTAAAGGAGTAGTTACTAAGTTTTAATAGAAGTACATATTTCTTATTAGCATAAAATTCTTAACTGATTCATAGTGTGCTCAAATACTTCTTATAAAATGGGGAATAGTTGAAATGATATTTTGAAAAAAATTGTGTTGAATCAGGATGGTTCCTTGGTCCTTTAGTTGAGTGCCCTTAAGATTTTGAAGTATTTCGTGAGTTAACAAAGACCAACTCTTGACATAGCCCTCTGGGCCCACACGGGGCATGTGGTTCAGCCATTTATGTGGCGAGAATATATTACATGGCCCACACATAACTCATGAAGGGAAAGCTTTAATTTTTTGGATTATGCTCATTGCTTTATAATACTTCTTGATACAGTGCCCTCCTGTTTTATTTTTTTCCCACTGTGTACAGCCCATATGATTACATCTGTATAGACACATTATTGCACACATTTTTAATTGTTGGAATCTTTTCCTAGGCCCTTGATGAAATCCTTGAGAATCAGAAACCTATGTTACATAAACTTACAGAAGACACAAAGGCATTAGAGAAAAATGTGCTTCCTGATGTAGAAAAGACATATAAGAAAGAACTCAACGATGCCCGAGGAAAATGGAACAAACTCAAGACCAAGGTTTCCAAAGATCTACATTTGCTTGAAGAAACTGCCTCGAAACTCAGAGCTTTTGAGGTAAATCCTGAGGCCACCAGGATACCAGGAGTTTGCCTTTATTACAGGGTAGATGGTAATTTTCATGCAGGATTCACATATCTACTATTTAAGTATTTTGCATTCTTTCTAGTCCCACATTATTTATGTGCTTAAGTTGGGATTATAACTTGCTCTGCAACATACTGTGAATGAGCAGGTGAGCACATGTATTTCTTTTTGCCTCATAGAGAGGACTTGTTGGTAGAAGCGAGCTGGACTGGTGATATGGAAAACAGAGTTAAAATAGAACTTCAGCATAGGAGGCTGTCTATGTGAAATACAGATTGGTTATTAGATTGCAGTGTGAGTCACATTGTGGTTGCTACAAGTTGCCTGGTTAGTGGCAAATAGTGAAGTCCTTGGATATGGTTTTTAATGGTCCTTGATATTTGGAGTTAACAATCTGAATGAGGCTAGTGACAGACTAAAAAGCCAAATAATTCAAGGCATATAGCTATGCAGAAGCTACATCTGAAAAGCTGGTTGGTCAAGGTGAGGGCCAGGGGAGGGTCGTGGTAAATGTGAGGATGTATAAGGAGGAGGTGGAGAAAGTTACGGTCAGATATGACAGGATTTTTTTTTTTTCCAGTCCTGGGGCTTGAACTCAGGGCCTGGGCACTGTCCCTGAGCTTCTTTTGCTCAAGGCTAGCACTCTACCACTTGAAGCCACAGCACCATTTCTGACTTTTTCTGGATAGGTGGTACTGAGGAATCGAACCCAGGGCTTCATGCATGCTTGGCAAGCACTCTACCACTAAGCTGCATTCTGAGCCCAAGACAGGATTTTTAAGTCCAACTCTGTCTCTGGTTTTCTCAAAGGGCAGCATGGATGTGGAGCTGGTCTACTCTGCCCCCAGGCTCCAATTCTCTCAGTGCTTCTGGAACATGGTCGTTGTTCTTTTTTCCTTTTAGCTGGGGATTCGTCTTTTTTTTAGACTGGTTTACATCAACATATACTTCTAGAACAGTATCCGGCAAGAGAAAACATTAACTATTTCTCAGTAGGTAACATTAGATTAGTAATAGATTTAAATAGATTGATTAACTCAAATTCTAAGAGAATTTGGGTTTGGGATATTGCTAGGAAAATCAGAAAGTAGAGATGAAATTTACGAAACTTTTATGGTTTTACAATGACAGAAAACCTGTAGTACCAGAAGAGCACTCAGGCGAGCATGGAGAGAGTCCCATGATATTCAGTGTGTGCCTGCCACTGAATTTGAAGGGAAGTCTTGACCCAGAAACCAAGGGGCAGTTGCAGTGGCTGATCATAGGGGAAGAGGATGCGGGGGCTTTGTGATGGCTACTTTTAGATAAACTCATGTATGTGTCAGCGTTATGCCTTGTTCTCATTTCTCTGTGACAGAACACTTTTCTCCCACATAGTGTTTTTGAGGTTCATAAAACCAAACAAAAGCAGAATCCTACCAGCTTAAACTACTATATTAATTCTGTCTCTACAGCGTTTTGTGTCTGTGGCTTGAGGCAGAAATCAGTAGCTTAAAAGCTGTCGACATTCCAACAGATGGGGGAGAAGGAAGATAAAATGCTAAGAATTTAGCTGTAATCAAGTCTCAGAGGCAGTTGCGTCTCTTGGAATCTCAGTCTTAAAGTCCAGAGTTACCAGGTTTTACAGTTCTTCCATTCGGAGCTCAGGCAAGGAGGCGAGCTAAGGCTAAAGGGCTCATTTTATCCATGTCACATTCCTTCTCTGGGATCTAGATTCTAAATCTTGCTTTGAAGCAGGGCCGGTCATTGTAGAATTTTGGCCTTCCTGGTTAGACTATTTGATGAGTTGATTTCCAATTACTGATAGTAATTTTATCTTTATTTAAGTAAAAAGATGACTGAAAAATGTCTACCCTATCCTAGACTACTTATAGTTTAATTGTTACTAGTAATTTACTAGTAATTCTTTCATATTGCTGTTCCTGGGTCTTGAGTTCAGGTCCTGTGTGCTATTCCTGAGATTGTTTTATTTATGTATTTTTTGCTCAAGGCTAGCACTCTAAAACTTGAGCTACAGCGTCACTTCTGAAGGCTTTTTGGTGGTTAATTGGAGATAAGAGTCACATGGACTTTACTGCTGAGGGAGGTTTCAAACTGTGATCCTCAGATCTCAGCTTCCTAAGTAGCTGGTCATATTAGCTACCAGCTCCTGGCTTGTATTACTTTTTTTTTTTTTTTTTTTGGTTGGGGGGCTTGAACTCTGGGCCTGGGCACTGTCCCTGAGCATTCCAGCTCAAAGTAAGTAGTACTCTTACCCTTGAGCCACAGCCCCACTTCAGGTTTTCTGGTGGTTAATTGGAGATAAGAGCCTCACGGACTTTCTTACTCAGGCTGGCTTTGAACCATGATCCTCAGATCTCAGCCTCCTGAGTAGCTAGCATGACAGGCGTGAGCCACCAGCACCCAGCTTGCATTGCTTTTTAAACTGAGATATCCCACAAAGAAGTATGTGCCTGTTTTGTAGATATATGTGTAAGAATGTTTGTGTATGTGCATGTGTGTGCGGGTATTCAGTAAGTGCATGGCAAAAAAGAAAAAGATTACTCATTGTAGATTAGAAACTCCTAAGTGTATTTCCTGAATGATTTTTATATAGATAAACAATTTTTGCACGAGTTCTTTTATATCCTTTTGTCACCTCTTTGATGAAGAGTTGGCTTCAGGGTGAGCAGCCTTTTGGAAAGTGCTGGGAGCATCTGCTATGGTGGATGCAGAATATTTCCCTTCGAGGGACAGAGGCCTTACTGTGGGGGGAGTGAAGTGCGGTGCAGAGTCCTGGGTCTCTGGTTGTTTCCTGCTCACAGGTGGTGGCTGGTCTTGATTTGAGTGACTTTTCTCTACCCCCATGGTGTGGCCACAGAGTGGGGTCCAGTTGGTTTGTGCTATTAGGCATTTCACTGTTTGTCTTCCTTCTGCTGCTCTGAGCTGAGCTGTATTTGACCAGATATATCAGCAGCAGTTCTTTCAAAATGGTCATTTTGTAATAGTTTATTTATTTATTTTTTGTTGGTCGTGGGGCCTGAACTCTGGGCCTGGGCGCTGTCGCTCAGCTCTTCACCTCAAGGCTAGCGCTCTACCACTTGAACCATAGCGCCACTTCCAGCTTTTTCTGCTTGTGTGGTGCTGAGGAATTGAAACCAGGGCCCCATGCATGTGAGGCAAAGGCAAACACTACCCCTGCGTCACCTTCCCAGCTCTGTAATGGTTACTTTAAAATAATCATTTGACGAAACAGCATCAATGGTTCATACAGTGTAAAAATTTTTTTTAATGGCCTAGCCAAGTGTCAGTGGAGGCTGAGCCCTAGAGGATCTCTGTTCAAAGCCAATCCAGACAGGACAGTCTGAGAGACTCCATCTCCAGTTAACCACACAAAGTTGGACTGGAGGCATGACTCAGGTGGTAGAGCGCCATCTGTGATCAACCAATCAGTCCAAATGTGAAGCCTTGATTTGCAGCTCTAGTATCAGAACAATCAAAATGGTTCTGATCTTATGGAAACATATCCTCATCCTGTCTCTGATGTGGCCTAAACTCTAAAACCTGGCGGTATTTTTTTTTTTTTTAATAAAGCGCATCTTGGCAATAATAGAGCAGTTTGGTTTGTAGATATTTTCATTTATTGAATGTTTCTGTGTGGGAATCTCTGTCTAAACATGGTGACAGTACAACCAAATAAGACTGATATTAATAATATTCCTCTTTAATAGAAGAGTAAGCCTAGGCTCCAAAAGACAGAAGGAATTAGTGTCTCAAAACCCCACTGCTAGTCAGGTGCTCAACTTGACCTTCAGCTCCCATTCTTTCCTTTGGTCACAACTGCCTCTTTCAGACGTAAGTAGCATTTGCAGTGGAGAAGATAATTTGGCTTTTCAGATTCCCTCGAGTTGCTTTTGTCCCTGTTGGGACAGAAAATTGGTTCTATGTGACTCATCTGGGTTTGTTCTTTTCTTTCCTCTTCCTTTTTTTCCTCAGGGTAAACTGCAAGAGGCAGCAGGGGACCGCTGCCTTGTGTCTGCCCCCGGGAGACTTGCGTGTCTAGGCGGGAGGAGGGAGGAAGGAAGGCAACGGATACCATAAAACTTCCTCTCACTGGCCAGCCAGGGGCAGATCCATTTGCTTACATTAGTCAAAGCTGATTGTGATTGAAAATCTTTCTTGGAATAGAATGGAAAATCTTATAAAATCTTTATGTAGTGAAACGATCAGTTTTCCTTATTCACAACTAGATTTAATGAATTTCCCAGTTTTATAATAGTTCATTTCTTCTTCTTCCTCCCTTTCTCTCCTGTTCTTCTGCCTGCTCTCCCTCTCCCTCCTTCACTCTCTCCTCCTTTTCCTTCTCCTCCCTTTCCTCTTCCCCCTCCTCCTTTCCCTTCCTCCCTTCCTCCCTTCCTTCCTTCCTGAATGCTAGATTGTTATATACCCTGAGTGACATGATGTCATAGTTGAAAGAGCATGTACACTTACGTAGTTCAATAATGTGCATATCATTCTTGGCAGGTCTTGTTTCCACCAAAGTATTTAGGGTATTTTCATACAACATTATAAGAAGAAGGCAGGCCAGGCATCGGTTTGTGCTTATAATCCTAGCTACTGAGATCTGAGGATCACGGTTCAAAGCCAGCCTGGGCAGGAAAGTCTGTGAGACTCTTATCTCCAAATAACCACCAGAAAACTTGAAGTGGCACTGTGGCTCACATGGTAGAGTGCTTGCCTTGAGCTGAAGAGCTCAGGGACAGTGCCCAGGTCCAGAGTTCAAACCCCATGACCGACCAAAAAAAAAAAAAAAAAAGAAGAAGAAAGCAGAAAATGAATTAGATTTTAGTGTATGTAGGCTCTTCTTATATCATGAAATGTAAGCCATCCTTTGTGGGTGAAACACTCAAGCAAGCACTATTATTGGATTCAGTTTTCACTTGGAAAAATTTTAAACTCTGGACCATCACAAAACACCCCACATAGCCAATAGAAAAACAAAATGTGTTTCCCTACCAGTTTTGTAAGGAAGAAAAAGTTAGCAGGAGTAGCCGATAGGAAAGTAGAGAGGCTAGAATTTCTAATTATTTTGTTGGCTTTGTGGTTGGTCTATTCTTAACTGGTTTGTCAACATACCAAGGCCAAGTTTAATATTTATAATCATCAAGCCCTGAATTTATGATAGCAGCCCATTAAGTTGTGTTAGGAAAAGTATATTTTGAGGTAGTTAATGGAGGTATTGGAGTTGCAACAAGCTATAATATGTGACTGGTGACTGTATGAACAAACAAAAAAAACAAGCTTAGAACAACCATACAAGAATAAAAATAAAACAGACACCATTGCAGATGCAATGTGGTGATAAGAACGGTTGGTTGGTTCTGTGTGGTATGAAGCTATTGATGTGGTTTGCAGGGTACATTTTATTCAGAGCGGTGGTTGTGATAGATGCTTGGCTGTCATGTCCTAGAGAGGCCAGGTAAGGAACTAGGAACATTTAACCGTTAGAGGCAGCAGAGAAAGACATGGCAGCTACCTACAAATATGGCGAGACTTTTTGGAAAATGATAGTAAACTTGTTTCCAGTTTTAGAAGTGAACAAGAAATTAAGAACATGCAAGGGAGGTTAACAGGCAGGATAAACAATGCTTGAGTGGGAAGGCTTAGAAAGAAATGATTCTCCCACAGTGTTGGGCTGAAATTTGGTTTATTTTTGCATTCTAAGTCACCATTTTTATATGACCACATCTCTGAAGTTTCTCTCTCTCTCTTTTTCCCCCTGCAAAATATTTGCTTTCTCATTTGTCATTGGATCCCAGGGTCACACACATAGAGTAGGTGCTGGTAAATATTGGGTGAAAAAAATACAACGATGTAGTGTGTGATTTTGGGTTTTCAGATGAAAAAAAAAAGCTGTATGCATCTGATCATGTAATATATAATATTTCTCAAAATGAATTCCAGGAAATGAAAAACAAGGAGTTTTTTTCCCCTTTTTTCTTTGTCTCTTCATTTGTCTTTCTTTGGGTAAGGGGGAGGTCACAGAAATGGAGGGGTGAACAAATGCAGCAGTGGCAGTCATTGGACACTATGTTGAAAAGGAACTATGCAACTTGTGGTTGGGGATGGGAAGGAAAACCTGGAAGAGAGGGAGGGAGGCAGTGACATTGTTCAGAAAGGAATGTATTCTTTATCTGACTTACGTAATTGTAACCGCTCTGTATATCATCTTTGCAATAACAATAAATGAATTGAAAAAAATAGTACTCAGGGTCAGGACTAAAAACAACCTATATATTTCCTTCATTTAAATAACATTTCCTATGTTATTTATTTTCCTGCTTCCAGTAGCCAACTGAAAGAGCAAACTTATTTTACATTATTAAAAGAGCAAAAGTTTTTCCTTTTTTCTCAAAATCTGATTATACTCAGAAAAGCATTCCCCCCCCCCCCATCTGCTCTGAATTTTCAGTCATCAACATTGCAATTTAAGTGAAAAAAAAAAAAAAGCACAGTTCACTGAAGTGTTTTAAGTTTTAGACAATGCCCACAAAGCTTGTTCATCATCTTTGGAGAATTTTCATCCAATATGACGAAAGTCATTCTTTTCCAAGTTCAGGGGCTTAAAAAGAGAAATAAAGTAAATGAGAATGATGCTATCAGAGTTTGCAAAGTTGCTTTTTCTCTTGTAGCCAGGGATGGAGAGACGTGGGTTAAATGTCAGGGAGTAATATCCCCTTCTGCTATTGTGTTTGTTACAGGCTGATTCAGAAGTCATCCAGAAGTGGACAGAAGGAGTGAAAGACTTCTTAATGAAAGAGCAGGCTGCCCAAGGGGATGTGGCCGGTCTCCAGCGGGAGCTTGGCCAGTGTGCTGTGAGTTCTCTTCCAGCCAGCCCGATGGAACAAATCACATTTTCTTTATTATTTGCTATTATTGAAATGGGTAGAATGTGACATGGTCTTGAACTGTAGATAAAATATCTTTTATCATAAAACCATTGTAGCTTTATAGTTAATAAAAGAATGGCAGATGTTCATATTTTTATCTTTTGCCTTGTTATAGAATTGATGACATGAGAACAAGACTTAGTTTAGTTTCTTAGGTGCTGCTGTTTTGTATTATAATGCCATCTTCGCCTAATGCTTACCAATGGTGTATTGCTTATACCACATGGTGAGGCTTTAGGAAAAACATACTTAACAAATGAAATTTGCCAGTAATACTGCATGCAATTTATGCTTTGGGAAATCATCAGGCTTCTCGAAGTTAATTAAAAGCACTGTTCCCCACTGAGAGTCAAGTATTTCCAGTCTAATTTAGAAGATGGCTATATGAAGTACCCAGGTGAAGTGAATTTAAGACACAGTTTTTCTTAAGTAGTTGGAAGTTGTGACTCCAAGCAGCCTGTTCTGATAATATTTGCAGGGATCCAGGCAGTCATACTATAATTATGTCATTCACTTACATAGGAATAAACAGCCTGGCTCATTTTATGTTTTCAGGCCTTTGCCAATGAAATAGAAACAATTGAATTGTCTCTGAAAAACATGAAAGAAATAGAGACTAACCTTCGAAGCTGTCCAATTTCTGGAATCAAAACTTGGGTGCAGACAAGACTAGTTGACTGCCAAACCCAACTGGAGAAATTTAGCAAGGAGGTGAGTGCATCAAAGTAATCATCTGTGCTCTCCAGGGTATGGAGACGCTGGTGTCTCTTCACCAACAAAACTGATTTTTATGATCTATCTAGTTGGGTAACTATGGCATATGTAGAAAGTTGGAGCAAGAACCTACAGTTTTTTTTAAAATCAAGTATAAGTACTATTTGTTTAATTTGTCCCAGAACTTATCCTTTCCTTTTGTTTTCAATGTAACTTACACACTCAGAACACTTGCTGGGCCTCTTAAGACACTTAAGTATGTTATCTAGTACATTAATGATTAATCAGCTGATGAGTACTATGTTTTAATTAGCACCCACTGTCATGCATCATTAGGCATTGGACAGGGAGAATTCTTCCTCTTAAGAGGGCTTGTGTTCTAGTCAGGCAGATGAATAATGAATGCTATCAGGTGGAATAGCCAAGTGTTATGTTTAGGTGGATTATTTCAGGTAAACTGAGATTATCTCAGTTTCAGAATAGAGAACTGAGCAAAATAAGTGAGAACAATTTAGGCATGGGAATCACATTTTAAAGCCTAGTGTCTGTGTGTGTGTGTGTGTGTGTGTGTGTGTGTGTGTGTGTGTGGTGGGGGCTTATAAACTTGTTTACCATAAAGAACAAGGTAGTGTAGCTGGGATACAGTTAGAGAAGTCAGCAGGCTGGAAAATGGGAATATTTGAAGGTAGACTAAAAAATAGCTTACACATTGTATCCTTGGAGATAAAAACTTTGAATTTTCTTTCAAGTGTGATGACAAGCAAGTTGGAAGTTTTGTGCAGAGATTTGATAGTGGCATTTGATAGATCTGTTAAGGTGTCTGGGCATTTTGCTTTGGGAAGGCCAAAATGAAAGGCTGGACAATAGTCATGGGTGATTATAGTCTCCAGAAGAGAGCTAGAGAGCTTTTTGGACTGGAAAGTTGTGCTGGAGGTCAGGAGACATACCGGGTTAGATTGTACCTTGAAAATAGGAATAGCATTCATGTACAGTGGTCCAATTTGTGATGGAAGAAAAAAAAATGAATGGTCAGGGGCAGCTGAGTCGCCTTGGACAGCTTCTATTGTGCATGAACCGTGGTGCTTTCACTGGAATGACGGACACTGAGGCACAGGGGAAATGATGTTTTCCATTGGGCCAGAGCTATGTGTGAGAAACGTTTAGGCAAGCAAGTGGTGTTTTTTTTTTATTTTTAGTATTTAAGGACCTGGGAATTAAAGGATGCTAAGAAAGAAAGGTCAGGGCGGGGTGAAGCCCCAGAGACAGTGCTCTGTGGTGAGGATTGCTGATGCCTTCAAAGCCGAAAGCTTTTAATGACCTGGAGGAAAATGGATTCCTGGCGTGGTGAGGAAGGGAGGGGTATTAGGGAATGTTGAGGGGAAGTGGCAAGTAACCGTGAGATGTTTCTCATTTCCGGGTAGCAGAAGACTGAGGTAGGTGCTGGAGATGGAGAATCCAAACAGACTTTTTTTGTTGTTGTTGTTACTTTAAACAAGGAGAGCTATTACTGGATTTTTAAAACTGAAGAAAGCAACCGCAGTTAGAAAATACTGAGTTAGAATGTAGTAGAAAGTGCTAGAAAGTACTAGAACATACTAGAAGGAAAAGCATTGTATTGATACTGGGAATCGGGTGTGGCTTCAGTTGCTTTAGTGAAATGATAGTGAGGGTTCTGTGTAGCTGAGTGAGCCACATAGGGTTGAAAAATAGAGAAAAAATAGTAGAATGCATGCAGTCTCCATAGGCCACATTGTAAATAGTTCGTGTCTTAATACAGCACTTGTTAGCTCATGTTTACATGTCATGTTTGTGTCATTTAATATTTTCCTTTGGTTTTGTTGTTTTATTCCAATTTCACTATCTTGGACACGCTCGGATGTGAAGATGAACTGAAGTATTGGTTTCAGGGAACCCCATAGATACATGCTGAGAGTCTTCAGGTTGTGACTGATCACATTTGCTGTTTCTTTTACTTAGTTATTTTTCTCAGTTTTGAAAATGTTCTTTGGGCAGGAAGTTGCACACATCATGATGTTACCCCGAAATATTATAGTATGTTTTTTTCAAGAATAAGGGTGGTCTCTACAAAACCACCATGCCATTATCCAACTTCAGAAATTACCTTTTTGCTATTATCATCTCATATTCTAGCCAAATTTGTATTGCTGCATGTGTTCTATAATCTCTTGGCATGTGCTTGAAGTGTCTGGTTTCTAAAGAAGTAAATAGAGAATATTATTTGGAAGTGGCTTGAAGACTAAGGCAGTTTGTCTATCTCTCTGCTGTATCTGTCGATCCATCCATGCATGAATCCCTATCTACCAACCCAGACACCTCTGACAACACAGAATTCATTGAGAATCACTTTGGACTCAAAGTATGGGACTAACTGTATGGGAAGAAACGAAGTGTACTTAGTAAGAAGACAGCCACATGCTGCGTGTTGCGTCACATTGCATGTTGTGTGAATGATGATTTAGATCAGTTCCAGAAGATCGTGTTTCATTGACTGGTAAAGATGTTGACATTTTACTTAAAAGAAAAACATCAACATATGGCAGAGGATAGTTCCATGTTCATTTTTGGGGCCGTAGTTGGGTTGGAGAGAGGAGACTGGAGAACTGCTGTTCCTCTTCTGGACGTTGATCTCCATCAGCTCTATAGCCATGCCAGCCCTGGCCAGGTGGCTACCACATCCTCTTTCATCTGAGCAGGAGGTTGACTCTGGCAAGGGAGGATTGGACTGTCCTGTGCTACTGTGTCTTCTCACAGTGGAAGTTGGTTTGTGGTTTGGGTGAGAAGTTGAAACTATTTCCAGATTTCTGGGAAGCAGCTGTTGACCCAGGTTCAGAAATGCCTAATATATTACCATACTATGTTGTTTTTGCCAGTCCTGGGGCTTGAAATCAGGGCCTAGGCACTGTCCCTGAGCTTCTTTTGCTCAAGGTTAGCACTCTATTACTTTGAGCCACAGCACTACTTCTGGCTTTTTCTGTATATGTGGTACTGAGGAATTGAACCAAGGGCTTCATGCATGGGAGGCAAGCACTCTACCACTCAGCCACACTCCCAGCCCCACCATGCTAATTTCCAATTTTTTGTGTGTGCATATCTGGCATAGAGCATTATTTCATAGCATCTCATGAACAACTTTCAAAGTCATCCCTCCTGCCCACCTTGCTCTTCAAAAGTGAAATATTTATTGGACTCCTGTTTAAAAGGGAAAATAGATGAATTTTTTTATCTTGTCCTGGGTTTTGAAACTTAATCAACAGTGTTGCAGCACATTTATTATGCGTTTGCTCTTGTTGTTATATTCTAGATTCTATATCTGGAATTACTCTGTCAAAGTTATACATTTTCAAAATGAAAAGTTGTTTCCCGATAAGGCTCCTATACACAAAGGAGGGATAGAATTCCTCTGATGACATTTTCATGAGTGATAATTGCTCCAGTATCATCCCCAAATATATAAGAATTTTATCTGACTATGCAAACATCCACCACTTTGTGGGACATCATTACAGTGTCTTTAAATACTAAAGCCTAAGGGCTAACACTGCATGCGTTCCAGTTTGTGTATGTGAGGGAATGGCTTTGCCCTTCTAGATTGCTGTTCAGAAGAACAGGTTGAGTGAAAGTCAGGAAAAAGCAGTGAACCTGAAGAAAGACTTGGCGGAGATGCAGGAGTGGATGAGCCAGGCGGAGGAGGAATATCTGGAGCGGGACTTTGAGTACAAGTCGCCGGAAGAGCTGGAGGGTGCTGTGGATGAAATGAAGGTGAGCCTGGGCTAAGCAGTTGAACTTACCGTGGACCTTCTTTTCCTCACTTCGTAATGAGCCCTGTGTCTACATCACCTCACACATCCACGCCCCTCTGTGTAGCTTGGGGGACCTGCTGCAGCCTTCCAAGAGCTGGCTTGGATGGATACTGTCCCACTACACCCGGCTCCATTTAGCGATGTTCAGGGCTTACTGTTTTCATGAAGAATCACTTCGTAAGTGAAGAGAGTTTGCCAGTCCGTTGACGTCTCCAGACTTCTGCAGGCGGCCAGGGCAGGGCTCATGCGAACCCTGACTGTCCTGAGCGGGAGCGGAGAGTGTTGGGGGAAGCACCGGTGAACATGTCAGCTGTGCTCACGGGCTGGAGTTCCTGTAAACTTCCATTCCTGCGTCAATAATCTTCAACCCTCTCCCTTGTTATATACAGTAAAGGGCTCCTGTACTAAACCTCCAGCATTGCTCCAACTGTTCTTGAGTATTCAAGCCTTAAAGGGGATAGATACTGTCTTAAAGGCTGTTTATTTAAATAAGATTAAACAACAGTGCACTTTTTTGTGTGTGCCATTCCTGGGACTTGAACTCAGGGCCTGGGCACTACCTCTGAGCTTCTTTTGCTCAAGGCTAGCTCTCTACCACTTGAGCCACAGTTCCATTTCTAGCTTTCTGGTGGTTAATTGGAAATAAGAGTCTCATGGATTTCCTGCCCAGGTGGGCTTTGAACCCCAATCCTCAGATCTCAGCTTCTTGAATAGCTAGGATTACAGGCGTGAACCACTAGTATCCAGCTCACACAAGGGCATTCGAATTTTGTACTTTTTCTCTCTCTTTAAAAATCATTATAGTTGAGAGCACAAAAAAAATGAGATTAACACCCTTGGCTGGGAAACTTTCTATTTATTTTTAATTTTCCAAACAGTCATTAGGAATTTAAAAGCAACTACACTTAAATTACTTTCTCCCACCCTAAGCAAGCTGAAGTCCATTAAGCAGGAGGGAAAGCTCCCAGGGCCAGGCAAATCTGCTTGAGGTTGATTTGCCTGATGGGAGTGTGTTCACGTTGTGTACCGCACAGTCAGGAAGCAGCTTTTACAGCATCAGACTGGTCCAGTGTAATAGCATTTTATCTGAAGTGCTGACATTATTAGGAGAAGAGATGGCACCTATATGCTAAGAAGAAAAAAGTCTTTAAGTTATTTGTAGGACCTTTTGAAGGACATCTACCACAGTGCCTTAACTATCGAGCCCCTGTATTATTTGTGAAGATTCAGTCATTCCAGACTAATATGTCCATTGAAATGAATTCACCTGTTTTTTAAAATATGAAACCCATGATATGAAAACATTGTATACGAGTAAACACATTTTCAGATGTATTTAAATTAGACACTATTTATGCTAAATTTAAATAACTTGAATGGCAACACTGGGGTCATTAAATGAAAATGTGTGTGGAGACTGTACATTGGAAAATAGAAAAGTGAAATTTTAGTAGCCAAGCACAGTATAATCTCAGCACTTGGGAGATGGAGACATGAGGATTTCACCTCATGGGTTTGAGGCCAGTCTGTGCTGTATCATAAGATCCTGACTCAAAACAAATAAGCAAGGAAGCCAGCAGTGATTAACTCATCTTCCAGTTAGACAATTCAAGTCCTATAGAGTTTTCATTTTGGCTTAGTTACTATTTTTTTCAAGAACAAAATTGGTTTCAGAGAAACATCTTTTAATTTCTCTCTTTCCTGGAGCAGAGAGCAAAAGAGGACGTGTTGCAGAAGGAGGTGAGAGTGAAAATTCTCAAGGACAATATCAAGTTATTAGCTGCCAAGGTGCCCTCTGGTGGCCAGGAGCTGACATCTGAGCTGAACGTAGTGCTGGAGAATTACCAGCTTCTTTGTAATAGAATTCGAGGAAAATGCCACACACTGGAGGTAGGAACTCACCCCTGCCCCCCACATGTCTTGAGGAAAACCTTAATTTTCTTTAAAATACAAAAATGCGTTCATAAAATATCTTCAGGGAATAAAAAATATTGATAATAATGAAAAAAGATTCTTGTTTTAATTTGAAAAAGGAGATGTAGATGTCTTAAGTTGTCAGAGGTTAATTAGCAAGTCACTGGGCATGTTAGACTTTGTTGTATATGTGACCAAGGCTTTCCTTACAGATGATCTGCAAGGTTCCCATAGTGCAGAACATACTGCAAGCCTCTGCTTCTTGGTCTGTTTCACCACTCCCTTCCCCCAGCACCGAAACCTCTGACACTGTGAATAAGAAGTCTTTTCTCATCTCTATCTATCTATCTATCTATCTATCTATCTATCTATCTATCTATCTATCTATCTATCTATCTATCTCTATCTACCTATCTATCTATCTATTGACTAGCGCTCTGCCATTTGAGCGACAGTGCCACGTCTAGTTTTCTGAGTAGTTTATTGGAGATAAGAGTCTCACAGACTTTTTTGCCCAGGCTGGGTTTGAACTGAGATCCTCAGATCTCAGCCTCCTGAGTAGCTAGGATTACAGGTGTGAGCCATTGGCTCTTGGCTCCAATATATTTTTTATATCCAGTATTTTGTCACAGTGACGTGAAAGCAAACTCACACACGTGTGTTTATATTCCCTTATTTCCCTTTGCAGTGAGTCCATAGAAATCCCTGTGAAGTGTTGCATTTTGAGTAGTGTCTATAAAGTTACTCATGTGAAAGAAAGAACTCTTGTATGCTGCCATTTCACTGGATCTCCAATAAATCTTTTTTTGCCCTCTATTATATTTTAGATAGAGATAGCTCAATGAGATTATTTTAATAAGATAGTGTTTGCTTAGTGGTCTTCATAAGAATATAATTTTTGTTATGTCCTATGGTGATAGCAGAAGTATATCAGTGGATGACCATTTGTTTCAGCCTGCAATGAATGATTAGATGGTGTTAAACCCTGAAATGATCCAAGAATGGCAGAGGCAATCACTGCTTGTTTGCTCTGAATCTGTGCTATGCTGAGATAAACATGTATAATTGGGATTAGTAAGAAAGGTACTTACCCTGTGGCAATGATTCTGTCATCTCTTTTTTTGAGAAAAGGGAAATTGATTTGCATCTGAGCTGATGCCCTAGCCTGCTTTTTGCAGTTTTGAAATTGGGGGACTAGCAATCTCTTATTTCTTTTACTCTTAAGCCAAGAGTAAGCATTTCATGCCTGAGGACTCAAAGCTAAGTTGTGTCTTGTTTTTGTTTCATTTCTGAAGACTGTTTTGTGTAATCCTGGAAGGCAAACGAATACACACGTATATACTTACTCATCCATGTACCCTTATCCACTGAATCTGTGACCCAGCCCAAATGTAGACTATTAGGCTTTAAATATTTTTGTCTGTTTCTGAAGAAAAATATGCTGAGCCCTGTTGTGGCCTGTAGAGGTCAGATGGGGCACAGGTTTGGATCCACCTGTGCTCAGGTGGTCGCTTGGAAAGAGCATAGACGCCAGAGGCTGAGGGGAGTTCTTCCTCAGAAATACATCAGAAAGGTTTCTCCCCTGTGGAATATGGAGGTATAAATGTACGTGTATGTGAGTGAGTCCTTCCATGGTGACAAAATAAATAACATAAAAATAATTATGAGGGGCTGGGAAGGTGGCTCAGTGGTAGAGTGCTTGCCTTGCATGCATGAGGCCCTAGGTTCCATTCCTCAGCACCACATAAGCAGAAAAAGCTGGAAGTGGTGCTGTGGCTGCAGTGGTAGAGCACTACCCTTGAGCTGAAGAGCTGAGGGACAGCGCCCAGGTCCAGAGTTCAGGCCCCATGACTGGCAAAAAAAAAAAAAAAAAAATTGATGGGAGGAAATATTTTTCTTCTTTTTTTTCTTTTGTATTGGTTCTTGTGTTTGAACTCAGGGCCCAGGTGCTGCCCCTGAGCTGTTTTAGCTCAAGTCTACCACTCTACCACTTGGAGGCACAGTGCCACTTCTGGTTTTTTGGTAGTTAATTGGAGATAGGAGTTACACAGACTTTCCTGTTCAAGTAGCTTTGAACCACGATCCTAGATCTCAGCCTCCTGAATAGCTAGCATTACAGGTGTGAGCCACAAGCACCCAGCAAGTAGGAGAGGCTTCTTATTCGCAGTTTCACAGGCTTTGTGTTCGACGTGGTTTCCTGTCTGATTTTAATTGTCCCTGCATGCACTCTAGGAAGTCTGGTCTTGCTGGATCGAGCTGCTTCACTATTTGGATCTTGAGACCACGTGGTTGAACGCTTTGGAAGAGCGCGTGCGCAGCACAGAGGACCTGCCCGAGAGGACAGATGCAGTCAGCGAAGCCCTGGAGGTTGGCGCCTGCGCCCTGGTGGCCTTTGTTTTTGTCATGATGGGGGCACATGTATTAAGATGAGGAAAGATGAGGCCGTCTGCTTCCTCAGTAGCTTCCTCCTTCGTAGCCTGATGTTTCTAACAGCCTGCCGACTTAGTGTATTTGGGGAGAAGGGGACAGTACCTTTTAAGCACAGGAAAGTTCTCCAGTGGGGTCTAGTTGATTTGCCAGTCTCGGTTACATTACTAGGAAGCTGCTCGCTTATCTCTTTTCCCTTTTTTTGTACTGGTTCTAGGACTTGAACTCTGGGTCTCACGCTCTTGCTGGGCTCTTTTGCTCAAGGTTGGCACTGTACCACTTGAGCCACAGCTCCACTTCTGACCTTTTTTGCAGGCTAGTTGGAGATAAAAGTTTCACAGCCATTCCTGCCCAGGCAGGCTTGGAACCATGGTCCATAGATCTCAGCCTTGTGAGTAGCCAAGATTACAGGTGATAACCACCACCTCCTGGCTGTCTCATGTCTCCTTATACACTTTACACATGGCACCGCCTTGCCCATCATGACGTTTAGTCTGTTACATTTGGATGTGAAAGGTTACTAACTTTAGGCTGGTGAGTATAGAAATAGAGGTGACAGCTTGCAATCCAGGCTATGTTCATGCTCCCGGGGACCAAGAAATGGGGGATTCTTGCTTGCTGCTTAGTTACCACCAGCCATATAGGATAGCTTGATACTGATTCTTTATTTTCATTATTACTATGTTTTTGTTCCCATCCTGAGGCATGAACTCGGTGCCCGAGCACTGTCCTTGTGCTCCTCCCCCCCACCCCCCAGGTCTACCACTCTATCAACTCCCCTTCCTGCCTTTTATAGTTAATTGGAGATAAGAGTCTCAGGGACTTACCTGACCAAGTTAGCTTTGAACCTTGAATCTTAGGTCTCAGGCTCCTGAGCAGCTAGGATTACAGGCGTGCGCCCCCCCCCCCCCCCCTTCCTGTTTCTTACGGGAATTACAATGCCATTGTATAGAGAGCAGTGGAGGATATGCTTTCTAAATTGTAGTGACACAGTGTGGGGACTGAATGGCTGGTGGAAGTGAAGGTCAGCAGTAAGTGAGCTGGGGTGGTGGCATCCCAGGAGAGGGCCGGGATGCTGGGGAAAAGTGATCACGTCTCCACCCGAGCAGACACAGAAACCGAGAGCATGAACAATAGTGGAAGCTTAGTACAACCCCCCACCCCCAGTTTCCTAACATGAGTTAATATAAATACATTATAAAATAAGGAGGCTAGAGAAGAGTATAGGACATATTCTAAGATAAATACCCTAAGTTCTCGTTGTTATATTGTTGCTACTCTTACTACGCATGTGCACTGGCAGGCCGTCCATTGGGTCACAGGCGGTGGAGTCATAATAGTGTTGGGCAGTCTTTGGATTCTTAGCTCATCCTTTTACTGACTAAAGGGAAGATAATTTAACTTTTTGGAGTTATTTCTCTCAGTTTTCCCATCTGCAAAATAGGAATGAACTAATCCATATTCTTAATTTTTTTGGGTCTGGTCGTGGGGCCTGAACTCTGGGCCTGAGCACTATCCCTCAGCTCTTCAGCTCAAGGCTAGCACTCTACCACTTGAGCCACAGTGCCACTTCAGGCTTTTTTTTTTCTTTTTGCTTATGTGGTGCTGAAGAATCGAACCCAGGGCCTCAGGCATGCAAGGCAAGTGCTCTACCACTGAGCCACCTTCCCAGTCCTCCATATTCTTAATTTTTTAAATATTATAGCTCTCCATTAAGTACATATGTATCAATATGTTTATGTATATGAGTATATATATACATACATATGTGTATATGTATGTAATATATATTTGTGCATATACATTATATAAAATATATACATTTAGCACTCAGGAGGCTGAGGCAGGAGGCCTGTGAGCTTAAGGTTATCTTGGATTCCATTGCTTTTTGTCCCCTTAAAACAAGCAGCAACAACAATAAAAAAGTGTGTACATAGAGTTATATGTAGAAAAGTGAGTATCTACCTTCAGCAATATAATTAGTACCAGTTCAGATTCTATTTTTTTTTTATTTTTTTTTTGGGTCTGGTCGTGGGGCCTGAACTCTGGGCCTGGGCGCTGTCCCTCAGCTGTTCAGCTCAAGGCTAGCGCTCTACCACTTGAGCCACAGCGCCACTTCCGGCTTTTTCCTTTTTGCTTATGTGGTGCTGGGCAATCGAACCCAGGGCCTCAGGCATGCAAGGCAAGTGCTCTACCACTGAGCCACCTTCCCAGCCCCTCAGATTCTATTTGTATGGAGCTGTTTCTGCTTTTAAACTTTGACTTATCCACAATTTCTCAAATAATTGATAATTGTTGGAACTACTTTTATGAAATCATAATTTCTCAGTCATACTGATTTTTCACTTTCATAAATGTATTAATTAGTAGGATATGATTCACTTTGTGGATTAGACATTGATTTATTTCCTGGTAGTATCCCTTAGGTTTTTAGAAAGTGTTTTAAGAAAGTCAGCCGGGCACCTGTGGCTTGCTTATGCCTGTAATCCTAGCTACCTAGGAAGCTGAGATCTGAGGATTGCAGTTCAAATCCAGCCCAGGCAGGAAAGTCCATGAGACTCTTATCTCCAATTAACCACCAGAAAACCAGAAGTGGTACTGTGGCTCAAGTGGTAGAGTGCTCCCCTTGAGCTAAAGAGCTGAGGGACAATGCCCAGACCCAGAGTTCAACCCCAAGACCCACCTCCTTTTCCCCCAAAAAAGGAATGTCATATTTTGGATCTGTGATGCATTTCGCATTAATAAACATAACATTTTTTCCCTTGCCCCTGGTCCAGTCTCTGGAATCAGTTTTACGCCACCCAGCAGATAATCGCACCCAGATTCGGGAACTTGGGCAGACTCTGATCGATGGTGGAATCCTGGATGACATAATCAGTGAGAAACTGGAGGCTTTTAACAGCCGCTACGAAGAGCTAAGCCACCTGGTAAGGACTGGGCTGTGCATGCGTGCGATGGTGTGTTACTCGTCTTAGTTTTTATATACATAACTTTATATTATGTTTAAGTAGTTGTACAAAGAGGTTTCAATTTCAGATGTGAGTTTATGAGTACAGTACATCTTGGTGACTGGGTATTTGTGATTTGGAGCTGGTCCGAAGCTTTCAAGTCATACTGAGCTTCCATGTTGAGTCAGGTTGGTAACATCTGGAGTTGATCGAGGCTAGTTACCGCTTTGAAGTTGGTTTAAGTGGTTTAAGTTGGTTTAAGTTAACTAACTTTAATGGGGGCCTGCATCTTTACAGTGCTAAGGGAAGAATTGACTTGGTACTTTGGAGATAAACAGAATTTGATGATTTAAAACAAATAACAAGAACACAACACACACACAAAACCTATTGGCTTTGAGGCTTCTTCAGTTTCCCTTAAAAATCTCATTGCTGTATAGAAGAGTAATAACTTGTATTATCCTTGTAAATATTAGGCCTGTCAGAATTAAACATAAACTAGTATGAAAGCCATGGTCTTAGTTTGAATCTAGATTTTTATCTTTGGACGTACATTCAAATCAGTTATTGAAATGGTAGGATATTGCTCTGTTAGGAAGGCTGTATAGATATTAGATACCATTAAACTCATGCTAAATCAGAAAACTAATATTTAGACCATGGATAACATCAATATTTATTTAAAAAATTAATAAATAGGAGTAAACACATAGGTGCTAATGGTCAAACTTATTTTCAACTTGGAAAAACAAATAGATTCTGATGTTTATTCTATTGATAGGTATCGGTCATGTGTAAAAATACTCCAGAGTTACAGAATTACAAAATTTCATATGTTCTTTCTTGTGCCCTATAGGAAATCTTTCCATTTTGGTATTTTTGTCATCATACATAGAAATAAGAATAAATTAGTAGGTCCATTGCTAGGGACAATGTACTAGTAGGACATTTTCACCTTTATGTACAGTTATTCATTTACCAGGAAGGCTAACATCTTGAACTAGTGCTTTTTCAGTCTTTTCTTAGTGGCTGGAAAATTTGTTGTGTTGAGCAACTCATGACTAACAATTTGTCCCTTTGCAGGCGGAGAGCAAGCAGATTTCTTTGGAAAAGCAACTGCAGGTCCTGCGAGAAACTGACCACATGTTTCAGGTGCTGCAGGAGAGCCTGGGGGAGCTGGATAAACAGCTAACCAACTACTTGACGGACAGGGTTGATGCCTTCCAGGTTCCGCAAGAAGCTCAGGTACCACTTGGGGATTTGTGAGCGTTTGAGTTGTGAAGAAGGAAATAGGTAGTTACCCTTGCTGCCAAGGAATGGTTCTTGCTAGTGAAAGGGAGAATGGTTGACTCACGCATGGAACAGTGCTTAGATTTTGGTTCCTTTGTTCCCTATGAGAGATCTGGACCATTGCTAACATTTCAAAATTGCAGTTTCCTTAGCTATGAAATGGGGACATTTTCTTCATTTAGGAATAAGTTGCCAGTGTTTGAAGTAACACATGCAGACCTTAAAATGTGCCTAATGCAGATACCTGTGACTCAGGCCTGTAATCCTGGCTACCCAGGAGTCTGAGATCCAAGGATCCTGTTTTTGAAGCTAGCTCAGCCAAGAAGAAAGTCCATGAAACTTTTTTTTTTTGGGTCCGGTCATGGGGCCTGAACTCTGGGCCTGGGCGCTGTCCCTCAGCTCTTCAGCTCAAGGCTAGCGCTCTACCACTTGAGCCACAGCGCCACATCCGGCTTTTTTCTTTTTGCTTATGTGGTGCTGAGGAATTGAACCCAGGGCCTCTGGCATGCAAGGCATGCGCTCTACCACTGAGCTACCTTCCCAGCCGCTCCATGAAACTTTTATATCCAATTAACCAGCAAAAAATGGAAAGTGGAGTTGAGGCTGACGTGGTAGAGTACTACCCTTATATGAACAAGCTAAGTGATAGGGCTCAGGCTCTGAGTTCAAGCTCTAGTACTAGCACACACACACAAAAATAACCAGTCAACCGTCAAACCCCAAACAAATATGTACCTAGACACAGTGTCATGCAGTATGCCGGCACATATTGTTATTGTATTTATTGTCAGCCTGTTAAACCTTATAGAATACAGTATGATATGTTATGAAACTATGAGGAATTTCTGATTTATTTCTTTGTATATTTTTTAAAGAAACCATATCCTCTCCCTGTCCTAATCTCTTGGTAGAAAATCCAAGCAGAGATCTCTGCCCATGAGCTCACTCTAGAGGAGCTGAGAAGGAATCTGCGTTCCCAGCCCCCTGTGTTCCCGGAGGGAAGGACCAGCAGAGGGGGCAGCCAGATGGAGCAGCTGCAGGTAACCAGGACCAGGCACTTTCTTGCCTTTTCAATATGGCAGAGAAAAGAGTTGCTGACTGGGAGATTTTGTGTGATATAGACTGTGAAACAGATGTGAGGTATTAAAGGTCTATGACATTCCAGGACATTAGAAATGAATTGTTGCATGGGTGTAGAAATAGCACATCTGCTTTTATAACTGAACTGAGAGGAGAGAGTAAGCTCGATTTAGAAGTCAGCTTTCTGTCCACTGTAGTTGTTAATACAGAGTCTCTGAGATCTGAGAGTCCATGAGCTCCCTGGGTAGGCTGAGGTTGTGAGTGATACAGATTCCCATAGTTCTTTTTTTTCTTTCATTAAAAAAACTTCTTTTTAAATGCCTGACCTGAGACTTGAACTCAGGTCCTGAGTACTGTCTTTGAGCCATTTTGCTCAACACTGGTGTTCTACTACTTGAGCCATAGCTTTACTTCTGGGTTTTTTAGTAGCTTATTGGAGAGTCTCACAGACTTTCCTGTCTGGCTTTGTCTGGCTTCCTGGGCTGGCTTTGAACTGTGATCCTCAGATCTCAGCCTCTGGAGTAGCAAGGATTACAGGCGTGAATCAGTGGTGCCTGGTTTACATCATTCCTTCATGGTTGATATGACATTGACTTTCACTCTGAGTTTGGGATGAAGGGCATTTGAATCCTAGGGTCCTACACTATACTGTTTGAACAGGCTTGAAAATTAATGAAACCTAAATTCCAGTGAGACTTGCTTTCCTTCATTATTTCTAAGCTGGAGACTTTTGAGTATTGCATAATTCATGACTTTGAGCTGTGGTCTTCACTTACACAATGGGGATAACCTTCTTGCGTTCCTTTAGGTTTGCTTCTTCATTTGGAATGATTCTCTGGTGCTTTCATTTCATTTAGGGTTATGTTAATGTCCACTGGTGAGAGAGATTTGTCATTTTGAGGTGAATTGCTTCTTCATTTCATTTCTGCCAACAGAGGAAACTTCGAGAAGTGTCCACGAAATTTCAGCTCTTCCAGAAGCCTGCAAATTTTGAACAGCGCATGCTGGACTGTCAGCGTGTACTGGCTGGTGTGAAATCTGAGCTCCACATCCTTGAGGTGAAGGACGTGGACCCCGAGGTCATCCAGACACACCTGGACAAGTGTATGGTAAGCCTGCTGGGGGACTCACGGGTCTAGAGAGCTTTCTCGAAGTTAGTCTGGCTTATTGCCTTGTTTTCTGTATGTGATCTTGACTAGTTTGCTGCACACAGGCATTGATATTGGAGAACACATTAGGAAATCAGAAATGGGGGCTTTTCTTTCCAAGGAAAGTATAAGAGCAAAAAGAGATAGTGAGAGCTGGTGGTCAGTGGCTCATGCCTGTAATCCTAGCTACTCAAGGGGCTGGGACCTGGAGGATGGTAGTTCAAAAGCCATCCTGGGCACTCAAAATCCAAGAAACTTAATTAACCAGCAGAATTAGGTACTGAAGGTGTGGTTTACGTGGTAGAATGTCTGCCATGAGGACAAAGGGCATGTTAGAGTGTGAGGCCTTGAGCTTAAAACCCAGTACTGGTGGGTGTTGGTGGCTCACCCTTGTAATTCTACTACTCAGGAGGCTGAGATCTGAGGATTGTGATTCACTGCCATGGACAGGAAAGTCCATGAGACTCTTATGTCCAGTTAACCACCAGAAAATGAGAAGAGGTACTATGGCTGAAAGTGGTAGAGTGTTAGCCTTGAGTGGAAAAAACACAGGGATAGTGCCCAGGTCCTGAGTTCAAAGCCCATGACTGACAAAACAAAACACACCCAGTACTAGCAAACCCATTACTAGCACCAGAGAGGGAGGGCTGGGGAAGGAGAAAATAATTGATTGCAGTCTGCTGAGGCAAGGGATGTAGACTCAACATATATAAACAATATGTATGAAAAAACAAAAAGACATCTTAATCATAGCATGAAGTTAGGGAGGCTCAGCAGAATGTAAGCCAAATTTCTAATTATAAATTTAAAGTAGCGGGACAACATTTAGAATGAATGTCAGGCATATTACTGCATTAAAACAATTCCTTTACAAGGCAAGTTAAAAAATTTAACTTCTGATTCATGTAGAAGAAGAAATTATACTTAGAATGGCTGCAGGAATAGTGAAAAAAGATTCCTTTGCTCAAAAATAAAAGTTTAAATCAAAGTTTAAACTTAAGATGAGAAAGGAGGGAAGGATATATGCGGTCTTTTTACTATCTCTGCTTTGAACTTTGAAATTCAATTGAATAGAAATTTTAAAATAATATATCTGGGGGGATCTGATCTTAGACATAGTGTGATGCTTGAGGATCATGGAAAACTTCAAATGACACTTGTTAGACTGCAGAAGTCTGAAATGAATTCTTCATACTTTTTTTTTGTCTTTTACTGTGAAACTACTTTTATACCTAGAGTATCATTTTATATGCATGATGGCCATTCAAGTTTTTTTTAATCTTAATTTTTTTATTTGTTGTTATTGTAGAGTTGATAGAGGGGTTACAGTTACATAGATAGGTAATGAATAATGAGTATAATTCTTTTTGAACCATGTCTCCCCTCTCTCCTCTCCCTCTGTTTTTCCCTCCCATGCTCACCCATAAGATCTCCTATTCATTTTCCAAATAGTATCTGATGGGTATCACTGTTGAATTTGTTCAATCTTTGTAAAACCTTTTCTGTGCCCCCTCTTGCTCTCCCAAATACAAACAAGACAAAAAGAAAAGAAAAGAAAAGCAGCAACAATGACAACTAAAATGTCTCTTGTTTCCTTTCTTGGAGTTCAAATTCATAAAATATTATTTTATATAATCATATGCACATCTGGAATTCTACTCATCCAGCAGAAAGAATGATATTGTACCTTTCAGAAGGAAATGGAAAGACTTGAAAAAAATTATATTAAACAAAATAAGCCAGTCAAAGACATAGGCTGAATGTTTTCCCTCATTTGTGGTAACTAGAATATTCCAATACATCTACAAGTAAGCACACTGAATGATTACACACACACACACACACATTCGGACATGATAAATTATACAGGAATCTAGACATTCACACACTGAGGTCAAAGAAGGATCTGCATAGGAGTGGTTGACAATGGTCCTTCAAATTTTAGGCCTAATATTTCTCCCATTTTAGTTGGAAAAATGTGTATAGTATATTACAAAGTACTTCCACCAACATTTCATACACAGTTGTGAGAGCTCCAAGCAAGTGTACACTCCATTAGCTTGACTTCTTACCTGGTTTGAGAAGGTGTTATAGCCTTGATATCATTAGGTTCAAATGTCAAGCCACATTTGAGGAAGGTACAGCGTTTTGGTGTCTGTCAAACTGTGCCAGCTCTGTTCGGAAATGCTTACCACCTGGAAGGGTTTTAATCACAGGGCAAGATCCATCTGTGTGTGTTTTGTTTTTGTTTTCAAAGAAACTGTATAAAACTTTGAGTGAGGTCAAGCTGGAAGTGGAGACAGTCATCAAAACCGGAAGACACATTGTGCAGAAGCAGCAGACAGACAACCCCAAGGGGATGGATGAGCAGCTGACCTCTCTGAAGGTCCTCTACAATGACCTGGGCGCACAGGTGAAGTGGGCCACATGAGCCCCCTCCTCCCCCGTACACCTCTACTTAGTGTTATGTATTCTCACAGCTGTTATCTATCTATTCTTGATTTTTGGATTGGGGACTGAATCTGGGGCCTCACACATATAAACATGGGCTCCTGCACTGAGTCCCAGTGTAAACCCTCTTTGTTTTGCAAATTTTTTATTGTGATTAAGTGATTATATAAGTCCCCAAAGCCCTCTTGTGTATTTCAAAATTCACTTTTTGGAAAATGCATCTTTGAGGTTAATGACACTAATACCTATACCTTAAGTTTGGCTTAATAGTTCCTTAGTAATATAATGACTACTAGCTATAGAGAAATGCATTTTTTTTTTTTTTGTTGGTCGTGGGGCTTGAACTCTGGGACTGCTGTCCCTCAGCTCTTCAGCTCAAGCTGTCCCTCAGCTCTTCAGCTCAAGGGTGAGCGCTCTACCACTTGAGCTACAGCGCCACTTCCTAGAGAAATGCATTTTTAACATTTAGTCCAGGTTAGTTCTATTGATACTTTCCGTGGCTACTGACATTTCATAAATTATGGGGGAAAGCCACAAAATAATAGTCCCTGTATGAATTCTACCAAACAGTCATATCTATATAAATGGAATAGTTCACTGAGAATTGTTAAGGCATAAGGAAACTAGTGAACAGGAAGCTGATATTAAAATCTGGACTTTGGCCGCCTTAGTGAGGGCTCAGGCTGGAGTTGTCACATTTCCCTGGGAGTGACTGCTGGGATACAACAGGCTTATTGTCCTTGACCATGAAGGGTCTTTGTCCAGAACTAGTGTACAAAAGAGCCAGGGGCGCGAAACCTTGATCATCTTGAATGTGTTAGGTAAATTTTGGATCCTTCTTCCATTATTAAATAGCAACAACTTTGGCTTTCCTTAAAATTGAAATTTCTGCTTAAGTCCAGGGCAAAAGAGCTGAAGTTTCGTTACCAATTTAAAATCCGTAAGTTTAGAAAGACTAAACCAAAGCCCAACAACATAAGTACCAGAAAATGGGTGCTTGCAAGGAGGGAGGGAGAGCACGCAGGCAAGAATTCAATGTATATACCACAGAATTAAGAAAAATAGGGAAGGGGTAGGGGAAGGAAGATGAAGATGTTGAAGGGATGGTACAGATCACATAAGCTGCTTTATTAAATGGCAAAAAAAATCCAATACATAGAGTTTAAACATGAAGAAAAGTAAGGGGAGGGGCAGGTAAGAATGTGGAAAGGAATGACACTGATCAAGATGCACAGTATTCATAAACTGCTTGTTGCATGACAACTCCTTTGTACAACTCCATAAGGATAATAAAAAAAAATCCAGCAAAAATCAATACACGTCCTAAGTAAATCCCTTTTCCCTTATATGGACAAGATCAAATAAAATCAGTGAGGATGAGGAGACCAGACCTCTAGGCATTCCCTACCTCATCTGCAGGATGACGTGGTTGGTTGAAAACATTTTGATGTATGACACATTTGAACAGGTGTCTTTGGAGCTTCTTTCTGATCTTATGTGGCTGGAACGATTTTTTTAAATAGCGTTTTCCCCCCACTGGTTGAACAATGCGTGCGTGAGCTGAGAATGGCCTTGCTGATTTCCAGATTGATTCTCTAGTTATGATGACAGTTTTGTGTTAGTGAATTTTCTCATTCGGCATAATGAAGACTTTCTTGTGTATCAAGTGTGACACAGGCAGTTGGAGCTCAGAGGAAGGAAAAACAAGTCATCTTTATGTCAACGAATTTCGGGCTATGGAGGAAGACGGTGTTAAGTTATTCATGGGAAGTTATTTCAAGGTGCCAATTGAAGTGCTCTGAAGGCAGGCATTTGGGGCTTTAAAACATGAATAAAAGGGAATTTGGTCCATTCTTGGGTTAGGCCAGCTTCCCTGAGGCGGTGTTGCTGAGATCTGAAGGATGGTTGGGATAAGCAGAGGCTTGCTTTTGAGGCTTATGAAGGATCAGTGTGTAAAGACCCTGTGGTAGGAGAGAGGGTGGTATATCTGTGTGATTAGAGACAGTCAGTGCAGAGAGCATCATGGGGCCAGACCCTATTCCTGTTGTGTTTGTAGGGTAAAAGTTTAAACCCTACTGAATTTTTAGTAGGGAGGTAATACGCACAGATCAGCTCTGTAGAAGGCCACTCCCTGCAGGTTGGAGAGTGAGCTGCAGAGAATGGGGATTGGATAGGAGTAGACCAGCCAGGAAGGGCTGGATTCCTCATGAGAGGCCATGGTGGCTTAGAGATGGTGGACGATGGAGATGCGAAAGTTGACTGAAGGCTGGCATAGGAAGTGCTCTCTGTAGCCTTTGTGAGGATTAGCTTTGGGAGTGGAAGAGTGGGAGACTCCTAGGCTTTATGATTTCGTGAAGCTCATGGTGGGATCCTTGGAACACTGGGTGGCTGGAAGGAAAGGCAGGGATATGCAGAAACTATAAGCCTGCGTTGGGTACGTTGACACTCTGAGCCTGTTGGAGAGAGATAACTGGAGATGGCAAGTGTCCAGGTAGACACGCAACTCAGGGGAATAATTTGGGCAAAGAGGTGGACTTAGCAACTCCTGTATATGAAGGTAGTGGTTAAAGTCTTCAGGAAGGATGCCATTGCCTAGAGAGAGACTGGAGCACACTTACAAGTGTGCTTGGTATTTGTTGTTTTGTCTTCCTTATTAAACTTAGCAAGGGAGTGTCTGTGGAGTGGGGGTGGGTGGGTAGAAGTCAGATGTCCTAACTTGCCGAATGTGTTAGAAGAGGCGAAATGGAGCCAACACTGTCATAAATGGCTGTAAGGATTTGAATGGAAGAAGTGGAGAGAGGAGGGTCTTAAGGGAAGGGAAAAAGGAGGAAATGTGTGTGTGTGTATGTGTGTGTGTGTGTGTATGTGTGTGTGCATATGTGTGCATGGATGTACATGCAAGTGAGAGATTGGAGAGTGGTCTTTAATAGCGGGTAGAAGTGATTCTTGTTTAGGGGGATTGCTTGCATTTTCAAGAGGGAAAAGGGATAAATGGTAAAAGATTTATGACTTCATACAGCTTAATTCATGGTATAGTACATTTTAAAATGCATTGATTATACTGAGAAAAGTGTAAATTGACACAGGTTGAACTGCAAATGATTCTTCCCAGTCCCTACAAATCTCAAGTGGCATTAAGTTTTACGATAATTGTGTTTTTGCCTGGGCATGTCAAAGTCAGATAAATATTATCTAAATACATAATATCTTTTAATAGAATTCAATTATTTGTCTTCTAAAGTCAGCATTGAAGGGCTATTAATTTAGAATCATGCATTTTAATTACATTCCATGGCAAAATTATTATACTTTTAAGAGGGACTTTAATAACCATCATTTCTTGAACTATGGAAGAGTGAAATTGAACTGAGTGGTGAAAGAAGCCAGTTTTTACCCCATGGTACTTACTTAACAAAATGTGATCTTCAGGTCATTTTTATCAAGAGAAAAGTTCACTTCCTGTATGACTCTTCTCTGTCCCTGTGATAAGAACATATAAATGTTATTATCAGTTGTATGCTCATCCAAACAAGTAGACCAGTTATTTACATATGGGGTGTCTTCTCAGCTTTGTGTTGGCATTGATGGCTTCTGGTTTGGGAATATCAATATGGAAGGTAAAAGGTTAACCCAGGCCCTTTTCCTTGGCTCTAACATCCTTTTAGCCTCATTTCCCTTGTGAAGAAAGTGGAGAGAGCAAGGCCTATCACAGAGGTGCTTGTGACCTGTTCATTGCTTAACAAGCCATAGATACTGTACGATGAGACCACTGTTACTTCAATGAGAAGGGCAGCATAAAAATATTCTCGTTATCGAGTCATACAGTATTTTATGTGGTTGTAAAACATGACATTGTGGACTTAATGCTACTTTTTCTGCAAATCGCTATAATTCTGTGAGCATGCAAAAAAAAAAAAAAGAAGTTCTTTCATTGTAAGGATTCTTTTTTTGTTGTTGTTCATTTTTTTTTAAATTGTGAAAATACCATATAGAGGAGTTACAATTACATGGGCAAGGTAATGAGTACATTTCTTATTGTTGCCTCCTCCTTTGTTTCCCCTTCCCATCCCTTCCCATCTCCCTCTCTTCCCCCCTCTCCCCCCCCCCCCCCCCCCCCCCCCCCGCCAAAGTTGTAAAGTTCGTTTTTCAACATAATGACTCATCCAACTGTATCCCTATTTAAACGATTTGTTTTTGCCCTTCCCCTCCACAAATTATACCAGCATCAAATACAGTGAAAGCAGCAGTTAATACTGTGGGGGAGGGACATACAAAACAACAAAGAAATTATCTTATAAATATATTAGAAACCCCCACAGTATAACCCATGCTTTCACTGTATTTGTTGTCCGTATGATTTGTAGAGAGGAAGGGGTAAAAACAAGTTGTTTAAATAAGGATACAGGTGGACCCGTTGCAACAATGAGAAATACAAGTTGTTATGTCGAAATGAATTTACAACATTGGTGGGGGGGGGGGTGGGGAGGGTTGGGTGGGGGGGACGGGGGGAGGATGGGAAGGGGAAACAAAGGAGGATAAGAAATGTACTCATTATCTTGCCCATGTAATTATAACCCCTCTGTACAGTATTTTCACAATAAAAAATAAATAAAAATTAAAAAAATAAATATATTAGAAACAATCATATGAAAGAAAAAACATTTGAATACTTATCTTGGGGTTCATTTCACCTAACATCAACTTTTCTGAACTTTCCTGCTTGTCTCAGACATATACTAGCATTTACCCAAATGATCACAAACAAGACCATACTGAAGCTACCAGCACAACTATGTTTATTGCAGCATTATTTACCATAGCTAAGATATGGAACCAACCCAAATGCCCCTCAGTAGATGAATGGATCAAGAAAATGTGGTATATATACACAATGGAATTCTATGCCTCCATCAGAAAGAATGACATTGCCCCATTTATTAGGAAATGGAAAGACTTGGAAAAAATTATGTTAAGTGAAGTAAGCCAGGCCCAAAGAAACATAGGTCCCATGGTTTCCCTTATTTGCAATAACTAGTATATGTCATTGTAAGGATTCTAAGGCTCTTCTGTTCTATATTCTAATGTGTACCAGTTTTTCATTCCCGAACTTTGTCTTGATCTGTCGTCCATTCAGGTGACAGAAGGAAAGCAAGGACTGGAAAGGGCTTCTCAGCTGGCCAGGAAGGTGAAAAAAGAGGCCGCCTGCCTCTCCGAGTGGCTATCTGCTACCGAGGCAGAGTTGGTGCAGAAGTCCACTTCCGAGGGTGCGCTGGGTGACGTGGACGCAGAAATCTCCTGGGCTAAAGTGAGTCATGGCTCAGATGAGCCGCCAACACGTTTGCAGATGACTGGGACATCGTGGGGGTACAATGGAGAAAGATGCTGTTTCCCTTCATTTCCTGGTCATCAAAGCTTTTTCTTTTCTCCATGTTTCTGTTCTAAGGCGAACGTTCATCATTTTAAGATGACACTTTGGTCTTGATTTCAGGAGCATTAAACAGATAGGGAACATCAAGGCATAATGGCTGTGTAATACTTGAAGACATTTTCATTAGTCATCTTCAGAATCAGCGATGTTGTCAGTGTGTTGATTTTAGTTTTTCTTGAATAATTTTGTTTCAACAACTGATCTTCCTGTCGCAAACTAACTGTCGTCAAAAACATAAGGGGAGCTTTTTATTTTTTTTAACCATAGGTTTCCTTATCCCTATATTATTTTGAAATTGCCAAGAGCTGATTTGCTTTTGAGGTGGACCGAGAATCCAACAGGAACGCAGAGTAGTTCTCGTATGAAGTTGGGCTGTTTGTCTCGGTTTCCTTGCTAAGAAAGACGTGGGAAGGATGCTAGAGAATCGAACCTTCATATAAGGCCTAGCTGGCAGTGCTGAAGGCCTCTGTCGGGGTTTGTGCTCTGTCTTCAGGACACCACTGGGTGCTGGGAACACAGCTCTGCTTACCTTCAGTGCTCTGTGGACGTGATACCTGACAGTCAAGAAACAATAGTCTCAATGTTGTAGATGGTTCAGAGAAAAAGTGCTATGCACTGAGTGTGTGCGTGTGGGGGGAGAGGGACAAAGGAAAGTAGAGGGACTGGAGAGACAGGAAGAGCATCCTGTGGATGACCCAAGCAGAGGCACCCAGTAGTTCCTGTGAGACTCAAGCTTTTCAGGAAACATTAGCATCTATTCCCGCCCCTCCCCTCCCCGTCCCCTCCCTTCCCATCTATTCCCGCCCCTCCCCTCCCCACTTTCCCTCCCTTCCCATCTCTTTCCATCCCCTTCCCTCCCCTCCCCTCCCCTCCCCTGTCCTCTCCTCCGCCTTACAGATGTTTTTCTTGCAAATAATTATAGTATATATCCAGAGTTCCTCTAGTAATCTAGGAAGTAACTTCATTGTGAATTTTTAAAAGAAATCCATTCTGGGATCATTCTGCTAACTTGTGCAGTTAGTAAGAAGAAAGTTGGTGTTTGCTTATACTAAATGACATCTGAGTGTCTTGCATTGTTCCCTATTGGCTTAATTCAACGTTTTTATTTTCATTAGGAACTTGAGAACTCTCAGTATGTCAATAACATGAGGTCTTTTGTAAGCTTTTGACATGTTGCAAATCGTCATGGACTATTTGTGTTTATAAAGAAGAAATGGATTCCATATTTTCTAATACTGTGAAAGAGCGAGTGGGACTGGTGTTTTTGTTTTCTAGAATGTCCTGAAGGATCTGGAAAAGAGAAAAGCTGACTTAAACACCATCACTGAGAATAGCGCTACCCTCCAGAACTTGATCCCTGGCAGTGAACCTGTGTTAGAGGAAAAGCTCTGCGTCCTTAATGCTGGGTGGAGCCGAGTCCGTACCTGGACCGAGGATTGGTGTAGTACCTTGCTGGTATGTTCCCAGGCAAATTTTGATGATGAAATCTCTCCTTCAACTCTTTTTAAGTGCACATTGCTTTGGGTAGAAAAACTACATTTTATTTTTCTCTTGAAAAGGTATTAACTAGAAAGAATTTATAATAAATCTTTTAAAGGATAAAATGTTGGTAGTACAGGAACAAATAAGTAATCACTACTTGTTTTGCTTTTTGTGTGTGCTGGCACTGAGGCTTGAACTCAGAACCTCATACCCTCACCTGACTTCTTAATTTTGAACCATGCTTCTACTTCTAACTTTTTGCTGGCTAATTGGAGATAAACTCCTTGAGGATTTGTTTGCCAGGACTGGCTCCAAACTATGATCTTCAGATCAGCCTCCTAAGTTGTTACGACTATTAGCATGAGCCACCAGTGCCTGGCACCTATGTACTTTAAATAAATTTACTTTGTTTCATTTTAATGAGAACGTATAGTGTTGAATTTTAATACTATTATATAGTATATGTATGCTATATGTGGATGTGTGTATGCACACACGTCATTACAATGTCCTAATAGTATGCAAGTTCTAGCACAGTTTCTAACATCTGCTGTCTTCATAAATTTTTTAATAAGTAGCTGGGTGGAAGTAACATAAATGTTCTCTGTGCCTCAGTTTTCACATCTGTAACATGGTGTCATCATAATTTCTATGTCTTGTTTTTGTGACTAAAATATGACCTATATAATGATATATAAAACAACTAGTTTTAAATAATAGTAGGAAAATGATAGTTATTAAGTGTTATAAGTATATTCATCTTTTTTGTGTGTGTGTATGTGCGTCATGGGGCTTGAACTCTGGGTCTGGGAGCTGTCCCTCAGCTTTTCACCTCAAGGCTAGTGCCCTACCACTTGAGCCATAGCGCCACTTCTGGTTTTCTGGTGGTTTATTGGAGATAAGAGTCTCATGGACTTGCCTGCCTGGGCTGGCTTTGTACCGTGATCCTCAGATAGCAGCCTCCTTAGTAGCTAGGATTACAAGTGTGAGCCACCAGTGCCTGGCAGTATATTAATCTGTATAATACCATTGTACTACTAATTATTTCATGGAAATTGACCAATAATTTTCATAATCTTATTCTGGGCCCCTTCTGATAATGAGTATAGCCCCTCTACCCTTCCTCACAGAATAGAGTTATCATTTACAAATTATTCTTTGGTTCTGAAATATCAGAATGTATCAGACTTTTATACAACTATCCCTAGAGACATAAAAAATGGTACTCTGTGTTTAAGCATTTGTTCAAGTCAGTTAAGATATGTGGGGTAGGAGAGGCCATTGACACACTCATGACTGGTTGCAGACTTTATATTCCAGTTCACAAGCTAGTATCTTCATTATGTTAGTAATATCAGTAAGCTTCACTTCCCATATACATAAAATTTAATATTTAGTATGCTTTAATATATAGTGTATAAAACATGTTGAATCATATAATTTTAATACCAATTTCCATATAAAATTTGGTATTTCAATATATTTAATTTAGAAAGCACGTAAATTTCAATAAATAAACTTACATATAGTACACATATAATTGCTTTCTATATATAATCTTTTAATAAATAGGTGTGCAATATATTTATAATCAATAAAATCTTAATTTTCTGGGGCTGGGAAGGTGGCTCAGTGGTAGAGTGCTTGCCTTGCATGCCTGAAGCCCTGGGTTCAATTCCTTAGCACCACATAAGCAGAAAAAGCCGGAAGTGGTGCTATAGCTCAAGTGGTCGAGCACTAGCCTTAAGCTGAAGAGCTGAGGGATAGTGCCCAGGCTCAGAGTTCATGCCCATGACTGACAAAAAAAAAAAAAATCTTAATTTTTTAAAACGTATAAATGTTTCTTAACATCTTTTCTTAGGTGAAATCTTTTTTTAATCACTCCCACTATATAGTAATAATTGATTTCCTTTAATTCTGAGCTCTTTAAATACTTTCCTTTATCCCATGAGACACAGCACTGGGACATTGTCAGTTTTATCATAATCCTCCTTTTGATCAAGGTGTGACTTTTTCTTTTTTTGTGTTGGTCCTGGGTTTGAACTCAGGACATGGGCATTGCCCCTTAGCTGTTTTGCTCAAGGCTAGTGTTCTACAACTTGAGCCAAAGCTCAACTTTTGGTTGTTTTGGTGGTTAATTGGAGATAAGAGTCTCATAGACTTTCCTGCCCAGGCTGGCTTTGAACTCTACAACTTGAGCCAAAGCTCAACTTTTGGCTGTTTTGGTGGTTAATTGGAGATAAGAGTCTCATAGACTTTCCTGCCCAGGCTGGCTTTGAACTCGATCCTCTGATTTCAGTCTCCTGATGACAGGTTTGAGCCATCAGGGCTCAGCTGAGGTATAACTTTTTGTCTTAACTAGTTTTAATCTTTGTTCCTGTTTGAGGTGCTTTCTCTCCTCAAGTCATACTTATGTCCTATGCCAGGAAGCACTAGTGGTGCAGGAGAAACAAGGGGAAGCATCCCTGGGCTGTTGAGTGGGCAGAATGTTACTCAGACCTTACTCACGATTTCTTTAGATGCCTTCCAGAGTCACAATTAATAAGGGTGACTAATGACATAAGCTCAAATGTATGTGGGCAGGACAAGAGATGAAGAGATAAAATTGGAAAAGAAGCTTCATCTTCTATTCTGTTTTAAGCTTCGTCTTGTGTGCAGGTCTAAACCAAATCCCTTGAAAGAGGGCTTTAGCCATCCAGGCTAAGATCTACTGACTGAGATCTATTGATCAGGCTGAGATCTATTGACTGAAGAAGAGCTGTGCAGGAAGGTGGAAACTCACTTTAAACACAGCATCCATGTGGTCTTGAAATCTTTCCTATGATTGTGTCAGCGTCTTCTTAATTCCTTTGTAGAACCACCAGCGCCAGCTGGAAGTGTTCGATGGGAATGTTGCTCACATAAGTACCTGGCTTTATCAAGCCGAAGCTCTGCTGGATGAGATTGAAAAAAAGCCAGCCAGTAAACGGGAAGAAATCGTGAAGGTAACAGACTTCAATAACACAGTTGGGACATGGACTATTTTGCTGTAGTCTCTTCACTTGTGGATGCTCTGGGGTCCTTGTGCACACATTCTTGTCCTGTGCATCTGTTTTGGCAGGAAAAACTGAGCTCTGCAGTGAAGTTTGTTTGAACGTCTCTTGCTGCAATGATCATGCAGAAGCCTTTTGCTAGCAACTACACTTATTTCCAAAACTCCCCTTAACTCTGAGTCAGCTTGTCACCTGGGTTAGATTTTATTGTCATGTGGGGATAATTTCGCATGTTCACTTTTGTTTCCTCCCACAATTAGCGTTTAATTTCTGAGCTGGATGATGCCAGCCTCCAGGTAGGAAATGTTCGTGACCAGGCTATGGCTCTGATGAATGTGCGGGGGAGTGCTGGCAGAGAGCTGGTGGAACCAAAGTTAGCTGAGCTGAACAGAAACTTTGAAAAGGTGTCGCAACACATCCGAAGTGCGAGAGTGAGTACATTTTTATAGAAAAACCATTTCCCCCGGTTATGTGGCTTAGATGAAAAATAATAGACTATATAGGTAAGAGTTGGCTTTTTGTGTACTGTTGATTTTTAAAATTACCTTTAAGGAGTTGTACAAAGGGATTTTAGTTTAGCAAGTCAGTTTATAAGTTCATCTTGATCAGTATCACCCCTTCCCTTATCCCCCATCTGTCCCAACGCCACCCATTCCCTCGTTAGTTCCCTGGTTCCATTTCAACATAGGTTCATTGAATGTAACCACTGTACTCACCCGCCTTTTTCTCTCCATTCTTCTTCTTTACTTTCCCTTAACCTCTCTCTCCCTCCCGAATTTTTTTGATTAAAAAGATTTTAATCACTTTTTTTTTAACTGGAGGATTGTTGGCTCTTATCTGTGATTGTGCATATATAGGGAAGATAAGAAATTAATATTGAAAAAACAACCCATTTGAGGAAAGACCGTTCTGAAGATTAGAATTGGCTGAAAAATAATGAGACTAATTCCCCAAAGGGACATGAATAGTAAATGCTTGATTTTATAAGTCACACTTTAATATCGGTTTTTATATTAAACATGCATTTTTTGTGCTTGATGGGTTGATAAATTTGATAGCTTAAGTAACTTCACAGATTAGACTTTATAGAAAAATATACTTCCTCACTTTATATATTTAAAAAATAACTTCATTAATTCACGTAAGGGGATAATAAATAGAGCTTTTCTTTACAGAAAGGTGTTTATCCTACCGAGTTTTGATTGATTTCTCTTTCCCTCTTGTTCCCCCTCCTTCCCACTCCCCTTTTCTCCCTCCCCATGTCCCCTCCTTCTTTCTCTCCTCCCCGTCTTATCTTTCCCTTTCTGTCTCTTTACATCTTTACTTTATAAGAGGAGCAAAGGAAACATTTAACTAATGTTCCTAAGACCTAGCTTCAAGGACCAGCACCAGTAAATGCTTAGTTGAAAAGATGAAAATATTTTGATGATTTGGTGGAAGAAAACCATAGTTAAAGTTGATGCTATTCAAGCTAGATGTTCAGCCAGGCACGGATTGCTCATATCTGTAATCCTATCTGTTCAGGAGGCTGACGTCTGAGGACTGTCCTTAGAAGTTAGTCCATGTGGACAAATCAGTGAGACTCTGATCTCCAAATAATCAGCAAAAAGCTAAATAAGAGCTTGAAGACATGCTTTCAAGCCTCAGTACTGTCACAGAAAAATGAGAAGAAACAAATACCCACTCTCCTCAGGGGATCATTCAAAGAAATCTTGAATTTTTGAGAAGCTCAGTTGTACCCATAGGATGGCATATTTGGACTGCATAGTTAATTTAACCTCTAGAACATTACATATTGAAGTCGAAGAGAAAGGATCAATATTTATCATAGAAAACAGATTTTTATCTAACTTAGCTTTTATTTAGAATATCTGATATCATAGACCAAGTTTTCTTTTATAGTTTAGGAGCATACTTACATTATTCAAAACTTAAGAAAATGAAAAACTTGCTTTGTTTTTTGTTTTCCTTGATGTTGAGCTCATCTCCTTAATGTTTGGTATTACTGTTTTCAGTGGGTCTACTGAAGATTTTTCTTGGTATAAAATAAAACATAATGTACATAGGGATAGGATGATAGAAAGTATAAAGAAATGAAATTCCCAGCATCCCCATAAATAATCTCTGCAAACATTTTCTCATCCATGTGTTCCCCCCATATAAAAATGTCATTGTTCAGTAGAGTTTTGTATGTGCTCCTTTGAACTACTTTTCAATAGTTGTAGAGTATTCTATTATATGATTTGTTATAATTCCTCAGCGAATTTTCTCCTTTTATTGGGCTTTTATAGATTTTGTATTTGTTAAAATCATCTTGTATATCGATTTTAACATGTTGGTAACTCTCAAGATTCCTTGAAATTGTTGCAGAGCTGTATATAGCTAGGCTGTGGATAGATTTCCCAAGTAGTCCCATAGAAAGCAGGTACCAACTGTTACTTCAATTAGGATGGGACAGGGCTACTTGTCGCCCACCATGCCATTTTATTTTAATTTTTTGCTGGTTCTGGGGCTTGAACTCAGGACCTGGGTGCTGTCCTTGAGTCTCTTTGTGGTCAAGTTTAATGCTCTACTGTTTAAGCCACAGTTCCACTTTCAGCTTTTTTTTGAGCAGTTCAATGGAGATAAGAGTCTGATGGAATTTCCTGCCAGGGCTGGTTTGGAAACTTGATCCTCAGATCTCAGCTTCCTGAGTAGCAAGAATAAAAGGCATGAGCCACCAGTGCCTGGCCATGCCATGCTATTTTTTATACATATATGATGGTTTCCTTTATAGGCATCTGAAAACACACCATTTAGAAAATGTATTCTTTCAAAGTTGAATATCAAAACCCAAGGAGAATTTCTCAGGGAACGTTGAACAAGAGTGTCCATAATTGTGACCTTTCTTCTTTTCTTTGGCCACAACAGGCTGGTGTTTGGGTCACAGCTCTGCTTACATGCAATCCTGGTCCACACAATGTGCTCCATACAGCCCCCCGCCATTGCATATCACCTCGCCTCATTTTCAGATTAGCATTTGGAAAATGGGCTATTCAGAGAAACCCAGATTAGTAAAATCTTTGCTATAAGATTGAATGAAAATTAAAGTCAATTCAAGTACATGCTAATTTCTTTCTGGCTACCTCATTTCTCTGATCAATTATTGAAAATCAAAGTAACATACATCTTCAGAGGTATCTTTTCCTTCCACAGTTGCTAATTGGTCAGGAGCCAGTATCATACCAAGGCCTGGTCACTACAGAAACATTGGATGCAAGTGTATCTGTCTCAGACATGGAAAAATTAGAAAATGACATTGAAAATATGTTGAAAGTTGTGGAAAAACAGTTGGAATCCAGAGATGGCAATGAAAAGGTTGGCTCTTTTCCAAGCCCTGTTCTTACTTTTCTTCTTTATGTTGCTAGTGTTTACTGATATAATCTGCCTTATGTAACTAAAGAAATCCACATGTGATTTTCTGAGTGTAAAGTAATGCTTAACAGTTGCACATGTGTGCACACACACAGCATGCTTCCTGGCATCAGGTGATTCTTAATCTAATTTATATGAAACTGGCTGTGGGACATTTTCTTTAAAATATAAAATATTTTAAGAAAATCCACACAACATTTGATATCTCAGGTTCATTGCACTGTATTTCACAGATTAATTCTCCCACATGGTGACTGATAACTAGGTTTCACTGTGCTATTTTTTTTTCTTCTGTTTTTCTCAGATTGTCTTTAACTATAGAAAGGGGTTTCAAGTCAACACATCCATGAGTGTATGGGTACAGTGCATCTTGATCAGTGTCACCCTGTGCATTATGCTCCCCATTCCTTTCGAGTAACAATGTTTTCTTTCAACATTCAGGTGGAGGAGGAGGGAGCCCAGATTGAGGAAGTTCTACAGAGGGGCGAACACATATTACATCAGCCCATGGAGGATAATGAGAAAGAAAAGATTCGTTTGCAGTTGCTACTTTTGCATACAAGATACAACAAAATTAAGGTAGGCTGATTGGAGAATCTCTGTGGCATTTAAATAACCCATGCAGCTCTTGCCAGACAGATGTTGGATCTCACATCTATGGATGCTTTAAGTAATCCAACTAGTGAGATGTTTTCTCCTCCTTTCTAATATGTTTTATTAGATACGTCAATATATTTGGATTTGGCAGATTACAAAGAAATTGAAATGTAAAGACTTATTACTGGTCATCTGTTTTGGAGTTTTGGGATCACGTAAGAAACCTTAAAAAATCTATACCTTTCAGAAGAGGCTTTCTTCTTTAATTCTTTTAAATTACTTTATTATTATTACTACGATTATTGTTTTGCTGGGCTCTGGTGGCATAATCCTACTACTCCTAGTGCTTTCATTGAGTCACTATTATCTTTGTCCTAAAAGTTGAGAAAACCATTCAGCTTCCCTCTGTGAACCTAAAAATAAACTGGCCTATTTGAAATGAAAGTTTAGAATAAGTGTTTTTAAGTTTTTCTTTAATAAATTTAGCTTTAAAAAAATGAAATTGGTTCCTTGATGGATAAGTTATTTTTTTATTCTTTTATATTTGCTTAAAAATCAGATTTTGGACTGAAGGGTGACTCAAGGTAGAACACTGAAGTACCAGCCTCTCCCCTCCCCAACCCAGCCCATATCTAGTGTTTTCTTTACATATATGATGACTACGTAGCTAGACTTGGAGTATTAGCTAGAATTTGGGGCATGTGGAGATTAACATGAATATTCTGGGTAAACACAGTCAATACTGTTGATAAAGTCAGAAAATCATAGGCTTGTTTCAGGCCTGTTTTACCTAGAAATGCTCATCAATTGTTCAACATATCAGCTTATCAAGTTCTAGGAGTCAGTAAACAGGGACCATTCAGTTCAACAGGCGATACAAATCAACGCTGTTATTCTTGAGTTTTGGTTTTATTTAGGAATTTAACCATTTTCCAGATCACTAACTAAATGACCATGTAATTGGGGTCAAGTGCACTATTGTATTTGAATATTTAGATATACTCATGTCTTTCCCTTGTGCTTTCCCTTGGTGCTTTGGCTCAAGGCAGGGGCTCTACCACCTGACCTTGCCTAGAAAGGTCAGAGTGTCAAGTAGTTACTGAGGTATCAGCTCTCTGAATTCAGTATTTTAAGATCCATTGTTGTATATGAGATATTCATGCTCTGAAAATTGGTCTTAAAAGTTACAATTACTATTTGAACCAAAATAGCCATTGCCTTTCAAATGTCATTTTAATTTTTCCTTGATCTTAGTTTTGGAGATGGGGGGAGGGGGGGTTGCTCTAGGTTGACCGGACTGATCTTGGACTGTAAGTTCTAGTGAGCCTTTGCTTCAGCTTCCATCGTACCATGGATCCCCCCTGCAGCTTGTTACATTTCAATAACGCATTTAACTTAGGTTTTCAGCGGTGAAGCCCACAACTATTTGATCTAATTGGCTATTTTAAAAACAGTGAAGTAATGATGATCCTAAAATGGTAGAACTTCACCATTTTTAGCCTGTTCTCATTTCTTCAACAATTCTTGGAAAGGGTGATTATTTCTGGCTTGCTAAATGACTTTAAATGACAAAATTTTTAAGGAAAAACCTTTTGAATATTAAATGGCTAACCCCAGCGTGCAGATGAAACTTAGAGAGTGTTACGAATTTCTGTAGAAATACAGATTAAAATGAAAAGAAAAGCATAATTAAGATTAAAAAACTTTGGGTCCATGGTCCTGAATGCCTTTACAAAATCCTTTTGTTCTTTATTTGATATAATTAATTGTAGTGATCTTTCTTTAAAAGTAGGTACATTAGCTAGGTGCTGGTGGCTCATGCCTGTAATCCTAGCTACTGAGGAAACAGATCTGAGGGTTGTAGTTTGAAGCCAGTCTGAAGCAGTTTGAAGTCCAGGCAGTAAAGCCTGTGAGACTCTTATCTCCAATAAGCCAGCAAAAAGCCAAAAGTGGAACTATGGCTCCAGTGGTAGAATGCTAGTCTTGAGCAAAAAAGCTCAGGGATAGTGTTCAGGCCCTGAGTTCAAGCCTTAGAACCAGTGTATATGTGCATGCATATGAACACACACAAACACACACAGAGGTGAATTAGTTTGAATAAAAATTTCTTTTATAGGCAACTCATGCTCAACAGAGGAAAACAAGTCAACCTGCTTCTGGAATTAAATCATCATCTCTTCCTACTGATTATCTGGCTGAAGTTAACAAAGTCTTGCATACAGTTGACGATGTTGAATTGCTGCTGAGAGTTCCAGAGCTGAACATGGCTGTGTGTGAGGACTACTCTCTTCAGGAAGACTGTCTGAAGGTAAATCTCTAGCAACTGCATTGAAATAGCCATAGTTTCAATAGAGAAGCAAAGTGAGGAGTGTGTTACTCTGTTTACTTACTTACGTCTATATCATTGAATGTTCAAGTCACCATTTGTATATTTGAGTAGTACAACTTTCCTATATTCATCAATGAAATATAACAATTTTTCTTAATTAAAAAAAAAAGTGGGTATAGGCCAAGTGCTGGTGGCTCACGCCTGTAATCCTAGCCACTCAGGAGGCTGAGAACTGAGGATCACAGTTCAGAGCCAGCCTGGGCAGAAAAAGTCTGTGAGACTCTTATCTCCAATAAACTGCTCAGAAAAAGCTGGAAGTGGCGCTGTGTCTCAAGTGGTAGAGTGCTGTCCTTAAGCAGAAGAAACTCAGGGACAATGTCTAGGCACTGAGTTCAAACCCCAGGATTAGAAAAACACAACAAAACAAAAAATGAGTATAGGACTTTATGTATGCAAAATTATTAATTATTTGAAACAATAGACTATTTATTCATTTGTTTTAAGATACAATCTCACTGTGTTGCTTAGGCTGCCTTTGAATTCCTGATCCTTCTGTCTTAGCCTCCCAAGTTGCTGGGATTACACGTGTATGCTGTGACACCCAACTACCTTCACTGATTGTTATTGGAGCTTTTTTTTTTCTTTTCTTTTCTTTTCTTTCTTTTTTTTGGTTAGTCGTGGGGCCTGAACTCTGGGCCTGGGTGCTGTTCCTCAGCTCTTCAGCTCAAGGTAGTGCTCTACCACTTGAGCCACAGCGCCATTTCGGCTTTTTCTGCTTATGTGATACTGAGGAATTGAACCCATGGCCTCATGCATGCAAGGCAAGCGCTCTACCACTGGGCCACCTTCCCAGCCCCTGGAGCTTTTTTTATTTTTAATTTGATTTTTAAATTGTTATTATAAAGGTGATGTACAAAGGGGTTTCAGTTACATAAGTCAGGTAAAGAATACATTTCTTTTTAGACAGTGTCACCCCTTTCCTCTCTCTCTCTCCCAGTTGTTATCAAAGCTTTTTGTTTATCTTGTCTAAAAGCCACTTGGAACATCGGTGAAGATTTTTCTTTCTCTGCAAGTAGTAGTATTACAGGACTCTCACAGTTTGGTCAAGATTATACAGAAACATTTGCAGTTTTCTTGAGTAATTATAATTGTTTTCCATTGTTATTTTAAGTGGATTTAAAGCAATAGCAATTGTTGGCTCTCTGTGATTCTATTCTTTTCACTTCGCTGGATTTTGTTAATGTGTGACAATGTGTTCTTAGAATATCAAAGATCGGTTGGACAAACTTGGAGAGCAGATTGCAGTCATTCATGAAAAGCAGCCTGATGTGATTCTAGAAGCCTCTGGACCCGAAGCCATCCAGATCAGGGATTTGCTCTCACAGCTGAATGCAAAATGGGACAAAGTCAATAGAATGTACAATGATCGTAGAAGGTATGTGTGAATCCAAGTCATAGTTTATTTTCAAAACTATGCCAACAAGTCTAGGGGGCATGGACAAGTACAGTGTGCATTAAGATAGCTGAAAAATCTAGTGCATATCTTTGTTATATCATTGGTTAAGAAGGAGAATATATAGTGCCAGTACTGGCGTTCGCTCTCTTAGTTGTTTTTTTTTTTTTGTGGGTTGTGGGGCTTGAACTCTGGGCCTGGGCGCTGTCCCTGCGCTTTTCAGCTCAAGGCAAGTGCTGTACCACTTGAGTCACTGTGCCACTTCCAGTTTTCTGGTGGTTTACTGGAGATAAGAGTCTCGTGGACTTTCCTGCTCGAGCTGGCTTTGAACTGTGATCCTCAGACTTTAGCCTCCTGAGTATGCAAGGATTACAGGTGTGAGCTACCGGCACCCAGCTCTCTTAGCGTTTTTGCTCAAGGCTGGTGCTCTACTACTCGACCCACAGCTCCATTTCTGGTTTTTTGCTGGTTAGCTAGAGATAAGTAACTTACGGATATTTCTCCCCACACTGGCGTTGAATGGTGATCCTCAAATCTCAGCTTCTTGAGTTGTTAGGATTACAGATGTGAGTCATTGGTTCCTGGTCTACGACATAATATCTTAATAATGTGGGAGTGCCCTAAGTTTTAGGGCCTCACTTGTGTCTGTTTCTTAAAAATTTAAACAGGATTTTCATTAATGGTCATTTTCCCCATACTTGATTTATGTGGATGAAGAACAGGGTTAACTACATGTAATTGGAATCCATTCATAATCAGATCCTTATTAATAACTTTCTAGTTAATAGACTATGTCTGAGCCTTCCAGAATTTGAACTGTGGAACGGGCAGAATGAAAAACTGGTTAAGATTTTTGCCGGGAGCTGTGAATATGGAAGAAATAAAATATGAAATAACCTAATAAAAAACACTGTGTAAGAGGAGATTTAACCTAGATCCATACTTTGGAAAACTTCATAGGTAGAAAAATTAGTCATCATATTATTTAAAAACAGAAACAGGCTCTATATTTCACAGTACTGTCCAATCATTTCAAGAGCTAGCCTTTAATTCTTTGGGTAGGTTTTAGGAATTTCTTTGTCCCTTTAGAGATTAATTGATCCATGCTTCTGTCTTGTTAGACTTGGTTATTGGGGACGAAGGTAATTTTCTTAAAAAACATATAATATTTTAAGGCTGCAGATTGCATCATGAAATTGCTTCTGAACTCTTTCCAGTAGTATTTGAAAGTGGCCATTTTGAACTCTGTCCTTGAAAGGATTAGTATGCTTTTAGACCCGAGGTACTTATATAGTGATAAATTATATCTCCGCTCTTCCCCCTCTCCTTCCTCTTTCCCCTCTCCTTCCTCCTTCCTCTCTCCCTTTCTCTGAAGTATTAGGGTTTGAACTCAGAGCCTTTAACTTGGCTAGATAGGTGCTTTGTATTTTGAATTTCACTCCCAGGCCTTTTTTGCTTGAGTTATTTTTCAGGTAGGGTCTGGTATCATGCCCATGTTTGGCCTCAGGTGACTGTCCTCTTATCTACGGCTTTCCACACAGCTGGGATCACAGGCACATGGCATCGCTGAGATGGATTTGGTTGAGCTTTTTGCCCCAGGGTGGCCTTGAACTATGATTCTTTGGATCTGTCTCCCAAATAGCTAGGATTTCAGGTGTGAGCCTCTGCACCCAGCCTACATCTGTTTTATTTTGCTTTTTTTAAAAAAATTAATCAGTGAGACTGAATACTTCAAATTATTTATTTGCTGCAGTTTGGTAGTTCTTTTGTGTGCCACTCCTGGGTCTTGAACTCGAGGTCTGGATGTGGTTTTCTAACCTTTTGTTGCTCAAGCTCTATCATTCTATCACTTGGGCCACAGCTCCACTTTGGGCTTTTTGGTGTTTTTAATTGGAGATAAGAGTCTCATGGACTTTTTTGCTTGGGCTGGCTTTGAACTGGGATCTCAAATCTTAGCCTCCTGAGTAGAGAGAATTATAGGTGGGAACTACCAGTGCCTGACAGATTTTCACATTTTAAAAATCACAGTATTACTACTTATGTTTGCAAAACCTTTTTCATTAAGAATAATAACTATTTCAGACTTTATTGCATATGTGTTCATAGCTTTTTATGTACACTTTAATTTTGGCAAGGATGTTCTTGACATATAGAAAATTTAATTTCATGAATTTTATTAACGATGTTCAAATTTCAGAGAGCTCTTTTAATTCTCTCTTAACTCTTATCACCCTAAACAACAACAATAACAACAGCAACAACAAAATAGGAGGACATTTCTTAAGAGTCCTAATCCAGCAAAGCTTTTCTTTTTTTTAACTTTCTTTAGGTATTCTGGAGTTTTATTTCTTCTTTGAAATCTCAGTCACTCTTTGTCCTATTTCTCTTTTTGTGCTTTGCGTATACTTCTCTCTTCTTCTATCCTTGCTGCACTCAGAACACTGGAGATCAGTCATGACCTAAATTGTATTCATTCGCATTGCTTACCATACAAAGGTGTATGGGCTTCCAGCCTGGCCTTCATTTTCTCATGCTTCTGGATGCTGGAAATGAAGCAGGGGTAGAGGCTTTTTTTTTTTTTTTTTTTTTTTTACTGTTACTTAGATGGCCCCTGTGTTCCTCTATCTTTCCAGGAAAACAATATCTCTGATCTTTCTCCCTCCTTTTGCCTAAAAGGTTCCCTCATCTTTCTGATTTGGAACTCATCCTCATGACTTCATTGGATTTTAATTACCTTTTTTTTGTTGTTGTTGGTCGTGGGGCTTGAACTCTGGGCCTGGGTGCTGTCCCTGTGCTCTTCAGTTCAAGGCAAGTGCTCTACAACTTGAGTCACAGCACCACTTCTGGTTAATTGGAGATAAGAGTCTCACCGACTTTTCCTACCCTGGACTGCTTTGAACCGTGATCCTCAGATCTCAGCCTCCTGAGTAGCTAAGATTACAGGTGTGAGCCACTGGGACCTCACCTAATTACCTTTTTAAAAGTCATCTGTGGAAATATCACCCAGCTACCCAGGGGGTTTGGCCTTTCACAGCTGAATTTTTGTGGGAAGGGATTCAGTTCATTACATAGAGGGAATGGTATATAAAAATGTTTTTGAAGTCTTTCAGCCTTTGGGCTTTGTTACTTTAAAATCAAGTTTCTTAGCATTGTAGTAATGTAAGGGAATGGAATAATTGATCATATTTTGTATTACATAGCATTTAGGCTGCGCGCGCGTGCACGTGTGTGTGTGTTATACATATGAAGGCTGGGATTGTGTAGAGTGCTTTTCTCTCTTGGCATGATGCATGATGTGTGTTTCCCAAAGAGGAATACTTGTCTGGGACCCACTGTGAAAATTGGTCTTGTAGAGCAGTGAGTTCTGAATTTGCTCATCTCGGGATCTTGGGTGTTAATAAGACTTGAACTGTTTTTTAAGAAAAAAAATATTCCTAGTCAGTTCTACAACGTTGACAAACCTATTTGATCTTGTTTCTTGTCCTCTAGCTATTTTGACAGGGCCATAGACGACTGGAAACGGTTCCATTGCCACATCTCTGACCTCACGGTCTGGATACGGGAGGCTGAGGAGTTACTGGCTGAGACTTACGCTCCGGATGGCAGCCTGGACCTGGAGAAAGCCCGGGTGCATCAGCAGGTGAAGAGATGGCCGCCATGGCTTCATGGTGCCAGCTTGGGCTGGAGAGGCAGACTTCAGGAGGAACCAAATTCATTCATTTGTTCATGAATGATTTTGACTTTGTGCCCCTATTCTAGTTTCCAGTGTCAAAATTTAAAGGAAAAAAAAAACCCTCTCATGTACTATTTATAATCAGCATTTTAAAGTTCTCTCTCTCTCTCTTCCTGCCCCCCCTTTTAATGAAAATTTGAGATAAAATTTGCTGAGAAAACAATATTCTTTTTGGAAAAAATTATTTTTAGAATGACATTAGCAAAATTCTGTACTCGAAAATAGGAAAATCCATGCATAGCTTACCTTGTTTTCTGTCCCTAAATAGACAGGCATCTCATTTTCCTTTGCATGCTTGAGTTATCGTACGTGTAAATTATTCTGGAACTACAGAAGGGCAGCTGCTTCTGTGATTCTTTCTCCATCTTGAGAAACTGTAATATAATAGCAAAATCAGTTCTCAAAATAGTGGGTCTTTAGGAATAATGGTAGACATCAAACAAAATTTCAATTTTTCCATTGTTAAAATATTTCCTTTTACTAAGCTATACAGTCTGTTTTCTCTAGAAGATTCATGAGCTTTAAAAAGAATCCTTTTTTTCTTATCAACATGTTGAGATTTTTTTAAAAAAAGTTACGTTTTGGCAGTTACCAATAAATGTTTAAATTTGACTTTAAAATACCCTTGTAAGCTGTTAGATTAGAAATTGGCAGTACAGTGTAGCAATGTCAGAAGATGCACAGGGAGGTGTATTTAGATATGGCAGGTCATAAAAGTATAGGGTAGTAAATGATTTTGTTTGCTTTTGTGTTTTGTTGTTGTTGTGCTTATTTTAAGCATTTGTTTGGAAGAGCATTTGTTTTGGAAGAGGATGAGCAGTTCCCTTTAATCAAATGTGATTGATGTACCTACTTGGCTATGAACAGCTGATATTTGTTTTATGTTATTAAGCTGTCTTATTTCACAGTTTTTGCCTGATGACACTCATGAGAGTGAGTTCCATTTCAAGAAAGACTTCTTTTCCCATGTTCCTTGAAATGTAATTAGGTTGCTTGGAAATGTTTTGTGGACATGAAAAGATTCTTCTGGGAATTCGTTTCTGTAACACCTCCATTTTGGGTGGGATTATCATGAAAGCACACCATAACTGGGTAGTGGGAATGAAGCCTGGTGTGTGTGCTGTCTGTAACAGGACCTGGAGGAGGGCATCAGCAGCCACCAGCACAGCCTGGCAGCCATAAACCGCATCTGGGACAGCTTTGTGCAGACATCCTCCCCTGGGAAGGGAAGCTTCCTGCAGGACAAGGTGGCGACCGTGAACCGCTGTTGGAACTCCATCCTTGCAGAAGTGAAGGGCCGGCAGCCAAGGTGATACTTCAGCCATGTTCTTTGGGTAGAGAGATGAACAGATTTCTGGGAAACTTTCTTTCTCCTCCCTCTTCTCCTCTCCTTCTCCTTCTCCTCCTTTCCTTTCTTCCTCTTTGCTTCTCCTTTCTTCTTCTTGTCTGCCCAGGCTGGCTTTGAATGTTGATCCTTAGATCTCAAGTCTCTTGACTAGCTAGGATTACAGCATGAGCCACTAGTACCTGGCTAGATTTGTTTTTATCATTAGTGTCATCTTTAATTCAAATATAATACTCATGATAATGAACTAATAAAATTTATACACTTTTTCTTGTCTTGTTCTTTCTACTTGTAATTTTTTTAGTTTAGTGCCTTGCCTCACTAATACTTTTTGACTTGTAACTATAGTAGAGCAGTATTCACCATTTGATGTGGGAATTTGCCCTATAATGATGCCTTTTTATGTCATGCAGTACTCAAAGATAACTACATGTGTTTCCTTATTTTAGATAAGGACACTTTTTCATCTCAAACAACCTTCTTGTCAGGCCAGGTGTTGGTGGCTCATGCCTATAATCCTAGCTACTCAGGAGGCTGAGATCTGTGGACTGTGGTTTGAAGATAGCCTGGGCAGGAAAGCCCTGAGCCTCTTACTCTAATTAACAACCAAAAAGCTGGAAGTGGAGCTGTGGCTCACATGGTAGAACACTAGTCTTGGAGTACAAAATCTCAAGGACAGTACCATGGCCCTGAGAGTTCAAGTCCCAGTACCAGCGCAAAATTAAAGACAAACAAAAACCCCCAAAATAAGTTCTATTGTTTTACATAGTAGTAAATTTGTTTCTCTATATTAGAAATATGTTATTATTAATGAAAATTTTTATTAAATTATATACAATTTTAAGTTCAATTTTTACTTAAATTTGTATATAACTTTAAAAAAATTTTGGTGCTGGTTTTGGGGCCTGAAGTCAAGGCCTGACCACTCTCTCAGCTTTATCTGTTCAAGGCTAGTGCTCTACCAGTTGAGCAACAGCTCTACTTCTGGCACTTTTTGATATTTAATTGTAGATAAGAGTCTCATAGACTTTCTGGACTGGCTTTGAACTGCAATCCTCAGATCTCAGCTTCGAGAGTAGCTGGGGTTACGGGGTGAGCCAATGGAATCTGGCACATTCCTCTATAACTTTTATGATGAGAAGATAAACTTATGTAAGAAAAAATTTAACTTATTTTCATAATTACTTAGGAATATGGTACTTACAAATCTTTAGTAAGAAAATATTTATGTTACTATTAATATTAGTTGTAATTATAAGCTATTATTGGGGGGGGCTATTTAATTAGGGTTTCCCAAACAAATATGTAATGCTCTGCGTCAGTATATAATTTCTCTTAATGCTTTTCCACAATCCATTCTTTTAGGCTGAAAAAAGAAAGTCAGCAGGTGATGGAATACAGGATGAAGATGGACGAGATGATTTGCTGGGTAAACAAGGCTGACAATACCATGCAAAAGAAGTCAGCCACTGAGGCAGAAGCAAACTTGGCAGAATTAGCAGTAAGTGGCCAGTTTATCTCATTTTCCAGTGCTTTCTGATACAAGAAGAGTTCACTTGAGAATAGAATATTGCAAGACTGAAGAAGAAAAGGAAAAGAAACTTGAAAGAAGATTTTTTTGTTTTGTTTAAAGAGCAGTTCATTTTGGTCTTCCAGAGATAAAGTTCTATTCACATTAAAAATAAATACTTGTCATGATGGTCTCAGTATTAGAGCAGAGCTTTATTTTTAAGCTGATTTAAATTAATTTAACAGTTATAGATTATAGTAAGACTGGGAAGTATAGTTTTTGCATTTAAATTTAGAGAACTATTAATTATAAAAGTTGAGTTTTGCAGACAAACTGAGCGTGGTAGAGTTTCCTATAGGCTTACAATCATGGTTCTAGTAATGAGGTTTTTTCAACCAAGAATAGCTTATAACTAGGAAAGTATGCAGTCTACAAAATGCATTCACGTACGTAGTTATATCTAAATATTTATAAAGCTTATATCTGTATTTGTATTTTTTTGTAATATTGAGTAACTGTGGAACAAGGAGAATAATAAGCTTTCATCTTTATTTTAACAACAAGTTGTGGTCAGCCACTTGTAGCTCATGCTTGTAATCCTAGCTACTCAAGAGGCTGAGGTCTGAGGATCAAGGGTTGAAGCCAGCCTAGGCAGCCCCCGCTCCCCTAGGCCTTTCTCGCCAATAAACAGTCAAAAGGCAGGAAATGGAGGTGTGGTTTAAGAGGTAGAGTACCAGCCTGAGCCAAAAAGCTGAGTAAGAGGCCCTGAGTTTAAGCCCTAGCCCTGGCCAAAATAAATAAATAAATAAAAATAAAAGTTTGCATGAGAAAAATACTTATTTTGAAAAGAGATTTGGTTTCTGAAGGACTATATTTGAGCTATTTGGGGAAAAGAACTTCTAGTAATGATGAAAATATTATGAGAAAAGGGTTCTTTAAGTTTTCTTCTCAAAATGTAATGTCTAGTGTCCTTTTTAAAGATGTTCCTTTTTTAAAAATAATTTGAGGAGGGTTTAAATGGTGGTAGCAAGATGGAGTTAAGAACTGAATGTTAATGTATTAAATATTCTATAATATATAGTAATATTATCTTCTTGAGAGACAGCTCTTGCATAGGAGAACACGTTTTAGTCACTGCGTTCAGACCCTGTCATTTCCTTTGTTAACATTCATTCAGACTTCTTGCAAGTTTATTTTCCATTTAAGAAGCTAAAGGTTCACATTTCAAGGTGTTCCTTCCCAAGAGTTTCCTGGTCTACTGCTTCAGCTTTCCCCTGGAGAATAGCCATCTAATTACACCTGTCTTCTTGACCTCTTTTTAAGGAATTAACCCAAGAGTTGGAAGCACAAGCAGAAAAGCTCAAATGGCTGAACAGAGCAGAATTGGAGATGCTCTCAGATCAAAGTCTGAGTTTACATGAAAGAGAGAAACTTTCAGAAAGCCTAAGAACCATAAACACCACGTGGAACAAGGTGAGCAGATAGACTTCCTCTACCATATTTCCCTTATTTAGCTATTTCATGATCAAACAAGTGTGATCTTGCTGTTATTTACCTTTAAGTCTATCCAAAGATGGGCTCACTTTACTAATGCCCATTTGTTTTTTGCTAATTTATTAATTAATTAATAAGTTATTCATTTATATGTTTATTTTTGTGCCATTCTTAGGGCTTGAACTCAGAGCCTGGGCACTGTCCCTGGGTAGTGCTCATGAGTAGTGCTCTAACACTTAAGTCACAGCTCTACCTCCAGCTTTTGTAGTGGTTAATTAGAGATAAGATTCTCAAGGACTTTTTCTGCCCAGGTTGGTTATTAACTGTGATCCTCAGATCTCAGCCTCCTGAGTAGCTAGGATTACAGGTGTAAATCACTGGTGTCTGGCTTAATTCTTCTTCTTTTTTTAAACTAATGCTTATTGATGATGTTTACAATTCTTCTTTTCATCTTTTATAGAGACAAAGAGAAGTTGAAGAATGCTTTTTAGTTTCAATAGAATTCTTCAGGATAAAGGATTTCTATATTATTTAATACATTAAATAAATGATGAATGTACATTGGTATTAGGCAACAAAATGCCTGTACTTATATTCTGAAAATAAACACCACAGAATGGTTTCCCAAAATTTTATGTGATGCTTCACACACATGTTTATTTTCACTGGCATTTGTCACTTCATAAGATGCTTATAGGGTCCAGTGCAATGTCATGACACCATTAGTTTAGACTAAGATGTCAACCTTTCCTTCAAGCGATTACTTTGTTGTTGTTTTCAGTCTGAATGGTAGAAGGTAGATGAAGTTACAGGTTTATTTTTTATTTAGCCTTCTAGTCCATTCTGTGTCAAAGCTTGAGGTCTTTGTGGGGCAGTGAATAGCAGTGGCTCTGCCCTTGGCTTCCATTTGCATGAATCTCATGTCATTTGTTTTCTCTTTTTTTTCCAACTTATCCATGTGGATGTATGTTACGTGTGTAAGTATGCCTGTCCCCCAGCTCTTGGGAGGCTGAGACAGGAGGATCTGAAGTTTGGAGCCAGCCTAGGTTGTGTAGGAGAACTTCTCTCAAACAATCAAAGGAGGTTATCCAGACTCTTATAATATATATATATATATATACACACATATATATAAATAGTACATATGTATATGTGTGGGTATATATGTGTGTGTGTGTGATTGTATACACACACATATATTTAGATCCAGCTCTCTCTCTGAGTGGGACGTATTGTCAGAAGTCCATCTTAAGGTTTATGTATGAATTATCTTAAAAAGAACCCTTCCCCAAACAGTCCAAACCAGCAGCAATGCTTCCAAGTCCCTGACATTGTCTTCTCCCATCTGCTTGATGGATGGTTTAGTTTGTGGATGCCTAGATGATTACATGTGGTCAAGTAAATAGAGCAGCATTTTGGAAATGATTGATATTGTTTCCTGTAGAATTCCTTCCATTTTTCTTAAGTCTGAAGTGTATTGTAAATGTGACCACATCTTAAGTAGCCCTGAAACCACTGATGTCAGGCTACCATCACCTTTTGTCTTGATAACTGCGGATGCCTCCTCCTGCTCTTCCCTGCTTCCTCTTTGCCCTTTGTTGGTCTGTTCTCAACAGAGCTGCCACAGAGGTTTATGAAAACAGAATCTAGCTCCGGAAACTCCTTGGAATAGTCCCCTAATGATTTTCCATCTCATTCGGAGGAAAAGCCGAAGTCCTTACTGTGATTTATATGGCCCCTCATGGCCTGGCCTCTCGTTACCACTGACTTCATCTGCTGCTGCTCTCTACAGACAGATGTGTCTGTGTTACTCCACAGATTGAGTTTGGCTGGGTTCTACCAGAGCTAACCTATTTATTTAACACAAAGGATGTCAGTGGCTGTTGTACAGAAAATGGTGAAGCGGTCAAGTTTGGGGGCACTGGGTTAGGTAACATCATTGCATAGACTATTGCATAGACTATTCATTCCCACTGAAGAATTGAGTTTGCTTGTTGTGCTCCATGTACATATTGAGAAATACTAATCTGGGCATTTCATTTATTCCAGGCTGATTTTTAAGGGATGCCTAGGTATGGGTCAGGTAAAGACGGAAGGAAAGAGCATTGTAGGGAGAAGAGGCAGTGTGGGAAAGGGTCTAGAGGAAGCAGTGCGCACGGTCCATCTGGCTCTTGGAAGTAGTTCAGTATATGTTGAGTTGAGCAATACCTTTAGGGTCCAGATCCTCACAGTCTCCCAGGCCTGGAGCTCCTGGAATTGAAGCCTCATTTTGACAAGAATCTATAGCTTTGAGGATAATAGGGAGCTACTGATGGTTGAAGCAGAAGAAAGACCCTGTAGCCACACTGCAGAGATGTGTGGGTCAGTCCTAAGAGCAGTTATAGAAAGATGGGCTGGAGGCTTGAGAAAAGTTCACAAAAGGGAATTCAGGGAAAATAGAGACAAGGAATTCTGATTTGGCATCTCTACACATCCCATCAACAGAGAAAGGTGAACTGAGTATATGTGATTGGGAGTCCTTTTCTTTTTCTTTTTAATTGTGTGGTTGATATGCAGACGGGTTATAGTTACATGAATCAGGTACAAATCCGTATAATAACGTCTCCCATTCTTCTCTCCCAGTCTTTCCCTCCGAATCCCTTCCATAAAATAGCCAGTTCATTTTCCACAGAGTGTCTAGTGAGTATTGTTGTTGTCTTTGTTCATCCTTGTTCTCCCTTTTATGGGACGTCCCTTCCCCTCCCAAATACAAACTAACGAGACGAAAGGAAAAGAAAACTAAAACAGCAACAATGGCAACTAAAGAATGTCTCTTGCTTCCTTTTCTTGGTGTTCATTTCACAGACTATTATTTTCTATGATCATCTGTCCAGAGCTACTGAGCCTTTGTCCACCACTCCTATGCACAGCCTTCTTTGGCCTCTGTAGGTGAATGAGTAGGTTCCTATATAATTTATCATGTCCCAGTGTTAGTTATTTTAGTCATTCAATGTGTTTACTTGTAGATTTCTAGGCACATTCTAGTTACCCCAAGGTAAATGACACCATTGGAAAGTAGGACTTGGGGAAACATTCCAAGGTCAGAAAACAAAGCTATCCTGTGGAACGCTAGTATTTGATGGATGAACAAAGAAAAAGGAGCTATTGACGGAAATTTAGAGAAATAGGGAGAGAAGTCAGGTTTGCAGAGTATTAATGGCATTGGGGGGTGGGGGCGAGCAGGCATGTGAAATAGTGTCTCAGCCGCTGAACCATGGAGCCAGTCCGCAGTGGGAAGGAAGGTGCTCATTGAAGCTGAGGTGTTGGGCGAAGGAAAGCAAGCGGCAGCACGCTTACTGAGAAGAACACCTGTCTTTGGGAGAAGTGCAATCATGTTTATTTACAGAGCATCTCCCCCCCCCCCCCCCCCCGACTCTGTTCTGATGCTGTAGATGTGCAGAGAAGTTCCTGGCCTTCGGAAGCCTCCCCTCCCGGAGCCCTGCTCTGTCTCTCAGACAAGGATTGCTGGTAAGATACCATTCATTCCTTCACAGATTATCGTCATAGGAAAAAAATGATCATATGAGTCTCGTATATAAGCCAGAGAAATTATTGAAAAGCAGCGTGCGATTGTGATTTATTACTATCCTTCAGTAATTGGAAAGGAACATCTTTACATAGTGCAGACCTCACTGGCAAGGTGTTTGCTCTCGTGGTGACACTCCATCTTTGTCTGGATGAGACAGGCAGCAGGCCACGGGTCCTGCTGAAGGAAGGGAGGGAATCTGGAAGGAATCGAATGGGTGTGTGTGCAGCCTCCGATGTCATCAGTATAACCTGCCATGTCAACAGGTATTTGGCCTGATGGTGGGCGCTCATCGTGCCTGAAAATAAAAGGGTTAGACTTTGGAAGTTCTTGGAGGCAGGATGCAAACGTTTAGAAAGATCTTGCCTCCTAGGGAAACCATACACTGGTAGATACTGTTCCTTTAGTTGTGGAGAAAAAGAAACCGTTTTCTCACCATCTCTGTTTTCTCCTTCACTACTGTGCTAATGAAATGAAGGGCCCAGCACCCTAGTCCCTGTTGAGCATGCCACCTGTGTGCTTGCTTTCTGCTGAGTCCCCAGGTAGAACCTTAGATGGGCTAACCCCAGCTAACCGTAACCCAGGGCTAGCCACGGCTGCAGATTCCTCTTAAACTTAAGCCTCCATCTTCATCCCCGGCTCTTCTCCTACTTTCTCCTTTCCACCTGCTGTCTCCTCGTCCATTGCTGCTTCGTCCTTATGTCTCTTCCTTCCTTTTCTTTTTTTATTTCAACCCTCCTCTGTCTCTGAGGAGTTCAGAAAGTGCTAAATGACAGATTCAAAATTTTTCAGACATTTCAAGCTTACTGAGAGCCAAGTGTCTGTTCTGTATTACTTACCTTTGCCAATACCTTGCACAAGAGAGAACTGAGGCCAGATTGGTTTTCTGTTCATATTCAAAGCACTTGACTTATGGACAGTTGCTGCTCTCAAATCCAATTTTAACTGCAAAGAAGAGATTGGATGCATTTTATAAAACCAGCAACAGGTTTTCTTATTTTCATAATATCATGATAGCAAAAGAGCAGAGAAAATTTGAATCTATGAACTATAAAAAGTTGGCAAGAAATCTATACCTTTCATTACATGTGTAGTTCATTATTCACACTGTAATCATCTCTGGGACAGATCTGAGACTGGATGTCAATCTTAGTGTATCTTCTCCCTTCCTATACAATATTTTAATATTCTTTTAAGTTGGTTTAAGGCCAGGTGTTAGGGCTAACACTCATAATCCTAGCTACTCAGGAGGCTGAGATCTGAGCATCATAGTTTGAAGTCAGCCCAGGGAACAAAGTCCATAAGACTTACCTCCAGTTAAGTCAAAAGTGGAGCTGTGGATCAAGTGGTAATACTCTAGCTTTGAGCACAAAAGCTCACGAACAGTACCCAGACACGGGCAGCCCTAGGACTGCCATGTATACCTGTGTGTGTGTGCGCACATGCGCACACACACACACACACACACACTGTATTAAGTAACCAAATTAAAGACTTTAAATTATTCTCTCATTTAGTACTACTGACTCTATCTAGATCAGAAATAACATCTGTTATTCTGAAGTGGCTGTTCTTACTCATCAGGCAGTCTCTCCTCCTTCGCTTCTCCTCCCAACAATCAGCATGCCCTACCTGGATGTATCTGTAGTTTTCAACACTATGGAAAAGGTTTATGTAAAGGTGTTTTTTTTTTTGTGTTGCTATTGGGTCTAATACCAGTACCTGGCACAAATTCCTTTATAAAGAATAAATTTTAGGCTGGCCCCTATGATCCTAGCTACTCAAGATGTTGAGATCTGGGGTCATGGTTCAAAGCCAGCCCCGGCAGGAAAGTTTGTGAAACTCCTATCTCAATTAAAAAAAAATTCCATATGTGGAGTCGTGGCTCATGTCATAGAAAGCTATCCTTGAGTACAAAAGCTTAGAGAGAGTGCTCAGGCCCTGAGTTCAAGTCCCAGAACTGGCACACACAAAAAAAGTGAAAGAGAAAAGAATACATTTTAGGAGTAATACTTATATCCAGCTGGAGGAAAGAGTTAAGTAATAAATAGTGAATAGATGACTGGAGTATTACGTAGGTATTTACTTTAGCATTTCTTTTCCTTTTTTTTTTTTTTGGTCCGGTTGTGGGGCCTGAACTCTGGGCCTGGGCGCTGTCCCTCAGTTCTTCAGCTCAAGGCTAGTGCTCTACCACTTGAGCCACAGCGCCACTTCCAGCTTTTTTCTTTTTGCTCATATGGTGCTGAGGAATCGAACCCAGGGCCTCGTGCATGCAAGGCAAGCACTCTACCACTGAGCCACCTGCCCAGCCCTTACTTTAGCATTTCTTAATAAAATATGCTCATATCATGAGGTTAAGCGAGGAATAGATAATCATGAATCAGTTTAACTTAAGCAAAACATCTTGACCAAATAAAATAATGCTTTTAGTTTTCTGGTAGTTATAATTTCTATAGTTTTATTTTTTTTTCTCAGTTATCTGTGAGTTGTGTGAATTGGCTTTATGGCTACAAAAGAAGTGGATATTATTGGATTTTTAAATATGAAAAGAAAAAATAAATTCGTACAAATTTTTTTGACCAAGCTAGATTTTACTCAAGCACACACATCTGCATATCACCTTACACCACCATAATTGTATCCTTGTTGACTTATTCCCAATTGACTTTTTTATTTCAGTTCATTCTAATGTCCAAAAGGTGGCGCTAGTATCATCCGCTTCAGACATCCCTGTGCAGTCTTATCGAGCCCCGGACATCTCGGTTCCTGCTGATCTGGATAAAACCATCACAGAACTAGCAGACTGGCTGGTATTGATTGACCAGATGCTGAAGTCCAACATTGTCACTGTTGGGGATGTGGAGGAGATTAATAAGACAGTTTCCCGGATGAAAGTAGGTGCTGAGAGTCAAGGCTTTCATACCACCACCACCCCACAGACCTGGTCAGATGACCTTGTTTATACTAAACTCTGGGACAAAAAGGTTTTTAAAAAAAGTTTATTTGCTGGGCACCAGTGGTTCATACCTGGGTTCTTAGGTACAAGGAGGCTGAAATCTAAGGAGCCCAGTGCAAAGCCAGAACAGGTGGGAAAGTCTGTAAGACTCCAACAAACTAGGAAAAAGCCAGAAGTGGAGGTGTGGCTTAAGTGGTAGAGCACCAACCTTGAGCAAAAAAGCTCAGGGATAGTGGATAGTGCCTTGGCCCTGAGTTCAAGCCTCAGAACTCTTTCACTAAACTCTCAGAGAGTGACTTTTCCTGAATTCATAGGATCAAGTTTACTAACTAAAGCTAAAGACTCAGTATACTTTTAAAATTGAAGATATTTGTATACATACAAGCTGATGCCACATTTAATGTTTGAAGTGATATAGGATCATTTCCCAAAGTATTGTTTCAACTTAAGGTTTCACAATGAGCTTATTTCATTTCTGACTTTAGAGATGAGACTATACTAGAGTCATTTTATTGCTGTGCATATACTGTCCACTATATTTGTAAAGGATGGGCACCTGTGGCTCATTCCTATAATCCTAGTACTCAGGAGGTTGAGATGGGGGGGGGGGGGACGGTCACAGTTCAAAGCCAGCTCAGGCAAGAAATTAATCACCAAAAAGCTACAAGTGGAGCTGTGGCTCAAGTGATAGAGCACCAGCCTTGAGCAAAAACCTAAGGGATAGTGTCTGTGCCTTGAGCGCAAACCCTAGTACCGTGCCCCCTCCCCCAGCCCCCCAAAGAAAGCAAAAGAGACAAAGACACTTTGAGAATTGTTTTTTCTTTTTAGTGTGTGCTACCTTCTGGGCTTTGTGTTGTAGAGGATTACTGAAAAGAATGTTTTGGATAGAAATGTGCAGTAAGATCACAGTGCTTAAGACTGACTTATAAATGCTTAATGTCAGTAATCTTAGGCTTTTTGCATATTTTGCTGCACTTGCTTCTTTAAGTGTCTCATGAGGTAGGTGCTCTTATGATTCCCCTATTAGTGATAAGCCTGAACTTGAAGAAGGTGGGGCAGTGAACGGGCTAAGGGGATACGCTTCTGTGGCAAGACTGGGTCTAATCAAAGCCACAGAGCGGTACAGGCTACCTGTGAGACTAGCCAGCATGAATGATAGAAGCGGGCTGTGGGATTAAGTCATTTTACGATGGGGTGTCAATTCAACAGGGCAGTCTAGGAGTAAAGGCATCTTGATCAAAGTCCCTCCTTCTCTCATTCTCTTGAGTCTCTCCATCCCCACCCATCCATCCCCTCGAATTACCTGCTTCCATTTTCACGTGTGTGCATCGAGTGTAATGACATCTCCCCCCACCATTCCGCTCTCAGCTATCAGATTTCAACTTCAGGAAAGAATGCATGGCATAGCTCGTAAACACTATAATAAAGACTCAGATGGGAAGGCTGGGGTCTGTGTTGGAGTGAAGAAGTGGGCGGGGGGCGGAGAGAGGGAGAATGAGACAGGAAGCTCAGGTTCAGCAGCCTTCAGGTCATGCGCAGTCCTGTAGATTTGGTCTGTGTGCAGTTGGGACCGTCGGCCTCTTTCTCCTCTCTTATTTCTTTTTCTTTTCTGAATTGCGGCTGGGAACTGGTGATAAGAGTGCTTTGCTTTCGTAAGGAGCCGCGGATGGATTGGAGGCAGGAGCTGCTTACATCAAGGAGCAGAGTTGTTTCTGAGGGGCTGGGAAGATGGCTTCGCAATCAGAGGAGTTAAGAAAGAGGAGGCATGGGTGTGAGAGGGCTTTGGAGTGAGTTAGGTGTAGATTTATTGTTTAGAGGGGATCCTTGTGCCATCGGGAAGGGAGGGAACAGAAAGGTGCTCCTCCATCAGGAGTAGAGCAGTGAGGAACACCTTTAGGAATATTGCTTGTTACTGGGGGTGTGACTGAAATGTACAGAATCAGTGGATTTCTCAGGGGAACGAGCTGGGAAAAACACCTGAGTTGTGTTTATGTATTTATTTATTTATTTTTATTTTTAAATACTTATTTTTCTTAAGTAGTTGTACAATAGGGTTTCAGTTCCAGAAGACAGGTTATGAGTACAACACATCCTTTTTTTTTTTTTTGCTGGTCCTGGGAGCTTGAATTTAGGGTCTGGACACCATTTTGTGCTCAAGGCTAGTGCTCTACCACTTGAGCCTGAGCCCCACTTCTGGCCTTTTCTGAGTCATTTATTGGAGATAAGAGTCTCAAGGACTTTCCTGCCCCAGCTGGCTTTGAAATGGGATCCTCAGGTCTCAGCCTCCTGAGTAGCTAGGATTACAGGCATGAGCCACCAGCACCAGCTTAGTACGATGCACCTTAATCAATGTTACCCTTTTCAGATCATTCTCCCCAATCTTTTCCCCTCCCATCTCTATCCTTAAGTTATACATAGTTCAATTTACACAGAACAAACATTGAGTATAATGATTGTGTTTGCCTACTTTTCCCCATTCATTTGTGTCTTGTTGCATCCCCTCCCCGCCCCCCCCTTCCCCCCTACACACACACACACACACACACACACACACACACACACACACACACACACACACACACACACACACACACACTTCAGCTTCCTGGTATTCATTTTGTTAGTTGTTCAGAGGAATTGTATCAGTGGACTCCTACCCTCAGTATACCAGCCTTTACTGACTTGTATTTATTGTCAATTGTCTTTTCTAATTTTTCTGGCTATCTATAAATTCTATTATTCCAACACTTGGTTTTCCTGAAATTAACACCTCCCCCCCATCAATACTAAGAGACACAAGCCATGTAGAAGAAACATCAGTTTCCTGTCTAAGATAATTTAATTCACAGTTACTCAAATCGGCATGTTTCCTTCTGTGTAAGTGATACAGCATTTGTTATATGAGATACAGAACAGATACACCTGGCAGTGGTACTGATGACTGCTGATGTTTCTAGAGCATTTTCAAACACAGTGGCTTTGTTGGTTTGAATCAGGGTGTTGCTCTGTATTCCAGATTGCCCTCAAATTCTGCATCCTCCAACCTCATCTACCCTAGTATTGGGGGTTACAGGTGTGTACTACCATACTAGGCAGAAGGAACAGTCTTTTAACTGAAAGGTACCTAGTTCAGGTGGTTAATGAAAAGGACTGAAATTTGAACTCAAGACTTGTAGTCCAACCCAGGTACCCTTTCTATGGCACTTTGAGGAAAACAATAACACTGATGTGAGCAGACCTGCTTGGCATTGTGAGGTTTATCATCCTCGAGCAAAGTGACCTTCCTTCCTTACCATTTCTCTTCCCAGATCACAAAGGCTGACTTAGAACAGCGCCATCCTCAGCTCGATTATGTCTTCACATTGGCACAGAATTTGAAAAACAAAGCTTCTAGTTCAGATCTGAGAACTGCCATCACAGAAAAATGTAAGTTTTTAAAAAAATTGTCATTGTTTAAAAAGATAGGCACCATCATCCGCTTTTCCCAAACATACATACACTTTCAAAGACTCAGCAAATTAGAAATTAGTCTTGATATTTGGTATTCTTATAAACAATAGTTTTCTCTTCTTGTATTTTACTGTTTGTAACCATTGTCACAATTTCCTTACAAATTCTTAAATATTTCTTACAGTCAGTCCTAAGATATTAATGGTACTTTGAAGCAATTATTTACATGTTGGAGTTTTTTTTTCCTCTTAAACTAGAAGTTTGAGTGTCTGTATGTGTGAGTATGTGGAGTGTGTGCCACAGCACTGGGACTTGAACTAAGGCCTGGGTACTGTCTGTTAGCTTTCTTGCTCCTAGCTAAGCACTCTGTCCTTTGTGCCATACCTCCGCTTCTGGCTTTTTGCAGGCTAATTGTAGATAAGAGTCTTATGAACGTTCCTTCCCAAGCTGGCTTCCAATCATGATCCTAAGATCTCAGTAGCTAGCATGAACCAGTGGTGTGAGCCAGTGGTACCTGGCTTAGGATTTCTTTTAAAGGAACCAGAGCAACAGGATTTAGAGAAACCTATAGAATGTGAATCCTTCTGACACTGCATTCTCTTCACTAAACCCAGGTGCCATCATGCCCTAGCTCACCTCAAAAATTCATTCACACTTGCTTGTGTATGCCTATGTGAGTTGCACTGATTTGGGGCTACATCAGTGAGACATGGGAATTAAGCAACAACAAAATAATAATACAAGATACAGCGAATGAAGAGCCCAGTTTGGACTTCGCATATGAGTTCATCACCACTCTGAATCTGTGTGATATTGAGAATAAAGTTTCATTCCCTAAGAATGGCATTTGGGGACTGTTGCGGTCGGCTTTAATTTCCACCCCCTCTGTTGCCCTTGGCCCCATTGGGAGCTATTCTGTGCTATATATACTTTTTGTTTGTTTGTTTTTTACATGGCCTGACATTTCCTGGTCCCTGCTTTGGCCTTTTCTCCCCAGGTGAAATTCTACTCAGCATCTAAAATGTCATCTCCCCTACTTTGTGAAGTCTTCCCCCCACTTCTGTCCCCAGTGGACCATGTTTTCTATCTTTAGTTCATGCTCTAGACTTCCTCCCCATAACTTTATTGTAGACTCTACCACCCTTAGATTTCTGTCCTTTGCATGGTATTCACTTTCTGGCCCTTGGGCCTCCCGAAGAGCCCCATTGGAATTAGATACTTAACACATACAGGTAGGACAATGTAAGCTGGGAGAATGAAGTCAAATCTGCCCTAAGGGGAGAAAGTCAAGTCTTTGCAATGATAGGTGTGCTTTGCTTTCCAAATAAATGTGGTGGCTGGGAGGTTACCCTGGGAGATTGAGTAGCCAAGGACATTTTCTCGTTGGGTGATTCTCGGGCTGATTTTTTTTCCCCTAAAAAAGACATTCTCTCCTTCCTTCTCCCTCTTTTTTTTTTTTTGGTTAATGGACAGTGATTAATCATGCCTACTAGCAGGCTTTGGAGTGACCCTATTTTCCTTCCCTCGGCTAGGGACTTCTTTTGTTAATGGCACCAAACTTTACAAAACCTTCACATTGTACAAACTTAAATTCCATGCTACTGTCATCTGATGTCTTCTTTTTCTGTTTGCCCCATTGTTTCATCAGAACTCATTTTAAGGTTTGTTTTTTATAAGGGTTTTCTTTTCTTGAATATTTCTCTCTTCCCATTTAATGATCCCTTCCTTCCTTCCTTCCTTCCTTCCTTCCTTCCTTCCTTCCTTCCTTCCTTCCTTCCTTCCTTCCTTCCTTCCCTACCTCCCTCTCTCCCTCCGTCCCTCCCTCCCTTCTTCCCTCCCTCCCTCCCTCCCTTCTTCCTTCCCTCCCTCCCTTCGTTCCTCCCTCCCTCTTTCTTTCCCTTCCTTCCTTCCTTCCTTCCTTCCTTCCTTCCTTCCTTCCTTCCTTCCTTCCTTCCTTCCTTCCTTCCTTCTTTCCTTCCTTCCTTCCTTCCTTCCTTTCCTTCCTTTCTTTTCTTTCTTTCCCTCCCTCCCTCCCTCCCTCCCTCCCTCCCTCCCTCCCTCCCTCCCTCCCTTCCTTCCTTCCTTCCTTCCTTCCTTCCTTCCTTCCTTCCTTCCTTCCTTCCTTCCTTCCTTCCTTCCTTTCCTTTCTTTCCATTTCCTCCCCTGTTTAGCAAGTACATGGTCCTCATTACTACCTATTAAATGGAAAAGCCTCTTAACTGGAGGATACTGAGTTCAAAGTCAGCCTGGATTACGGAGTGAGACCCTATCTCAAAAAGGAGCATATCTTCTCTCTAGCGTAGTGGGCATGTACTCAGAATTGCTAAGGTAGACTTGATCGATCCCCGTTCTCTCTATTTGTAGATTGATTTATGATGCATTCAGGATCAGGTATCTCTCCCTATCCTGAGAGTCACTTTGGGGAATTCTTTTCCCTGCAGTGGAGACAGTGCAGAGCCAGTGGGACAGCACGCAGCACGGGGTGGAGCTGCGGCGGCGGCAGCTGGAGGACATGGCCGTGGACAGCCTTCGGTGGGACGACCACAGGGAAGAGACGGAGGAGCTGCTGAGAAGATACGAGGCGCGGCTCTACATGCTCCAGCAGGCCCGCAGGGAGCCGCTCACCAAGCAGCTTGCTGACAGTCAAGTAAGACGCAGCAGCCAGTGCTTTTGGGGGCAACAGCATTTTATGGGACATAATTCTTTTCTTTCCTTGGTTAACTGGACCTTGTCATGATGTTTTTGTACTGAGATTCTTGTAAAGAAATTGATCAAGAATGTTTCTTGAGAAATTTCTGGAGGTAAAACAAGGAGAAAGGATGCATTTTTATAAATGGAATCACACCCTCCCCATGAACCAACATCTAGAAAGAGAACATTTTTGGGATTATCAGAAACCTCAGTTAGTCTCATACTTAAAACCTCTACCCTAAAGGTTATTTTATATTTACAAAATTTCCTGGGATTTTCATCTGAGGTGCAGTTGTAAGTCAGGTAATAAGTTAGTTCTTTTGTCCGTTTGTCTGTCTATCTATCTTATCTTTTTGTGCTGGTACTTGAATTCAGGACCTGGGCACTGTTCTTTAGGTTTTTCGCTCAAGGCTGTTTGTTGTTCTACCACTTGAGCCACACATCTGCTTCCAGATTTTTGATGGTTCATTTGGGTTAAGAGTCTCATGAAGTTTCTTACCTAGGTTAGCTTCAAACTGTGATCTCAGTTCTTAGCCTTTTGAGCAGCTAGGGATTGCAGATTTGAGCCGCTAGTGCCCAACTTTACTTCCTTTTAATTCCTTTGTAAGCACACTATTTTATCAATATTAGGTATCTTTTTGTGATCACTTGTAGAGTTGGTGATATTGAACACTTAAAGTATTTCCAAAGTGTTATTCCAGTTTTTCTCTGTAGTCTTAGAAAATACTCTTGAAGGTGTGATTGGGATATTATATTTTGGTGTAACACTTTATTTGCCCTTCAGGTAGCTTAATATGAACATATACATTTATGAGGAATATTTTAATAAGGGATATATGGGAAACAAAATCTTTATCTGGAAAATACGCTTTTATTCTTCACAGATGTGTACTTTGCAAAGTTCCCAAGTAGCCAGATCTACTGGATCTGAGTTGTTTTGTGTTTATGATACCTGTTGATTGTTTCCACCAAATGACTCAAGAGGAATGAAGGTTCTGGACACATCATTAGGGGAATTGAAGTTAAAAGATATGATGGTTCCATCCCTATGTTCAGAATAAGTTGGTCCTTGGAATCAGCATGCACAGATTTAATCAGTCATATTTCATGTACCATAAAGTTACCCATAGCCCATCATCCATAGGTTTATGGATGATGGTGTTTGTTCTAAACATACACAGACTTTAGAACATTTTTATATTATTACTCCATTTAAAAAATATAGCATGGCAACTATTTCTGTAGCATCCTAGAGATGTTTAAAAGTTATATGACGTTGGGTCTAGATTATATGCAAGTGCTGCATCATTTCTACGTGGCACTTGAGCATCTGGGGAGTTTGGTGTCAGTGGAAGAAGAATCCGGAAATCACTGTTCCACAGGTACTAAAGGAAGAGTATTGTGTTCTAGTGAACAATGTGACTCTTTCTTTCTGAGATCTTAGGCTGGGTTCTTTCCTCTTGGTTGCTATGAAAAGCATGATAAGGCATTCAAATGTCAGTTAGATTAGGTGGTATTAGACTGGATACCTAAAAGGAGTAGAAAGGTATAGTGAAGAGACCAGAACCTCTGGGCACAATCAGCCCTGGCATAATGGTGCCTTGTATGCTACCTGCCCATCCATGCGGTGGACTTCGTGAACACGTTCCGTGATGGAGATGAGAGACAGATTCTGCCACTGTGCCAGTCATCACATGCAGAGGAGCTGTCTGTGCATTGCTGTTGGACACACATGGTCCGTACGAGTCAGAAGTGTAGCAGGAGGGATAGAATGACACATGGATTTTGAGGGAATGATCATTTCTTAAATGTCATCTGCTGTGAATCTGATTCTTAAGACATTTTTCCTTTTTGCTTCTAGAATTATTTTGGGTTGAGCTTATATACCAGAATTTTTCCTCTAATGTCCCCCCTCCCCTTTGGGACATCTGGGTGTGAAACCTGTAAAAATGTCCTAAGTGTCTCAGTGGTGAGGTAATATTTGTTGCTAGGGAATTCTCCGGGTCTAACAAATGTTTCTCAACTTCTGTCTTAGCTGTTGCTTCAAGAGCTGGGTCCCGGGGATGGCATTGTCATGGCGTTTGATAATGTACTGCAGAAGCTGCTAGAAGAATATGGAAGCGATGACACAAGGAATGTGAAAGAAACCACCGAGTACTTGAAAACATCGTGGATCAATCTAAAACAAAGGTAACCTGCAGGCCTTGCCAGTAAATGACTATCTTCAGGTTCAGGGTTTGATTGCTTTGGCTTTCTTTAGAAGCAGGCCAAGTGAGTGACTGCTAGAAGTTTAACTTAAAAAAATTCTCTACTGTGATACACTGACTCAGTAATACCAAACTTAGTGTAGAATTGTGTGTGTGTGTGTGTGTGTGTGTGTGTGTGTGTGTGTGTGTGTGTGTGTGTGTGTGTGTGTGTGTGCATGTGCGTGCGTGCGTGCATCTCTGTCCTGGGGCTTGAACTCAGAGACTGGGAGCTGTCCTTGAGCTATTTTTGCTCAAGGCTAGTGCTCTATCACTTGAGCCACAGCTCCACTTCTAGCTTTTTGAAGGTTAATTGGAGGTAAGAGTCTCATGGATTTTCTTGCCTGGGATGATTTTGAAACACGATCCTCAGACCTGAGCCTCCTGAGTAGGTAGGACTCCCAGCATTAGTCACCAGCACTTGGCTACAATGTCTGTTTCTACAATATATACTTGAATTTCTGTTATGAACTTTTTCCCTTGAATATTATGTATTTTAGTTTTCTTGAGGCTTGTAGTATTATCTGGAATAGATTTTGTAGTACTCTTGTAAGGAACCCACGTATTTAGAGACACCTTTGGATAATATGATTACTAATTTTGTAGTGATTACTTATTTCATAATGAGTAAAGCTGACAATATCAGAAAACTTTATAACTCCTGGTGATATAGTCTGGCATTTAAGTACAACTTGACATGAAAGAATGTTCTATATTACTTGGTGTTATTATGAGTTAGAATCTATTTTTTCTTTTTCTTTTCAGTCCTGAGGATTGAATGACCGGCCTCACACTTGCTAGGCGAGTGCTCTACCATTTGAGTCATGTTCCTAGTTTATTTGTTACATTGTGATCCTCTGCTAAGAATATCCTAGACATATTCTAGTTATTACAAATGAGGGAAACCATACAGCCTGTGTTTCTTTGGGTCTGGCTTACTTTGCTTACTAGAATTTTTTCCAAGCCTAGTTTATTTGCTACAGGTAGGGTCTTCTAGTAATTTGCCTGGGCTGGCCTTGAACTTTGATTATTTGAAGCCTTGACAGGAGTTCTAAAAACCTCAAGAAGAGCATCATGAGCCCAATGACATGGCTAGCTTTACCTTAGACTCTGGAAAATATAAGAGTAGGGTAGCAAATATAAAACTTTGTGAAATGTTAAAGCAGAATGGTTCTAATTTAGTAGTATTTTAGTACAACTTTAATATTAGTAAAGGTTGTTTGCCTAGATTAAGGATCATATCAGTAAGGCAGGGAAGAAGGTTAATTAAAAATAACTTGAACACTGCCTAGTCCTTAAACATACTCATCCATTTACAAAAATTTCACATGGAAGAGTTATGACTTTGTTTTTGTTACAAAACATTACCAGAAAAATTGATCACTCAGAAGTGAGCGTCCTGCTTTATTTAGCACCCCAATTTCTTTTTTGCTTTCCTTTGTAAATATTTTAAGACAGCCTACAGCAGTACTTAGATTAGATGGAAGAGGCAATTAAAAATGAATTATATTCCAAGGACATCTTTCATTTATCATAGCCAAGACAGCCACAGGGCTGAAGTTTTATTATGGTTACAAGTAGTTGTTCTATTCTATTTTCTTTCCATACATTTTGGGGGAAAGAAGTAATTATATTAATATTCAGTCATGATTTAGATAATCTTGTTATTAGGACCTGAGAAAATACAGTACAATGGCGGTTTAACATATTCCCTCATGAATGACAATTCAAGTTCTTATATATTGGGAGTTTTTTTCTTTTTTTCCTCTTCTCATTTTCTTTTCTGGAGGTACTGGATTTTGAACTCAGGGCCTCACATGTGCTTGGCAAGAACTCTACCACTTGATCTTGATCTATGCCACAGTTCTACAGTTCTTTTGCTTTTACTATGTTTTTCAGAGAAGGTCTCGTGCTTTTGCCCAGTTGTGCCTTGGTGAGACTGTAAGAATGGGCCATTATACTCTACTCAAATTTTCTTTTTTTTTTTTTGGTCGGATGTGGGGCTTGAACTCTGGACCTGTGCTGTCCCTCAGCTCTTCAGCTCAAAGTGAGCGTTCTACCTCTTGATCCACAGCGCCACTTCCTCAAATTTTCTTTTTTTAATGAGTTAATATTTACAACTTTTAACTATTTTGAGTGGACTTCTGTTTGGTATACATAAATCATGTTTTGCTTCTTAAACAATTTATGGGAGATGCTATTCAGCTTCTTTTGAACTTTTGACTTTTTTTTTTTTTGCTTCTGAACTCAGGACCCGGGCTCTCTCTCTGAGCTTTTTTACTCAAGGCTAGCACTCTACCACAACTTCTCTACCACTTGAGCCACAGCACCACTTCTGAATTTTTAGTGGTTAATTGGAGATAAGAGTCTCAGGGACTTTCCTGCTGGGGCTGGCTTCAAACGTTGGGCTTACCGTTGCCCAGTGTGTTTTGATATTATTGCAAAGATAGAACTATAAATGACTTTTCAGTTTATCCAGATCAATGTTTTTCATTTTTTTTATTAGCTCTTCTCTAAGGATCCTTTGAGATTCTCCCTCTCCAATGAGGGTTTAGTACTTTGATGTATCTGTTTCTGTGTTGCATAGTTATTAAGCCATTACCCAGGATCACAGAGTTCTCCCGATGGAGCTGGGATTGGAATTCAAGTCTTCCACCTGTAGAGATAGATTCTTTAACAAGAGTTTTATTTTTCTTCTTTGTTGTCTCAGTGTCAGCTATGGCTCGATCTGCTTGTGTCCCCGCCGCTCTCATCTGTCTGTGCTTTCTCTTACTGGGTCTTACTCTGTGTTGAGTTAAGCACTTCCCTGAGTAATGTGAAGCTCTTCCAGCATTTGACCAGTGGGAAGACTCTCTTGGTCATTGGGACCATTCTGAAAGGTCTGTGAGGCCTTTGCCCTCGGGCTCTGCTCCTCCTCCCAGGTGGATTCCTCATAAACATCATTGCTAGCCAAATGTGGGAGAGGCACAGAGGTACAGGCGCATGGGATGATATTAGTGGAAGGCAGTATTTGGATTTTAATATGTGCTTCCAAGGAAAAATTTTGTATGAATTGCAATTGACCTAAATAACGTGACCATTTACAGCTACAGGTCCCCAGTCCCTGATCTGTAATGGTAAAATCCTGAATAGCTCTGATAACAAAAAGCTTTGAGTTGACCTGGGGCTATTTAGTATAGATTTTATGCCACCAAGTATGAAATAGCCTTACTCTGGCTGCACAAATAGTATTGTGTTGGGTTGTTACCCTAGTTCTACCAATGGGTAATCTTTAACGTGGAAACATTTATGTTCAAATGCATAAAAATTCTTAATTCTCAAATACAACTGACCCTGGATTTTTGGGTGTGTAGCAACCTATGTCTAATATTTCTAACTAATCTTCATATCTTGACAACTGCCTTTTTCACTTAAGACTTCCTGTTCCTTTGAGCTTTCTTGGGTGAGCTAGTAAGAATAGCCCAGGCTGGTGTGGAACTCATGATTCTCCTACCTCAACCTCCAGAGAGCTGGGGTCACAGGTCTATGCTACCACACGGCACCTTGTATCCTGCTCACCCTTGTTTTTAATGTATATTTTGGTGCTGGTACTGGGGCTTGAACTCAGGGCCTCACACTGTTGCTTAGCTTTCTACTCAGGATTGTCACTCTATCACTTGAGTCATACTTCCACATTTTGTTTGGTTGCTACTTTATTGGAGATGAGATTCTTACAGACTTTCCTATTCAGGCTGGCTTCTTACCACAATCCTCCTATCTAAGTTTCCTGAGGCATAAACCACTAGCATCTGGGTTTGCATTTCTTAATGAGAGTTAACTAATAACTTAGTGTGAAGTGAAATATTTAAATGTACAAATTGCATAGCCCCTATCTGAAATGTTTGGGACCAGAATTTGTTTGGGTTTTGGAGGATTAACATATACATCATGACATATCTAGGATATGAGACCCAAATTTACATACAAAAACTCTTTTATTTTTCAGATATTCTTTATATAGCCTGAGGTATAGCTCAATGATAGAATATTTGCTTAGCATGTATCAGACCCTGATCACTGTAAAACAAACATACCAAAGCACATATATCTTATACACATAGCCTGAAGGTAATTTTACATCTGAAACACAGTTTAATATTGTGTTTTACCTCTTGTGACATTTTATCAATACTCAAAAAGTTTTAGGTTTTGGAGCATTTTGGGTTTTCTGACTAGAAATGCTTAATTCGTTGAAACTTTGGGAGTATGGATAGCTGATTAGAGACTTGAAAAGGTCATTTTAGCCTTATACATGGATATCCCAGGGATAAATTAACATTTGACATGTGTGTACACATGTATGTGTCTATGTATATATCTGTATATGTGTAGATATAGGTATATGTGTATGGTAAAGTATCATAAAGAAAATAACACAAAGAGAGGTGTGTTAGAATTTCTTCTAAATCACTAATTACGATAGATTTTTTTTCTTCTTGTCCTTATCCCGACAAGTTCATATTTTGTTGGAACTGTTGGAAGACATTTGTAGGATGGTACTTGAAGAACAGAAGGCACACGGTGTGATATCCAACAACCTTTGTGTGAAATCCCACTGTGTGCATTTGCCATTAGTGTGGACCTTGAATCACAATCCCCCTACTTATACTTTCCAAGTGTCTGGGATGAGAGGCTTGTACCACCCCAGTCTGTTTTTTATTGGTTGAGATAGAGATCTCATGAACTGTTTACAGGCATGAGCCACTGCACTTGATCCAGTGAGTGAATTTTCAAGTATCTTGGTGATGACCCAGCCTTCATGGACAAATGTTGGTTACCATAATCTATGAGAGATCATTGAACATATTTGCAGTGACTCATTTTGAATGCATTTTTCTCATAGCCTACTTTAACATGTATTTCCAACAGATGTTCTTTTATTTTCAAAAGAACCAATTTACCTTGTGGAGGTAGACATTGAAAAGCTTCAGGAATATTTTCATTTTAGGTTTTCTACCTGCCACTCACAATACTGATGCTACTATTTTTCTATTCTAAAAGAGGTAAATATATTTAAATCCTATATCACTGTAAAGGTCACCCTCCAAGTACATAAAAACGGAACACATATAATTCTGAGTTTCCTAAGAAGTTTCCTAAGGTTTGTTAAAACCTTAAAAAAAAAAATCTCCAACCCAAACCAGCATTTGTTTGTGTTCAAGAATTCTTTTAGGGCTGGGAAGATGGCTCAGTGGTAGAATGCTTGCCTTGCATGCATGAGGCCCTAGATTTGATTCCTTAACACCACATAAGCAGAAAAAGCTGGAAGTGACACTGTGGCTCACAATGATAGAGTGCTAGTCTTGAGCTGAAGAGCTGAGGGACAGCGCCCAGGCCCAGAGTTCAGGCCCCACGACTGACCGGGGTAAAAAAAAAAAAAAAGAATTCTTTTAGCTGAGCCGGTGGCACACACCTTGTAATCCTAGCTACTTGGATGCTGAGATCGATCACAGTTCAAATCCAGCCTGGGCAGGAAAGTACGTGAGACTCTTATCTCCAGTTAACTACCAGAAAACCAGAAATGGCACTGTGGGTCAAGTGGTAAAGTGCTAGCCTTGAGTTGATGAATTGAGGGACAGCGCCCAGGCTCAGAGTTCAAGCCCTCCCAAAAAAGAATTCTTTTAAAAGCACATCTATGCCTAATTAAGTAGTATATCTTATAGCTTAAAATAATCAAATATTATTTAACATCTTTAAAATGGTATTTTATATATGGGCAGTCATTTTATATTGTAGACTATGGGTTATTTTATAGTTCATCATACCCAATTTATACATCTGACTTTAAAAGCCAAGAGTTTACACTTAAAAAGTTCTAGATCCTTTTTATATAAACTATTAAATATCTTTCACCCCATGGATGTCCCTAAATCTTTTATGGGAGACTATATTTTAGTCTGTACTGAAGAATAGGCTGTTATGTCTTCTGATTGAAGTAAAAGTTATTTTGGCTAAAGTGAGCCTCATAAACTTCAAATGCTCTCTCTGTAGGCTCCTACCCTGTCCTTCCTTACCCTTTGTGCTTTATAGATTCAGAAAAGATTTACTCCCCCCCCCCCAAAAAAAAAAATCTCTGCCTTTGTCTTCAGGCTAAAGTTTCTTCAGCTTAAAAACACACTTCTTCAGTATCTCCTCTAGTTGTTTTCTGATCTCTCTTGAGATGAAGCAATCAGAACTTCCAAATATAAAATCTTCGTTGAGCTCCTGGACTGTAGGAGCTCAGCGCTGGGAGGGGTCTTAGACACCCTCCGAGTTATTGCTTCCCAGCCTCTTGACTGGGCGCGTACCCCATTCATCCCTTCTTGTCAGTCACATTGTTCTCAAAGGGATTCTTAATGGAGCTGAATTTGGAAGCTAGGATTGAGGGTAGACAAGGGAGGCACTTCCCGAGCAGGTTTTAGAATCTCTCAGATGGATTATGTAGTTTTAAGAGGACCCCTGGATGTTTTGAAATGGGTTTTTCACTGATTTTGGCCAAGCTCCTTATTTTAACAATGAAAAAAATAAATAAATTGGAGATTTGAAGAGACAGCTAGGCCATCTAGCTAGTAAGTGACAGAAGTGGTTATTTTCTTCTGAGAACAGTGGACGAGGAGCATCAAAGATAATTTATTAGCTTGTGTGATAAAAATATACATACCTACTCCTGAGAGTCTCATTTTTTTTCCCTGATCATGGGGCTTGAACTCAGGGCCTGGGTGCTGTCCCTGAGCTCTTTTGCTCAAGGCTAGCACTCCACCACAGTAGTAGCCACAGTGCTACTTCCGGTTTTCAGGTGGTTAATAGTAGTCTCATGGACTTTCCTGCCTGGGCTGGCTTCGAGCCATGATCATTAGACCCCAGTTACCTGAGTAGCTAAGATTACAAGTGTGAGCCACCAATGTGAAAATACCGTACAGAGGGGTTACAATTACATGGGCAAGATAATGAGTACATTTCTTATCAAGCATTGTTGCCTCCTCCTTTGTTTCCCCTTCCCATCCCTTCCCATCTCCCACCCACACCCCCACCCCTCTACTCTCCCCTTCCCTATCTGCTCCCCTCCCCCGAGAATCTACTTTTAATGACTGTTTTTTTTTTTTTTGCTTTTTAATATTATGATAAATCATTTGGATTTTCTTGAGAGCGAATAAAAGGTTCTTGTAATATCTAGCATAATGTACTGTATATTTGAATATTTAAAAAAATACAGTAGGGCATAAGGAGAACACAATTAAGCTATGTTGTATTAGAAATTTCATATAAATTAATTTCAAAAATCAGAATACAAATTCACATATATACACTATACTTGTGCTACTGGGGACTGAACATGGGCACTCACACATGCTAGGCAAGTGCTATACAGACATCTGAATATAAATTTTAGCCTGTGTATTCATTATAATAATAGGGAGATTATTTGGATTGCTATAGAGTTTATTTTTTTCAGTATCTTTACTATTTTTAGTAGTTGATGAGATTTGTAATAAAATACTTTATGCTAGATAAATGTGCATTTAAAAAATCCACAAGGATGTTTATTATTAGATTGCCCATTCCCATGCTATATAAGCAAGATTAATTTCACAATATTTCACCAAATTCAAGAAAGCTATTATTTATTGATGTTAATCTCAATATATATATATGGGTCTATATCATTTTCTTCATAAAATCTTGCTGCTGGGGAAGTATGGTTCCCATTGTACTTACTTATTCACTAAGCATTTGCTGAGTTGCTATGATACATGGGAGTACCAGGTAAAGTGGTAATTCAAACAGTTCCAGTAGGCAGGAAAACACTCACTTGCTGCCACAATGATATAGATTCCCATGGGTCATCTTGGTTGGGCACAGTGTCATCTTGTGAATCTAAAAGAGTGCAGGTTGAGGTACAGGAATGAGTCAGAGATATGTGATGAGAAGACTACACCTGTTCTACCTGGCTCTGAAGGCAGAGTAAGTGGCCATGAGCCCTAGAAATATGGGGGCCATTAGAAGGTGTAAAAGGCACGGAAAACAGATTGACCCATACCCTACAGACATGAATGGAGAGTTTTCAGCAGTAGGAATGCAGCCTAATGGAGGCCTGTGTCTGTAGGAGAAATGGCTACTGAGCTGGTGGTGATTGGTTTCAGCAGCCATGGGATACTAATGGCCATTGCAGGGAAATCATGGGACCCTTTCGTCTGGAAGTGTTGGTATGAGTTTCTGGAGTGGCGATCAGAGTTAGTCAGTTGGAAAGGAGATTAGTGGAAGCTGGGAGCAGGGAGAGGAAAGATACTTAAGATTAAAGGAATTCATGTACCAAAGCTCTGGGTGTGACAGAGACAGAGACTGCTTGGAGTATTAGTTGAGGTTCATTTTTGTAGATAATCCATGAGCTTTGGGGCGAGGAGATGGTTTTTAGGAAGATGAGCAGGAATCAGATCACTCGAAATGTGTGTTGAAGCAGAGGGATGATGCCCATAAGGCTTGAATGATCAAGGCAGATTGCTTTCAAGTTCCACAGTAGTTATGGTGGAGCCCTGTCTGCTTTCATCAAAACACAAAAACAAAAACACCCACCATTATACTGCAAATAGTGCCAACTAAGTAGACCTGTCTTTCTAAAACAACTGCGTGTTGTTCTTTGACTTTCTCCTCTGTTCTCAGCCCCTCAACATAGACTGGGATGTTCAGCATGTGCTGCTGTGTCTAGCTATGGTTTAAGAAGGGCTTTCACAAACTTTTCTGCCTGGGCTGTCCTTAAACCATAATTTTCCCATTCTTAGCTTCCCAAGTATCCAGGATGATAGGCATGAACCACTGGTACCCACCCAGCTGCTCATTTTTATTTTATTTTAAACATTGCTTCAGATTTTTCTTCTTCTTCTTCGAACCATTTAGTCACTAACTATATTAATATTTGTTCATATTGCCTTTTATTACTCTGTGTGTGTGGGTGTGTGCACACGTGCATGCACACGCTAGTCCTGGGCTTAAACTCAGGGCCTGGGTACTGTTTGTAAGTTCAAGGGTAGTGCTCTACCACTTAAGCCACAACTCTACTTTTGCATCTTTGGTAGTTAATTGGCAATAAGGGTCTCACAGATTTTCCTGCCTGGGCTGGCTTTAGACCACTATCCTCAGATCTCAATCTACTGAGTAGCTCAGATTACAACATGAGCCTGGTATCCAGCTCTCTATTACCTTTTGAGTGTCGACCATTATGTTATTGACATACATGCATGGAAAAGCCACTTGATATGCAAACATAGGAATAAAATGTAATCATAATTATTTCAGAATGTGGAAGGGATTTTGTTGACACTCTAGACACACACTTAAATGACGCTACCAGTTGGATCCATGCAGTGAAATAACTAAGTTCCTTTGGGGCTGTGTGTTTGGGTTCTGTCTGCTGTCATTCTGTCAGTAAATGAGCCTGTCATGCCGTTTCATCCAGCATTGCGGACAGACAGAGCGCCTTGGAGGCTGAGCTGAAGACAGTGCAGTCCTCTCGCCGAGACCTAGAGAACTTCCTGAAATGGCTTCAAGAAGCAGAAACCACAGCGAATGTGCTTGCGGACGCCTCTCAGCGGGAGAACGCTCTTCAGGACAGCATCCTGGCCAGCGAGCTCAAACAGCAGCTGCAGGTGAGCGGACCCCGGGAGCCCCAAGGTTGAGAGTAGGTGCTGTGATTTTTGCGAAGGGTGAGGCTGTCATGCGATTCTGAAATCCAGTCTTTCCTCCGGGTAACTGCTTTCTGGAAATGGGATCTATAAAATCTTTTTGCTTAATATTATATAGAGAAAAAAAAATCCCACCTTGTTTTCTGGAAGAAATAATTGTTTATTTGAAGTTAGAGGCTCGATGCAATTGTGTTTTCTGTCATTTGAAGCCCTATTACAGTTAGCTTTTTATTGAGTCCTAAATTATAAGGGCATTTTCCCCTCAATATGAGGTTGTTTCTTTCCCCATTTATTATAAATACTTAATATAAAAGCTTCAAATGCTATGGCATAGTTTATGACCGAGGCTATTAGACTGAGGTATTTTTATGTGTTTGGCTTGATAAGTATGATGGTAAATGCAGTCTGAAGTTCAGAGTTTTTTGTTGGCAAGAAATGTGCTTCTATCAAATCTTTCCTTTAAGCAACTTTATGAAAAGTCTTATTTAGCATGTCTGAGTCTTCTTTCCACCCCCATATACCATGCCTTCATGTCTTTGAACTTTCCATTTTTATCTGGGTGGACAAATCTGTTCTGGCTTCAAGTCTAGTTCATGGCCAGTTTCAGTGGGCAGGTCTCCTTGTCTATGGTGACTTTCCATTATCCCATCCATGGGACAATTTTTAGTTGGTAAGGCTGGTGAACCTAGTAGCTCTGCTGTCATTTGGTACATGTGTCCACCTGCCCCAGATGATTACGTGGCTCTTCAAGGTTGGATTGTATTCTTCATGAGAGACCTGAGAGCAAATTCAGCCCTAACTCTTGGTGTGTGTTGAACTCTAAGCCTTGAGTCACAAGGCTTTGTGCTCTTACTTGGATTTTTCACTCAAGGCTGATGCTCTCTCTACCACTTGAGCCATACCTTCACTTTGTGCTTTTTGGTGGCTAATTATAGTAAGAGTCTCATGTACTTTCTGCTTGGGCTGGCTTAAGACCTTGATCCCCAGATCTCGGCCTCCTGAGGAGCTAGGATCACAGATGTGTGCCATTGATGACCTTTCTGAATCTGTTTTTCTGAGCTCTTCTTCCTTCAGATATTCCCCAGATTCCTTTTGTTAAATATCCAATATGAAGATTTGGGTAAAGGGTGTTTTATGCTTCTCTTTGAACTATTCTTATTCCTATAGTGTCTCAAGTTTGAAATAATTTTTGTTAAAAAGTTTTTTATTTATAATATATATTTTATTGTAAAGATACTGTACAGAGTGGTTACAGTTACATGAGCAAGGTAATGAGTCCATTTCCTATTGAGCATTGTTACACCCTCCTTTATTTTTCCCCTACCATCCCTTCCGACCTCCCCAACTCCTCCCCCCCTCAAAGTTGTAAAGTTCATTTTTAATATATTGTCTTGTATATCTCATTGTTACAATGGGTCAGCCTGTATCCTTATTTCAACTTTTTGTTAATTCCCTTCCCCTCCCCAAATTAGAAAAATACATATACAAGATGCAGGACTTCGGAATCAAATACAGTGAAAACGGGTTATACCATGGGGGAAGAACATACAAAAGAAACAAAAAAATCACATAGTACATTATAACATTAAAAACTACAGCAACAAAGATAAAACTTTTGTGCCCCAGTCTTGGGGTTCATTTCGCTTAGCATCGTCTTATAAGGTCATATGTACATAGCTTTTGACCTTTTCTGCTTGTTCCAGACATATACTAGTTATTGCAGATAAGGGAAACCATGGGACCTATGTTTCTTTGGGCCTGGCTTACGTCACTTAATATAATTTTTTCCAAGTCTTCCCATTTCCTAACAAATGGGGCGGTGTTGTTAAAAAGTTTTTTTTTTTTTTTTTAAAAAACCATTCTGGAACATGCATATGTGTAGCTTGTTTCTGTGCCTGAAGGCTCTTTCTGGGTTTTATGATTACATTCTTAAGATGAATGAAAACCTTTGTTTAGTTAACATTCCTTCTTGTTTCTTATTTATTTCACACTATACTTGTGACCTGGTAGACAGCTGTGGGCAGACAAGGAGCAAATTAAAATTTTCTTTTGTCTCGGTTTTCTGTGATCTCGTAAGGTTACCATTAATATTAATTAATAAATGTTCTTTGCAGTCATCTGAAGTTTGGGGGGCTATAGATAGTTCTCAATGTGATTGGATGATAGATGGAATATGTTATATTTTTAAGAGAATTAAAGGACTCTACCCTTGAGTGTCCAATGCACATAGATATTTAATTTATGTAGTGCTGTTAATTTCAACAGATATTGAGGTTAGCAGTTTTGTAGGGAGCAGGTTATAGACAATGAATGAATCTAGGACAAGTACCAGCAAAATTCCAGAGTTTACTGATATTTGCTGATATTTTATCTTAGATATATTCGTACCACAGTCTAAATGCTTCACCATAGTTACTGAATTTTCACAGAGTAGGAGAAATAAATTTAAATAGAAATGTTTTGGACCAACCCTTCCTCTCTTCTTCCGTTCCTCCCTCCTTCCCTCTCTCCCATATTTTCTTTTTTTGGTGCTGATCCTGGGGCTTGAACTCTGGGCCTTGGGCTTTTTTTGCTCAGGTATAACATTCTACAACTTGAGTCACTGCTCTATTTCTGACTTTTTAAGTAGTTAATTGAAAACAAGAGTCTCATGTATTTTCCTGCTTAGGCTGGATTGGAACTGAGATCTTCAGATCTTAGTCTCCTGAGTAGTTGAGATCATAGTTGTGAACCACGGGCACCTGTCTCATTGAGAATCTTTTAAATAAAGACAACTAAGACCAAAATTACTTGTCATAGGGCAAATACCAACAAGAAAGTGGCTGCCAATTCAAATATTAAAATATAATGTTTTCAGTAATGTTTCTCAGAAAGAACTTCATATTACTGAGCTTGTCTGGGATTGTATAGGGTATTAAAGGCAGCATTTGCTATGAGCCCACTGAAATTTCCTTGTTTATCTTAAGCTACCTTGTACCTATGTTCACATTGCACATGTTGGTAATTTGTACAATTTCTCATTTCTTTGTTCCTTCATTAAATGCTTGGAATTCTGAAGCATTCTGATTTTGTTTTTGCTTTGTTACTTTTTTTTTTTTTGGTCAGTTGTGGGGCTTGAACTCTGGGCCTGGGCACTGTCCCTGTGCTCTTCAGCTCAAGGTGAGTGCTCTACCACTTTAGCCACAGCATCGCTTCTGGTTTCCTGGTAGTTTGTTGGAGATAAGAGTTGCACGGACTTTCCTGCCCAGGCTGGCTTTGAACCGCGATCCTTAGATATCAGCCTCCTTAGTAGCTAGGATGACAGGTGTGAGTCACCGGTGCCCAGCTGAAGCATTCTTTTTTTTATAGCATTCTATATCTTTATTTTCAGCATCAATTAGGTAGACAGACAATTGTGAGAGACTTATTCTATGGCTGAGTATTTCTGAGACAAAGGCATTTTAATTTTCCTCTAAGGTTGCATATTACTGTTCTCACTTTTTCAATGATTTCAATGGAACCTTGTTTGGAAATGGGAAGATATATGTTGAAAAAGGGAATGTATGGAAACACTTGAAATTATGAAATAAATTGGTCAGTGTTGTGCTAGTGGCATGCTGGTGGTGTATTAGTGTGTGTTGGTGGTGTGCTGGCATGGTTTGGCTATATGCCCCATGCAAGATGGAATAGAGACCATGTGTATTGGTGATCCATTCACAAGGGTGTAGATAAAACAACTACTTAGATGACATATTCACTGACTATTTTGCTTTATGTCTTGTGACAAGCATATGTAAGGCCACCAGGAGTATTTCGTGATGCTTATTCTCTATTCAGTTTAAAGTGGATCATGGGCAGATTTTGACTGAGGAGAGTTTGGAAGCGCAGTGGAAGATGAAGATTTGTTTCTGGGAGTATGCTAGGCCACATGCCCTTTCTGTTAAGCATGGATGATCATATTGGATTTGTGGATTTATGTTTCATTATCCTGCCACAAGGTGGGTAGGTCTTATTCCTCTGCAGAGGGTTTTGGCAAGAGAAAAATTGATTCTTTGGAGACTTGGGAGCTGAATGGGGTAGAGCGTAGCAGGTCTTGTGTGCCCACCTAAGTGTTTTATATATTAACCTGCTCGCAGTGGAAAGAAGTCACAAAGAATATTGAGCAAGAGAGAGGTGCTGAGATCTCTGCTTTGTAGGAATCTAGCTGATGACATTGTGAGGAGTTACGTACACTTGGTAAGAATGGCAGGGGGCGGTGATTAGATGATTCTGTGGCCATATAGGTCCGAGATCATGACTGGCCAACAGGCACTGGTGGACAGTATGTGTGGATCTAATGCCCTGTTGATACGGACCCATTCAGGGCAGGGGGGAGAAGGTCAAGACTAGGGAAGATTATAGATGGTTTTAGAATCAGAATCTAGGCATATACAAGATGAAAATGTCAGGATAGGGTTACAAGTTACTGAAGAATAGGATGGGATGGATAATTTAATTTGGCTTTGATGAAATGAGGTCTTTGAGTAATAACCAGAAGGAGGTGTCTAGAAGGTTCTTGTCACTGGGTTATTATCTGTATTCAGATTTGAGAATTTGGCTAAAGTTGAGAAATTAATTAATTCACTTAAATTATGTGTGTGTTTGTGCGTGCATACACATGTGTGTGTCAATATTGGGGCTTGAGCTCAGGATCTAGGCACTGTCCCTTAGTGTTTTTTTTTTTTTTTTTCTTTTTCATTCAGTGCTGGCATGCTACCATTTGTGCCATACCTCCACTTCTGGCTTTTTGGTAATTAACTGTAGATAAGTGTCTCATGTTCTTTCTGCCAGGGGCTGGTTTTGAACTCTGATTCTCTGATCTCAGCCTTCTGATTAGCTCGGATTACAAGCATGAACACCCAGTGTTTGGTTCATTTATTTATTGTTTTTGAGTGAAGGCCTATTATTGGCTTGCTCACCTGTTTATTAATTTACATGCATTCATC